TCTTTTTCCTCTTTTTCTCTTTCGTTTTTTCTTCTCTTTTTCTCTTCTTTTTTCTCTCTTTCTTTTCTTTTCTCTCTTTCTCTTTTCTTTCTCTCTTTCTCTTTTTCTTTTCTTTCACGTTTAGAGTTCTTTATCCTTCTCGTCTTCCTCCACCATGTATTCTTCCTCTTTGTATTGGTCCTCCTGATCGTCGTCCTCGTTGGATCCTTCGACTATGAAGCGTGTGCGCTTGGCAGGACGAGTCGGACGCATTGGTGCAGCTGCGCGCTTCTTGGTACGTGGCGTAGTCTCGTTAGATGTTAATCCATCGCGAGACTTTTGAGAAGCTGATGGCGGAGAACAAGCCTCGGCAACCTCCTTCTCTGGCTCGAAACTCACGGCCGGCCTTGCTTGAGGCCTTGGTGCGCTTCTTGTCCGCGGCAGAATCCTGCTTCTCCTGCTTGTGCAGCCTTCCCAGAAAGAGATACAGTTCTACCTCCAAGTCCGAATTGAGCCTCTTGAGGCTGGGGATGGCAGGGTGTTTCTCGTCGATAGCCCTGAGGCGGTTGACAACGAACTCAGCATATCCAGAGGCAAATGGCTCTGCACCAGTTGTTCTGTTGACGTAAATCTTGACGTTGGGCTCTTGGATAAACCCTTCAAAAGTTTGGGTGAGCTCTACGAGGTAGTTCTATCTAAGAGCGTCGATGGCTTCGGTTTGCTTTCTAAGTATTCCATTAACAGGTGTCCACCAATCAAAAACGTGAAAGTCAAGAACTTACGGGTCGACGTCTACCTCGGTGGCCTTGGCCTTGCTTCTAGTATCGGTGCTCGATGCGGTCCCAGAAACACGCCGACTGGCGCTTTCGGTTGTTGCAGACTCTCCACCACTCATGCGGCGGTGCTCCCGCTTCAGGTCGGTCAAGTCCCGTTCTACCTTGTCAATCTTGGCTAGCAACAATGCTTGAGTCTTCGTCACGTGCTGGAGCTGGATGGCGACCACCTTCAGATTCTCATGTAGGCCATACGTGGCCGGGTCCGTCAGTCCTGGGCTGTGAGATGGACCCAGGCCATAGTCTCCGTCGGATCTTGATCCGGATGGGGAGGCAGGTGGTCACGTCCAGACATTGTGCGTAGTTTATTGAGAGGATGGGATGGGGAAGACTAGGTCAAAGAAACACTGCGTTGCAAAAGACGTGTGGAGATGGAATGGAGTTTGCAGAGTGGTCGTGAGAGATCAAAAAAGGTGTTGAAGCTGAGAATTCAAGGCAATTCTGTCATCTACCGACAATGTGTATGTACTTGATGGCTTCGCCCAACAGATAAACAAGAGGGAAAAGAATAAAAGAGACAAGTGCTGCCTTGAAGCATCGCACCTGCTACAAACGCTGTACACTGGACTATGCTGCACGCTAATAGTGGGGTTGGGACCGGGACCAGCTGCAGCTGCTGCCGCCAGGTGCTAGCACTGCGCCGCCAAACGCCCTATAGGATCCTATAGGGACAACACACATCTACACCCTCACACTCACCACAACCACGACAAAACAACAAAAAGAATCATCACGATGCCTAGAGAGGCAAAAGGAAGGTCCGCCTGGGGATCGAACCCAGAATCTCCTGATGTCATTTGATTACAACTCTTCGTGGAAAGAGAGCGGTCGTAGTCAGACGCAATGCCAATTCTGCCAACGGACCAGTGATGAAACCTTGAATTGCTTCAAGGCTTGTTGAAAGAAGGCCAGTTATCGAGCATTATAGCGAGTGTGAGTGGGTAAACAAGGAAGAATTTTCATGGCGCCGGCATGTTTGGATAGAATTCCAAGGCTGTTGGTGGATATGACAAGCAGAGTTTTCCGGGTTGCGGCATGAAATGGTTGAGTATCAAATCTTGATCTATTGCTGGGTGGGCTACGAGCCGCCTCAACTCTGTAGACTGATAACACAAGGTAAACTCCATTGAACATACATGAGACGAAGAGATTGCAGATTTGAAACAGAATTGATTTTCAACTGTGAAGAGTATATCGCCATGGTGATATCGGAGAGTGAGTGTTATTCAGGCACTAGACATATGTCTTAGTCATCAAGCAACACAGGGAAATAACACTGAGCTTTAGACCACCAAGAGTGACACGACACTTGTCCACGACCACAGTCATACTGATAGAAGTCCAATGGGATGAGATATCGCCCATGGATCCGAGTCAATATTTTCTGAAGAGCAGTGTCGGCAATGACAATATGCTTGTGTGATGATGTGCCCGTTCATGTACTTGCCCATAGCGTCCAATATATCGATGAAGCTCGCCTGTGAGATGCATGCCAAATCCAAGTCAATGCATCGATTTGCATCAAAAGTCAAAGCATATATCAAAATGGATCTCTGCAACAGCTATCTCGATGAGCTCGTGCATCCAGGTATCTGATTGACAATCATTCACCATGGCTGTCTCCTTCTTTCTCTTTCCAACCGAAACCATTATATAGGTGCTGAGTCTTTGATAAGTCTCGGATAGTGACATGACAATGTGACACACCCACCTCTCCGTTGTACTTATGTAATGTGACACGGTCTGGCGCGTTGAGAATGCTTCTCATAGTACTAAATGGTCTGCATACCGTCTCTTGAGAGCTATCTCTATGCATGAGAGATCCAATATATTGCCTTTCCTCTTGATAAGAAACTCAAAGACTAGATTTCAGAAGACAAGATCGACATATGCCCATCGGTAACCTTGCTTCTGTATCGTAACGTTTAGAATGTGCCGCTGTAGCTTGCAGGACCGAGGCGAGAGTTGAGCACACTCAGACTAACACTTTATATATTTTGTAAGCTCGACTCATACAGTTCAGCAGTAAAGATTTGTTTGTCCATTGTCGTGGTTTGTCGGTGTAGTCATCCCGTGTGTTCCGGCACGGTTGCTCATATTAAAGTAATGCTGTCATGGCTTGCAGTGATATTCTAATGTTTCCGATATTATGACCGGCGATTGCAGACCACAAACTTTTGTCTACTCATCAATCGCCGGCTCGGCAAACTTGGCAAAGGTTCTCACTTGCAACTATTCGTTGAGAGAAGCACCTCACGTGTTTCTTCATCATCATCAAAGAGGACAGCTTCTACCAAGCAACTCCGCCATTCAATCTTCGTCATCGGCACCACTGTATAATTCTATTTAAAAACGAGGCAAACCTCAAAGCCACGATGCTGGAACCGGATATCACGGGATTATACAATCACTCTACCTGTGGAATTAATGCATCTTTGCCCCGAGTTCCGATTTCTTAGCAAGATGACCGCTCAAGACAGCGCCGGATACCACGGCGAAGGATGTTCCCAGATGATCATCTCGACACGCAATCTTGAGGGCGCGACGTTGAAGCCAATTACGATGAAAATTGTCCATCAGCCTCGTGAATGATGAAACTCGAGTGCGCAATTTCAGCTATATGTTGGAGGCTATGGCGCTCATTGGCCAATCATTTCCGTGCTTATTCTGGTGCCTAGATGGCCCTATCATAGTTTCGTGCTGTTCGAGCCCCCAAGTTTTCACTGCAATTTTAGCCCCGCCAAAGGCGCCAGAGGCGTTGCGACAGTCTCGAGATAATTCGGGGGCCGAGTAGTATTGGAGACTGCCATGGAGATATGGTGTTTCGGTCCCCGAAAAATGGCGGGAAGTGAGTTGACTCGGGAGAATTTGTGTGGGGAAGAATTGAGAGGGTCTGTCAAAGTTTAAATTGCAGTGAAAGTCAAAACCCCTCATCCACCGAATCGGGCGTCTCGGTGCGCACCAATTATAGTAACCCGCTGAGTATGGAACTCAAGGCCATTATCATGATGCTTGCATTCTGACGAAATCATGAAAAGATTCTCACACCGAAGGTCCAATGGTGTTGTGGGTGTGGCTTTTGATGCCATGATCAAGATCTGAGACATAACACCTGCCTGGTGCAGTCATGTGCCCCCCCCCCCAAGGGACCCCCAGAACTATAGAGAGAATGAGATCGTGAGTGATCGGTTGGAAGAGCGGCAGCCCAGCCTGCTGATAATTAGTCCTTATCAAATGTGGCTGGATGAGCTACCGCAAAGTAATTCGTGGAGATACGACTTTGCATTCCGTTGTACAGCTGTACAGGAAGGCTATCGCGCCACACAGATTTCTGTTGATTTTCTCGTTGCTTTTCGCGCAAAGAATTACAACGTGGCGGCAACGTGCTACAAAGCCACGAGAACGGCCACGAGAAAGGCCACGAGAATGGCCATGTGCGCCCGTGTCCCACATTGCCGCGCGAAATGCGCGCGTGGGGATGGATATACTCAAGGCAACCAACGAGGCTGCCCGTCTGAGTGGGCAACGAGATAAGTGCAGTTTATATACTACTGCACCGATGATGCACGAACCCTCATGTGCATCGGGCAACTTACCCAGTATATACTACTGATAGGGCTGCTGCTTTCGGGTTCCAGCTCCCCCACAATATGAGTGATGAACAGCCCAATAAGTGGTCAATAGCATCAAATCAAGCTGCAATGCAAGCTGTTGTGCTTTCTGGTCCTATTGGGTCTGTTTCCGGTGTCCGGACTCCGACGTGCAGTCTCCAATTCCCACAGTATCTGTTTCCGTCGTCTTACATGTTTTATTGATCAGTATCGTCAATTAGCGCAAGCCTTCATACTCCTCCTTGCATCATATCATTTTTCTTGTGTGTGTGGTGAGCAGCGAGTGCTTACAATGAATGGGGTCTTTTGAACCTTGGGGTCTCTGGCGGCTTTAAGCTCATGAACGCCCGGGAAATGAGAGACCTACTGCAAGTGAGATGTTTGTGGTCGGACTCTGCGACTAATCGTCATCTTCTTACGGCTCACCGACACCAGCTGCTGGAAGCCTAACTCCTGGCTGCCTTGGTAACCATTAAATCTGTGGGGTAATAATATGTTAATGAGGATTGTTTGTAAGCGATTTTCCCCTGTTGGCCCCCAAAATTCTAGTCCTATCCGTGCCGTATCAAGGAATTTAAGCGCTTCTGGAATGATCATTTACCACGGAGGGATGCATCTTACAATTGTGTGATCTCACGGTTGCATATGCCATGCTGTTGGTGCCTCACTCGCCGAATAAAAAAAAAAAAAAAGGGCCCCTCATTGTAACCCCACCTTTGCCATGCTGCAACACAACTCCCAGCAGAGTTGGATTTGTTGTTATCCTACAGAGCGCATACTACGACTCTCTCTCCAAATGTCTCGATGTATCATATCCAATTGAAACGGCCCACGCAAACAATTGTATCACTTGCTCTGCCTTCTCCAAGATTTCGCAACTTCCCACCCTTTTGCTGAACCAACCTTCGCACCATGATACTGCCTAAGAAACAAGGCAAAATCGGTTACAATTCCCTCGCAAGACAATGCCTTGTAAGGCCAAAGTAGCCAACCATTAGAAAATTAGGCGAGTACCATGTGAAAGTCCGGTGGGCGCTTTATTCCATAGTCCATCAGAATTTGAGGGTCATAATATGCACTCGAATGGCGCCTTTCGGTGAGCTGGAATGCAGCATATCTACTGCCTACATGACCCCTCACTTAGCTCTCAAACATTATCTGATCTTCAAGCGGTTGCCAAGGTGGGTGTGGTGGGTGTGTGTGTAAAAGAAAAAAAAAAGTGCAGAATTACATAGTAAAATGAAATCTACCTTCATGGACGACATTCCTGATTCGTAGAATTGAAACGCACGCGGATGCGAATCGAGACTGTAAAAAGTGCAAAAGCAATAATATTGCCAAAGATGTCAGACCCTGGGTCCCGCCTTTTTGTGGCATGCAGTCTGGCTGGTTTCTCAAGACTGATTGAGTAGTACAACGCAATTCACTGCGACATTGTAGATTGCTACTACTGTCCCATTTGAGCCGGTTCGTATCAGAGACATTGTGGATTTCTGCGACAACGGTAATTAAATACTACAATTAGCCATGTATCCCGTGTAAACGTAATATCTAGGCAAACTCAACTCAACCACCCGTAATTATGGTATGATGCCGACCGAACGCCTGATTATGCTGGTATCAAACCTAGCCCAAATGACGGTCGCCCTGCGTCCGTGTTTGCGGCATATCTTCGATCCGTGTCTCCCCCAGCCCTTCCCATTTCCCGACACACTGACCTCAGCGGCTGAAAAAAGTAGGATTCGCTGATCCTCTTTCTATACAATTGTGGTTCTTGATGGTAACTGCCTTTGGATTGAGCCGCATTTCAGCAGGAACCGTTGATCTGATGGAAGCATGAAACAGGATTTGAAATTCCAAGGATGCTGAGACTGGTTCCTGGTTGCCTTGTTTTGGGGCCCCACCCGAGCTTAGTGAAGGGCAGATCGCCCACCTCCACCTCAGGCATCGGCACTGTATACTAACAGCATTGGCGGTATGGTAATCCTTTGTATCCATGGATTGCTTGTTGATACCGTATGTTCACCGAGTCCCGAAAGTTCGGTGAGCCCCCTGTCGGAAACGGTCCTTGTCAGTCGACTTTTATCCGACTTCATCGGAATGTTGAATGAACATGGGCCATGTGCATGGGTGGGAAAGTAGTAAGAGAGCCAGCCAATCTTGTGGTGAATTGACCACGACATTGAACTACACATACTACCAAGGCCAAAAGTAGATAGAAGAAGAAAAGAAATAACACACTAATCATGAAATGGATCAACGACTTTGATTGTTATTGTGTGAACATGGGGCCACTCTGAGAAGCTTCCTCTACGTCCATCATCAGCTGATCAGCCTGCCCAAGATTCTTGGTTGTTGCAGCGGTAGGAAGCTCTGAGTTGACCGTCTCCGGGGTTTCACCAGAAATGGTCATTTCCGTGTCGTCCATAACTGTAGAAATGTGGTCTGCAGAAGTCGAGGTCAAATGCGTGGCGTAGTCAGATCCTACTCCAAATTCATGAGTGATGCTGTCATATGTGAGCCATTTGTTGCTGCGAGTCGCCATACGACAGCCCAGCCAGAGGATTCGCTCAATTCTTTCTTCCGTCATTGATGCCACCTCAAAGTACTTCTCATCGTCGTCTATCTTGTCGTTTCGGAAGAAGTCAGTTGGGTAATACTTGTCAACCCAGAGCAAGCCTTTCATAGCGAAATCTTCCGGAAGCGGTCGTGGAACTTCATTCTCTGGCTGGGGAAACTCGCTGCTATTAATACGCTCGTAGTTGCGATACGACGAGAGTAGAAAATTCAGTAAGGAAGCCGCCAGCTGCCAAGGAAAACTCTTCTCAACCAAGCTCATTGCTGATGGATAAGCGATAAGGTGATCCATAAAAACAAGAACTGTATGGAAATAAGGAAGGATGTTTGGGTCGGCTTGGCGCCGGAACACAACCTCTTGTGTACCCTGGGTCAAATGCAGAGCTCTCTTGAAAGCCTCTGGCATATCATCAGGCTCCGCCATGGTGATATCAGCGGCACCGTCTGTCCGTGGTGGACGGATGGTCTGGAATATAGAATTGTCGTCTTTTCCATATGATAACAGCGCACAACAATTCGAAATCCCGATGTAATACCCAGCCTCCATCCAACGCCTGGTGCTTCTGCCGATGTGGTTGTTCAAGTCTTGCAAGAATCCTTCCACTGCAGGGAAGAAATCATCTTGACACTTGCCACTGAACATAATTCCATGTGCCTTGACAAAGGACGAGTCGATGGGAGGAAGACGAGACTTCTGCGCTGTCGCATTTAGGATGGGATCAAAGAGTGTCATGATTGAATCGCGAGCTGACGTGAAAGGCGTGGGAACGCAAAGAGACTTGGTGTAGTAGAAGAGCTGTTGCAGTGCGTTGGGGCGAGCCAGGATGGCCAGATGATGGTATAACCTCCCAGTTGTCGGTGATTTATCCGACGCCTTTGAATACCAGTGCCGCGAGACAGATGTCCATACCTCCCTGTCGCGAATATCGTCGTCCTCGACTGCCATTCTGTATCTCCCCAAATCGCCTAGGCATTCTATCCACGTGTCTTCAAACGCGGGCACGGTCTCATATAACAAGGCCATCATTGAGTAGGCCAGATAAATGAACGTAAGCATATGTTCCAGCGACGCTGGTAACCGATGTCTAAGAAGTTCCAGAAATGAATGAATTCCATGGCGCCACATCCTAGCTGGCATAGCACTGCAAACTTGATATGAGTATATTCATCCGAGGCATATGAGATAGAGAACTTACTACTTGGAGGCTAGCCGCCGTAGTGCAGGATTGGCTGAAGGATGTTGAGAGGCAAGGAAAAAATCATGATGCTCATGTAACAAAGTCCTATGCAAAGCAATCAAGGCCTGCCATTGCTCGTTGTTAAGTTTCCCCCCATTTTGCGAGCTCTGAGCATTGTCGACCTCGATACACTTACTCTCAACCATTACCAGGCCAGCGTATATACCCTTAACTTCCGCAACTAGTTGTTCCTGAGAAATCGGACGAGTCTCTGGTTGTTTAATAAGAGGAGTAATATGGTCTTCCTCAGACGTGGCTTCCTCAGCAAGTGGAGCTTGCGACTGAGTATCCTGCTTTCTCACTCTATTTGATTGCCTAAGTTTAACTGGAGTTGTCTCTTTGGAAGGGTTGTTTGGGTCATACAGTCCACGATGAGTGGTCTGCGGTCTCCGACCAAAGGCAGGATCTGAAGATGCATTACTAGGCTTGGTTGCCTTGGATCTAGGAGTGGCTGTCTGATTTTCAGGTGACTTGCCCCCAGTGGGGGAGGTTGGTTCATCAAGTCTGGAGTCCTTGGCAGAAATATCTTTTGTAGCATGTCCAGAGCTGACTTGGTTTCTAGAGGACTATTAGTTGATTGGATAGGAGGACATGGTGCTGTCAAGAAGGAAGAAAAAAAAAGGGAGTACAAACCCCCGCTCGACCCCTTTTCCCTCGTTTTGATTGGCTTTTCGGCAGTCACCAATAAGCTGTGCTAAAGTCATTTTCTTGCTGTCTAGGATATCTTGATGAGTCGTTGTGAAGTGCTGTTTTAATCTCTCATCGCTGTCGGCGAATTTGCCTGCGCAGTCTTTCAAATGACATTGCAGCTGGTTCGCGCGCCTGAGAGACTTGATAAACGACGTATCAAGATCTCCTGGTTTTCTACCCGTCATCGTGGTTTTCATCTAGTGCGAGTCTGAACGTAAGGCGTTTCGGCCGTTTATGTGAGTTATTTCTGAGTTGCCTTGACATAGGTTCCAACCGATAGAAGGTCAAGTTGTGTTTAGGCAGCCTCGCAACCTCTGCCTGTTGGCGATTTTTCAGAGACTCTAGGCAGTATTTCAGCTGTCGTCGCCTGTCCCAAGTGGCAACAAGTCTGATGAATCATTCAAATTTGATGAGTCGTCCGCCCAGGCCGGATAGGAGCAGCTGCGCCCTTTCTGCTTACGTTAATCACATGATCTCCTCGCCAGTGGCCCTTTTGACAGGCAGAAAGGACGACGCACCGACAGAAGAGGACGAAAAAGGTTGATCTTGTGACTACTAGAGTCGCGAAAAATCAAAGGAACCGCGGTTTGCTCAAAAGCAGACCAGAGTGTGGGGTTCTCAATCCGGCAAGGTCCTGAAATTGAGCACAAGCAGCAGCGCCGAAAACGTATTTTGTGCACGGAATGATTTAGGCGGAATGACAACGTAGGCGGGGCATGTCGGAAATAACGACAACGGTGACCCTGGGAATTGGAAAGGGGACAACGAATAGCAAACAAGCTGCAGTTAGAATAGCGATTCTATTCTATCACAACTTGAGGCTCCTCAGCGAAGATATATCTATCTGGTCGGGATTTATTGCTCGGTTCGCGACCAAGGCCGGATTTCGATGAGGCCAAACCAAAATTGGGAGCCATGGCTACGGTCGCCCCCCTAAGTGTCGTTAAATTCCACCCATGCAACTAGGTGGTTGCCTTATTTTAAGCCGCACAGGCGAACCAGTTCGCACCCATTCCCCTCGTTTCTTTCCACCAACATTTATTCGTTCGTTCCCATCGACTTCATTTTTCCTATCAACAACCAAATTCCAGCTCTTGATAATTGAAGCTTCAAGAAAACTGAGTCTCAATTGACCTCTCATACGTGCATGAGCTTTGCGCGGTTTGATAACGAGAACGAAGTCATGTCCAAAGTCATGACAACAGAGCTTTCGGCTGGTCACGTCCGTTAGCTGAAGGTAGCTTACAGGGCGGGAGCCCGCTCCACTTCCTTCACCGAACGATGCAAAAACAAAGATAATGTGGTCGAAAAAGTAAAACAAACACACCGAGAGAAAACATGGTTTGTATTGGGGGCCAACTGTCAGCTAATATAGCTTCAGCCTTATGCTCGCAAGGCTTCGTGCACTTTGGGAATTAATTCCTAGTCATTATGGCCTCGTTTTTACATTCCCGTAGTGTATCAATAGGGTCTATTTTAAGGAATGGCATTGACCAACGTATATAATCGGGCGGTTGCAGCAACTCTAGGAACTCCAACTCCAACAACAAGGCACAAGGCACAAGGCATAGCGCCAAGGCAAGTAAGCTGCAAGATTGTAGTTGATGAGATATGCCATAAGCGGGAAAAAGGGAAGAAGGAAGAAGAAGACCACCAGGATCCAGTAACATCATCTTTCTCGGTAACTCCAAATGTCGTTTGATCCACAAATATGCAACTCGATTTGTTTAGGTAAATCTGAATCCTCGTTTGAAGCTGCACTCCTTTTGAGGCCCTTTTTCTCCTGGACTATTAAGCATTATCAACGGTCAACTCTTTATTGGTTCCACATTGAAAATGGGTAATTACCGCAATACGACTCAATGCAATCAATAATCAGTCTCTTCTGCTAATAAATAAGAGAGTTTTTGGCTTATTAAATGTCAGCCATGGATTAGAGAGAGGTCCTTCTTGGTGGCGGTGTACAAAGTAGGAGCCGCTGCTGATTGGCTCGAATCTCAATCAATACTAGATCATGACAAGCTGAAAGTCTCCCAAGGTGGCAATGGCAATTGGCAATAAAGACTGGCAGATCTGAGTCACGCGCGTGTCGTATATGAGCCAGTGTCTCTATTTTTGCCACGAGTTCGCGCATTCCTATATTACAGGGACTTTCTGTCTCCTTTTCAGCTCCCCCTCGGATTGTCTAAAGGACTTGATGGTTGGTGTTGCTTACTGTCAAACCCTGTCTGAGGCAAGCTGAGCGCTTATACCAATCCTACACAAACATTAGTGAGATCAAGGAATACACGAAAAACTTCTTCTTGACATCTTTGAGTATCCTCTTTACTTGGCACAGCTAGCATGGATCGACCGGATTAAGAAATCTTCTCAAAGGCGGTTATCCCAACCTCCTCAGCTGTATGGAGACGAGGCTTCCTGCCTACGAGTAGTGGCGACAGGAGTGGCGATAGCCCTCGAGACTGTCATTCGACATTGCTGTTGTCGTCACCGTTGCGCTTTCGGACTTTCCTTCGGTCGCCAGCGTATCTAGGTAACCGTCAACAACGTCTACGCCGGATCGAGTGCGCAGCTTCAATGGTCCCCGAATGGCGGTGAGTTTGTCGCAGCCATGGATTACCAAGAGCCGCTCTCGAAAAAAAAGCCTGGTCGAGTGTCATGAAAAGCTGCCCAATAGTGGATCAAACATTGCATACATGTTAGGGAGAAAGACTATTGCTGTCAAGACGCCTTAGGTTATCATTGAGCAACGACTCCCATCTCGATCGTCGTCGTCGGGCGTTTGAACGTGCAGAACGTGAGGCATCAGCACTATCTTTTCTGGAGCGACAACATCTTGTGAAATCCTTCATCAGTGGAGTGAAGCCAGCTGACCTGGCGAGGCTACTCATGCACGTCATCTAGGTATCTCGAGATCAGGCATGGAACTATCAAGCTGAGCCCTTGTGTACGCTCGCACGACTCAAGACGAGCACAATGCTCCCAATAACAGTTGTCAAAGCTGGATAAGCAGGCGGATACAGTCCCACCGAGAGGAATTGCCTTGATATGTGGTGCAATAGGAGCACTTGGATCCCACTATTCAAATCACGACGTGTCCTGTCGCCACAGATGCAGCATCACGCCCCCAAATGCACCAAAGACATTGTTCTGGTCATATACAAGTCGACGCGAAGGAGCAATCAATTTGCGCCCGATGATGGATTTTTACCCTTTGAGTTGGCGTAGTGCCAGGTGCACAGTTTCCCTTAGGGTTTGACGAGCATGGGTACAGACGATTGGTTGCAAAGACCCAAGACCCCGTGTCGGTGTAAGTATCCCACAGTAGAGGACATCCCTGCTAAAGTGGCAGGCGATATCGCCTGTACTATCGCCATCACGACCAATGGTTTCATATTCACACTGGCACAAGATATTTGCCTTCAGATGATTGAAAATTTTTGCCGGGCATGGCTATCGCACCTCCTCCAGGGTAGCCCAACACTCTGATTGGAGAAGCTCAGGGGAAGTGAGTCATTGACTTACTTATCCTACTCAACATTCGCAACCATTATGTTTTCAAATTTTCTGATTTATATGCGCATTTCAGTCATTTTTCATGCATACAGCCCTGAATAAGAACTGTGATATACCATGTTGAGTATGCAGTACTACGTTCTGCGTTAGACGATGGAGGGTCAAACTTGCTTCTTTCCTCGCCTTGTCTCATGCAGAAACGAATGGAAATCAAAAGTGATTTGCCTGCCCTGGCACAACATCTTCTGTCACGAAGATGTTTTAATGTTGGGGCCGGAAATTATCTTTGACCAAATAATTGGGTGCACTTCAACACGTGTAGAGTTTCCGTCAATATTTCGGTGAAGAGACTTGTAGAATTGATTGGCAGATCCTCCAAATATAAATATGCAGGCAAGCTACTCAAGATGTGTGTCCCAACGCTATTCGGCAGTCGTTGGGATATCAAGGCATTGGTGTTCATAGGTCAATACATGTACGCCCAATAAGATTCCCATTCAACTGCATACCGTATCGTTGATGCCCAGTTATCGTGATCGAAAGCAACAGAACCCAATGCAGCATTGAAGGCATCATTGCATGGTTTATTGTCAAATCAAACATCAATCACGATCAACACCTTCGTCATCTGTGTGCTCGGGCGCTGTTCTTTTCTTTTCTTCATTTCCTTCATGGCACGCCGTCCGTGAGAAGATCATCAGTGTCAACTCTTTATTGTTGTCACACAAGTCTAACTGCCTGTATGTCTGCGCCCGAGCGCGGATATTTGTCGAACAAGCTTCCGACCGGTGAGTTGGTTTAAGGTGACACGCATCAATATACTCTGGAGAAGTCCATAGAATAAAAGGGGCCACGTCTTTTGTAGATCAAAATTGACATCAACGACGAGCTCAACTTCATGGCCTTCGAGGCAATTTGCCCGATGCCACCACACACGACCGATGACAGCGTTATCGTTGAACGAAACATCAGTCTAGTTTGGCCTCTGTTTAATCAATATCCCGGCCCCATTACACGTCACAGCTGAGAATACGACAACTCATGCCTGATGTCCAGTCATAAAAGGCGACCAAAGCAGGCGCACTAGCTACCCGCCTGGCCTTTGCGCCAAAGAGCGCCTTCTGGGAGGAAGTTCCTCAGCCTCGAGCAAATGATCATAACAGTGTACGACTTGAATAACAAGAAGATTGAAGCTACATGCAGAACCAACAGGCCCAGATATTCGGTCTTTGTCTATTTGAATATCGCGTACACTCTTTGAGCCTTGTTCCGTGTTACACCGGCTGCGAATACCCGTCTACTATTAGTCCCTGTCGTAGGGAACCTACATTTACCACACTTCTATTCTTGTCTGTGGCAGCATTAGGATAAGTATCAAAAGCAATCGTGAGGCAAAGCTGTAACGGATGAGAGCCTCGGAGGAATTTCTGGCCATTCCATCTAATACACGTTGATATAAATGACCAAAAGCCCTTCGCCTTTTTGGTCATGTCTAAAAAGGGGGCATACCAACTTTGCTAAGATTGGCCAATAATTACCGACCAACCTCATTGCTTACCACACACACACGCAGGCGCGCGGTACCGAGCTGCGCCAACGACGTGTGCAGGGCTACACGGTCCTGTCGTCTGGATTCTGTAAGCGTTCTAGAAAACGGTCGGCGCATAGTTCGTACACATTCGTTGCATTCAGTCAGCCTCATAGTAGTAATCTTGCGCCCGGTTACCCAACCAACGACGCGAGGCTGGCTCAACTTGTGAGTTGTGAGTTTTCACAACACTACTACTCACAACAAATGCGTCCCACCAATTGCTTGAGCACACGATACTACGATAGTGATGATGCCATCAATAAACATTCAACAAATTACCTCGTATCTTTCTTTTGATGGTGTGTTGCGCGAATTAAGCTTTGCAGTCTCCTGATTACTGGTGGTACCCGAGTAGGTAAAAAACCTCAAGGCCCGGAGGTGGCCGCGCCGGCTGACAGAGGTCATTCTTGACAGGTCATGCAGCTAGCAGCCCCTCGGCTTAAGTTCAGCTAGTGTCCGTATGCAACTGCATTTTAGCACTTGATTACAGACTCGTTCAAAGAACTTTCATGGTTTTTTAGCGATTTGCGTAGGTGGTCAGATTGAAACAGGTGACCATCACGAGCTGCGACTTGAGTGTAAAGCATACTTACTACCTGCTTATGAAAGTAGCGCGACTATGTAAGCCACTCGCGGACCTTCCCAAATGGGCTATGTCTCTCTTATAAATAGTTTAAGAGACTTATTCACATCGTGTCCATACTATATTGCCCAAGCTGACGTGAATTCTGGTTACGGTAGCCGAGTGAGGAGAAAACTAGTTAGGCACATGTCCATTTAGCCGAATCAGTCGATGACGCCTGTTTAACTCACGATGGCATCGCATGGTCCTGCTGAGTTCTACCTAATTACTCATAGAAAGCGCTTCACTAATCAACCCGGTTGCCTTCTTTCACACACCGAGTGACTGAGGGTGTAAAGAAATCAAGCTGATGGTGTTGATTGAAGAAATAGGCTACAGGATGCCCAAGGCAAATATCTCATGGCATGTTGTTATGGTAACGTGGGCAGGGTAGTTGCCTAGTAGTCATCAAGGTGTTATTAGGATCCCTGATGAATCACGACTAAAAACTCATATCAGCACCAAAGCCCCACGCCCTGCGGCTCTGCTGTCATCATTTTTTCCAACCACCTGGATCATGGTTCCGTCATAGTACTACCTTATATTGATAGGACTCCTGCCTCTCCCAGCCTCTTCACCAAGCCCGGGCGAGGCTCCTCATTGCCTCGCAGGCAGACGCTGCTTGATATTCAGGGCAACATCGGCCCCGTGCAGAGTCAGGAACGCCGATAGCAATGCGCTGAGAACAATCGCCAGGACGAGGTGCGCGACAGAGAACCCGTTGACGGGTCTTCTGCTATTCTCCAAAGAAGAGTTGCCCACCATTTTCTTGAGAGGCACGATGCCTTCCTTTCTCATCGTTTCCTGACCGACCTTCATTCCAGGCAGGCCATCTACGCTCCAGGCATTCTTGAGGGCCCAATATCTACAGGTTCAATACTTCAGTACAGTTCCTTGTGCGTTGCATACTCTCCCATACTTACCTTGGCATACTCTCCTCCTCCTTGCCGTTCAGATACCGCTTCTCCTTCTTCTCAAAGTACTCATCCAGGACCGGCCTAAAGGCCTTGAAGTCGTAAAACGGCACCGAGAAACCACACGACGTGCCAACCTGGTGAACATCGACAAGAATAATCGTCCTCGTGCCGCTGTGCGTCCCGACCGTGTTCTTCTTGACAAAATCGGCGTACTCGGCGGTGCCGCGCTCGAGCACGCGACCGCGACCAAACAGGCGCAGGATCCGCGGCGGGCCCTCAAAGGCATTGAAGAGGATCGTGACCCGGCCGTTCTCGTATAGGTGGCTGATGGTTTCATTGCCCGAGCCCGTCATGTCCATGTAGTAAAAGGTCTTTTCATCAATGAGCCCAAAACAGGCACCGCCCTTTGGCGAGACGTTGACGTGCCCCGCCGCGGAGAGCGGCGCCGTGGCCACCCAGAACATTTTTTGTTCCAATATCCATTTGAACAAGGACTTTGGAATCACTTCATAGTAGGCCCCCATTTTGTTGTCGAAAGTGTTATAATGAGAATTGGACTTGTCTGGTGGTGACCTTGAGTATTTGGCCTCCGACTATGTTCGAATGAGGGGAGATGCGAACTCAATACCTTGTCCAAGTGCTTACCCTCCGGAACCGACGTCGGAGGGGCTATTTGACACTCTGGTGATCTGACCGCGAGCACTATGTATAGTGCTATTCACGGGGTTTTCGTCCAACAATTGCAATGACGGCCTCAATTGGAGCGTTAGAAAACAAGGACTAGATGCTTTTGATTCAAGGCTACTGCACAAAAGTCAAGATTCAATTGTCATCTGGGCGCCCTTGCAATTGAGTCATGGCTTGCTACCTAGTACTGTTTCTCCATCCAAGGACTTTCTGCACGATGGAGTCATACCCCAATAACACGGCCAATCGGATATATTTCCCGTGAATTACACCATGCCTAGAAGCATTGTTATCTCAAGATCACCATCTAGTCTGCCACTACCCCGTCGTACAAACAGGGTGTCTATGAATTGATAAACTTTGTTGTTGAGAATTGAAATTCAACAGCGATATAAATTATACTCCGCACAACGCAGTATGCCATGAACACTGAGTCAATATTAAATGTGCAAAGTCCATCCAAGTCTAATCAATTCTGACATCGCATTTGCTTTCACATAACGACTCGTCATGACATGAAATGGACACCTGATATACAAAAGTCACTCAAACATTCACTATGGCCAGAAGCACATTTGTACCAAAATATGCTCAACACAGGTTCATATTGAGAAGACACCAAATTTCAAAAGCGCGAGGATTCTAGGACAATACATAGAGGGGGGTATCATGTAACGCGATGAACAAATACAACCACAAGTTTCTCAATCAAAACCAATAGCCGCCCCCTCACAAACTCTTCCTTTGTTATACCAGTTGATTTGCGGCAGGTGCTCAGCAGCCACCCACCTGGCCGTGGTAGTATGCGTGCTTCCCTGCCCAAACGGCTCATGCGTCTTGTCCTTGCGCATCCTCGTCTCCTCGTCTCCCTCCTCCTCGATATCCAGCCCCCCTAATCCCAGAGCAATGTCCTCAGGTCCCCGTTCGTCCCGAGGGAAACTCGAACGTCCTTGTGCAAGCGCCTGGAACACCACGAGCTGATCCTGGAGAAACTCGTCCACGGCGCCGCGCAGCGCAATCTCGTCGTGCAGGTCGCCCGCGACCTTTTTCGACATGTCGTGGGCCAGCGCGTCGGGCGCCTTTGTCTTCCACTTCTTGTCGTAGAGCCAGTCGCGGCCCCAGCGCAGACCAGTCTTTGAATGCGCCACCAGCAGCACGTACATGCGGCTCTCGTGCCCGCTGTCCTCGGTGACGACAAGGTTGACGTCGACGTTGGGGAAGAGCCGGTCTAGATCGCGGGCAAGTGCCTGCTGCAGGGGAGCATGCAAATGGGTCGGCGTCAGAATGGTTGCGTCGATTTTCTCCATCTCAAAATCCTCCTCCGTGTATCTCTTGTTCCATGGTACTCGCGAGGTCAGCTTCTCGCCGGGTCGCAATGGGTTGAACTGGAAGTGCACGCAGCCCTTCTTGGCGGGGCCGAGACTCCAACCTCTTTGCTTCAATTGTCTCTTGATCACAATGCCGAATTGGTCCTCTAGTGTTGGTAAAAGGACTTGGTCCAAGTACTCCCAGCTCAATGAGAAGGAAACATTGGTGCCGCCATGAATCTCAAGCTCGATGCCGTCTCCTTTCCCCGCGGCAGCCGCAGCAGCATTGCCGGCGAACAACAGGTACGGCAGTATGGCCTGGAAGATGAGCATGGCACTCGCGGCAGGGGATTCGACATCAATGGAAATGCTGCGCTGTGCGAGAGCCGTTGGTGGAGCCTTGGGTGCAAACTCGAGCGTACGCGAACCGACGGCTAAACCGTCAACCTGGGCATTGGTCGCCCGCGCCAGCCATGCAATGGACGAGACATGCTGTGATTTGAGGCCGCCGCCGCGGGCAGCTCCAGCCCGGTTGCCGCGCACGTTGGTGATGCGGATCGCCTGCCCCGTCACGGCGGCGAGGGCACAGGCCAGTCGGACGAGTTGGCCGCCGCCTTCACCCGTTCGCCCGTCGAGAACGAGTGGTTTTGCTGCCTTCATATCTATATTCCGATTCAATGATTTGTCGTGATTTCCGAATTAGGAGTAATTGGAAACGTTGCAGCTGTGGCCATGAATAATTGTCTGAATATAAGCCTTGTTTCCGGTGGTCTTCAAAGTGGCTATGCTGTTTGTCGACTGTGAGTCACACGGTAGGTAGGCAGTGGTTATGCGAGACGGCTCCGACTAGAGCGGAATAAATGGATCAGATTTCGCAGACAAAGGCAATGGACGATGCTCATTAGGGATATGTGGATTCTGGAAAACACGAAAAATGTAGAATCCAAGCTATGATTCATTATGATTGGCAGTCTTGACTGCCTGCGCATGTATCAAAAATCAAATGTATCCAAGAGCGCAAGTTGCTTTGCCTGAAGTAAGGACCCCGCCGTCTGTAACGCCTGCAAACGCCACCCAATTGGAGAATGAAGCCAGCCAAATGTACAGAAATATTACTGATGATAATAATCACCTCAACTGGACTCATCGCCATCTGCGGAGCCGGTGAGTTTGTTCCACAGATCATCAACTTTGCCAGTCAGCCAATCCCAATAGTCTTGCCAAGATTGGAACTCTTTTGGCTCGTCCCCATCGTCGCTTGAATTGTCCGTTGTTGGCGGTTCGGTCTCTTGAGGAGGTTCTACGGGATCAACACCAACAGTCGCTGTTGGCTGCTCAATCGACTCGGTAGCAGCGCTTGTTGCCACAGGTGAAGTGGAAATAGGCACGCTCTCTTCTGTCGCAACATTTGTCGTTTCTGGGTCTTCCGGCTCTGTCAGGGCCGTCTCGGGCTCGTGGAAGCCGACAGTCTTTAATGGCAGGCGAAGTGTTCCATTGTTTGGAATGGGTTTCATGCCAACCGAGTCGCATAGAATGTTATATACCTCGATGTTCTCTGAAAATGTGTTAGATCAGCGCACGACTTGGGTTTGCTTAGAGAGTGACTTACGGAAAGGTTCGACCCTGCTATTCGGCTCATGCGGGAAAGCAGGGCCACGAGCAATGAATATGGCTCTCATTAAAGGGTGTTCATGATCATAACCATGGAGACCACGGGGATGATAGACTAGACCCTTGGTTTTGGCTTCTTCGAGATCAAACTCTTCTTTGGAGACGATGGCCCAGCCTGTTTTGGGGATAATCCAAAGAGGAGCAATGCGGTCATTCTGAGAGAAATGATAGCGTTCCGGCATGTCCTTGTCCTTTAGATAAACCTCAAAATTGGGGTTTGTCTTTCCCTTTTCGACTGCCTGTTCATACAGTTCTTGCAGATAGGACGCTTCTTTCGGCCGCACGCCAACAAGTGGCCAGCCGTCTACGTGATCGACCTTGGTCATATCGATAAGATCGTCCATCTGAATCATCCGAGAGATGTCCGTCGTGGCCATGCCGTGATCTGATACAATGATAACGTTGACGATATTGGTCAAATTTCGCTTTTCAAGACCAACAAAGACTTGATCCAGCATATTGTCAACCTGAGTGATGGTGGTTCGAATCTCGGTGCTGTTGGGTCCATATTTGTGACCGTCGGCATCGACGTTTGGAACATATGCCGCAATAAGCTGCGGTCGCATGTTCTCAACACTGGCACTGGGATCTTCCATTCCCGGCCTGTCCAAGAACTCGAGAATCCTGGCAGCTTTGTTGTCCAGAGACTCTTTCCCATTGTAGTGATCGAGTATAGTGGGCTCAACACTCATGATGTGGGCTTCACTGCCAGGCCACATGTGGACGGCAGTTCGCAGCCCCTGTTCTTCGGCTGTTACCCAGAATGGTTCTCCCTTCCACCACTTGGGGTCCATGCTCCGCGAAGGGTCCGTGTAGTAGAACTCGGCTTGGAGTTCTGGATCCCAGAATGTGTTGCCGACAACGCCGTGGCTCTCAGGATACAGGCCCGTCGCAAGTGTATAGTGGTTAGGAAATGTGACAGAGGGGAATGAGGGATTCATGTACGGCGGACTGACACCCTCCTTTATGAATGCGCTCAATCTGGGCGTGAGTCCGCGCTGCAAAAAGTCGGCGCGGAAGCCATCGAGACTGACAATGAGAGTCGTCGGCGCAAAAAGGGCCGTTCCATTGCTGACCAGTGGAGGTAATGCCCTCTTCTTGTCCACGGACAGCTTCCATGCCACAAGTGACAGAAATGCAAATCCCACGATGAGAATGGTGTGTATGAACAGCCACTTCTTCCATCTCCTCCTCTTTTCGGCTTTTTTGTCAGAGTGGTATCGGAGATTCCGGCGGTCATGTTCCTCGCTATCCTCTCGGTCGCTGCTATCGCCGGTTGAGCTGCCTTCACGTATACCGCCCGACTCCATCTCGTACATGAGCTCTCCGTCCTCGCCGTGTTGCGCATCCTCGAGCAGGCGTTCCTTCTTTTGTTTCCGCCGCGACCGACGCGCCGATCTCTTTTCATCGCGGAAATCGTCCATCGAGGTCTGAGAACCGTTCATTGGACTGCGTGAGCGATCGCGCCCTGGGACTTTGAACATTTGCAGCGGATTCGGTATGGCCAGGTTGCTGCCCCGTCGCTGGAGGCCATCGTGTTTCGCGCGGCTTGCAGTGACCAGCTCGTCCATTTCTTCTTCCTGCATCAAAACGAGACGGTCGCGAGCCCGGAGCTCTCTACTATTGCGCGCGCGGGCGACGAGCTCGTCATCTTCGCTGTCCGTGTCCTGGTCGCTTCTGCTTTGCAGCGAACTTGCATCTTCGTCGTATCCGTTAGGGGACAGCAATGCGCTATCCCTGTCCACCCGGGTGTCGAGGGGCTTTGGCCTGAGAGGCATCGCGGTCTGAGGCTACGGGGCTCCAATGATGACGATATCACATGTGATTCATTTCTTGAAAATGGCGCAACTATAGACTGGCGCCCAAGATAGCGACAACAGAAACACAAAATATTGTTGGGATGTTGAAAGATGGAGGATTCTTTTTGACCCTCATCGCACGCCAAAGGCCACTAACTGAATGAAAGGGTCCTGCCGCCGTCCTTCTAGATTGGGTCAGACGGGGCCTGGGCAGTGGCTCCCTGGACCGTGCACAGATATTTTCGGCAGCCATCAATGATTGCCGGGTTGCTGTCAAGAATATGCATTTCTATTGTAGGTATCTATTATATTTGAGCGAATCTCATCCGAGGTCACAGATATATATATATATATATATATATATACATATACTACTGCTTCTCAATGGAGATCGTTTCACTAATTGTGCTTGTGCATTTTCATGCACGTCAAGTGGTTTACTCGAATGCCATTGGAGTTGCGAGACACTAACAGTTACTTGAGATCCAGTGGTCGAGCTACTCATGTAGCTAGCAGCCCTATTGAATAATGCCATTGACTGGAGCATGTCCAGACTCCAATTGACAGCAGTATTATATAGCGAACGACTCATGCCTGAATGGGGCCACATTGTGGTCATGATGTCCAGCCCGCCATGCCTGAGGACTATTCAGTTACCACTTTAAATGACATGGAGCCGACAGATTGGTGATACATTGCCAATTTTGACCATGACGGACAATATGCAGCGTTTAAGCACGGTGCTTTCTTTCTGGTTCTTACGATAAGAAAATGACGTCTATCTTTCTGCAAGATATCACACTGGCATAATCATCTGGGGTCACGGTGCAATTACCCCTAGAAAAGTGATGTAATTGCCAGTGGTGCTCAGCGAAACCTGGAGGCGGCGGGGATCGACAGGTGCTGCCCCCGGCTCCTGGCGCCCATTAAACGCGTAAAAACACGCTTGTCAACGCGTAAATTGAAATCCCCATTTTCTTTTCCCTTTTCCCCACCGTTGCTCTCCTGGAGCGGACCTACCAACCAAGCTTCAATCTAGCATTTCAAATGAGTAATGCTAACAGGGCATTAGGTCCGCAGCTATCGGGGCATTAGCCCCACCAATTACGTAATCCACAGCTGCAACGGGCCGCCAAAACTTTTACGGCCTGCTGGAACTTTATAGACGCACGGGCCACTCCATATATAATTTCGTATTTTTATATAATTACTATTTCCTAGCTTTAACAGCTTTAATAGCTTTAATTTCCCATTTATAATAATATTATATAATAGCGGAATCCAACTTATAGCCATTTCCCGAAAGCGGCCTATTTAAAGGTCCGCTTTGCGCGATAATAAAAAAGTTAATAAAGTCCTTAAATAAGCACGCAATTTAGTACGGCTACGCCCTAATCCGCCGAAATGCTGCGAATTACTTTAAGGGCAAATTAATAGTTTATTTTATTTTTTACGACCGTAGCAAATAATGCGTTATTTAAAATTACGGTATTAGAAATCGCCGGATTCGTTTAATAGGCTGCGAATTTAAGGGTAAGCTTCGCGCCCTTAAGGCAGATAATAGGCGATGGACTTTTATAGTTATTAACGGAACTTATAATTATCTAGCTTCCCGTAATATATTAGCTTATTTTTTGCTACGCCGATTCGAAAATAGCTATAAAGGATATATTACCAGCCTAGCTAAGCATAAAATCCGTTTTCGCGAAATATAATTTAGTTTTAAAGAAAATTTCCCGGATTACCCGTTTGCCAAAAAGGATATTAATAACTACATTTAAACCCTTTATATTAAAAAGCTTAATAGCTTTATAGCAATATAAGCCTTTATTAAAAAATTAATAGCCGATAGCCTTTGTTATAAAATTATTTACGCCGTAGATAACGCTTACCGTATAAAGGCTATAATTTGGATTTACCCTTAGTGCGAAAAGCTGTGGAAACAATTCCTACAAATCGCTAGCATAGATAATATTTATAAAACGAACAAATATTATATATCGTTCTTTAATATAACCGGTATTACGTATATAAGTTTAATTTTTAATATATATTTTGGTATTATACCTAACGAAATACATATTTCCTATAATTTATTTTTATCGATTTTTATACGATTCATATATAAGATCGGTGCTAACGAATTATTAGTTTTAGTTACTAATTTTAATCGGGAGCTTAAGGCTGCTGCTAAAAAGCATTTATTATTTACCTAATAGCAGATTTATATATTTTATATTAATAAAAATATTATTTTTAATATTAAAAAAAAAATAGTAAAAGATAAAGCAAGCATTAATTACTATTATAAACTAATTAATAGCTAACGTAAACGATGACTTTAACGACGAGGACTAGAACCCCGATTTTAGTGCCGAATCCTTTACGTTTAATAAGAAGGATCGTAAAGCTTTACGTTAGCTAAACTAATTAGCTAAGCCGGCTACTATTAAACGCTTACCCCTACTCCTATTTAAGCTTACCTATACCCGCGAAGGTATATTATTATGCTAGGCATATATAGTTTATTCGTAAATTATAATAAAGTTCTAGGTATTATAGCGCCGTTTAATAAAGGAATTCGTTAATAAACAGCGGCCGATCCTAAATTATTTAAAAAAAACATACCTGCCTTAGCGCGCATAATAGGCCAATTATTATATTTTACGATATCGTAATTACGGTATTCGTATTACTTCCCCTACCGAAATAAATCACTACTAAATTAAATCGTATCTATTCGATAGCTACGCTAATTTATTTAAGCTAGATAAAGCACTTACAAAGAAGCTACGCAATTAGAAACGCGATTATATATAAATTACCGCCGATAACGAGGTTAAGATCCGTCAAAGCCCGCTACGCTAGCTTTAGCTAGGTAACATAAATGCTTATATCTTACGGAAAGCATTAGATCTATTAGTCCTTTAATACCGAATAGCCCTTAGCTAGCTATTAATACCTTTACGACCTTTTCCGCCGCTATTAATACTTTATTTGGGTATATTTACGGCGTAATACGGTTTACCTTATAGCCACATTTTATTTAGCTATATTAAACCGAAAAAAAATAAGCCTAAAGTTTAAATAGTAAAGCTGGAGGAGATTAACGAATACTGGCATATAGGCTTTAATTTGGTAAATAATAAAATTTTAATTATACATTATATATACTAATTAAACATATTATAATTCGATAAAAAACCGGATTTTTAGATAATCGAGCCTAGGCAAGCTAAGCCCCGAGGACGGCCCAAAACTAATGCTATTATTATCCTAAATGCCTTTTATATTTAAATAATTATTAAATCAAAAGCTAACGGGGGAGGAAGCAAAACGGTTTTACACCTAAGCGTCCGCAAATTTTTATTATAATAGGAAATTATAGATCTTACGGGCGACGACGACGAGGAGGAGGACGATATCCTTATTAAACCGGTGGCACCCCCGAAAAAGCCAGCGGCTATTAAAAAAGCACCTGCCGTAATAGCATTAAAGGCTAAATTATCTAGCATAGCTCTATATATTAATATATTAATTTTATTAACGGCCTTTTTAGCCAGCTAGCAGGCTTTGCGCGATGCCGTCGCTGGTGCCGGTGCCGGTGCCGGTACCGGTGCTATTGTTATACCTATCGTTATTAATGATAATAATTTCTCGGATGACCTTTTTATAGATAGTAATTAAATAATTAACGTATAGGCTATTTCTTATATAATTTGTATTTTTTTGCAAATTTATCGGATTTAAACGATTTGGGCCAGATTTAGATTTATAGCTGTTATATAATCGGTGGTGCTGGAGTTGGTGCTATAGTTGACTATAGCGGGAAAATTGGTGGGGCTAATGCCCCGATAGCTGAGGGGGTAATGCCCTGTTAGCATTACTTTTTCAAATTCCCTTTTCCCCCAGCCTCTTCTCAACTTGGTCCCCTGACTTTTCCCCCCCTTCGTCACCGTCCACGCAACCTTTTTCACCAGTCTATTCAATTCATCACTTTAGTGTTCCCTCGTCATTGTGCACAATTTCTTGCATTAGGGGCTCGTGTTATCGTACACAGCCAAGTAAGATATTAGCTCAAGTCTGAATGGTTGCCCGTCGACGATAAGCAAGCCAATTGAGTATCAACCCGAGAAAAAGAAATACAACCTCATTCTCGTGTCCCATTCGCTGGTCAGACACCACCGCCATGTCCGCACCACGAACGAAGCGCCAGTTCGCCGGCGCAGCCAGCGACCCGGCCCAACGCCGCATCACCTCCTTCTTCAGCAGCTCCGGCGCCGTCTCTTCATCCACATGCCCCGACGATGCTCTAGCCCGAGGAGGTGGCCTCGCCGCCGTGGACTCATCTGTCCAGGCAAACCTCCTATCCGTCGGCATGCGGGTGCGCAAGGCCGTTCCCGAGGGCTACAAGACGAACGGCTACAGCGCCTTTTCGCTGTGGGACGAAAACAACAACACTACCAGCAGAAGTAACAGGGAGATGACAGCTCCGACCAAGACGACCTACGACGCCACCGGTCGCTCGCGTAGCGGCGCCGCCTCTGTGGCTACGACACCAAGGGAATTGCTCCCCTTTTGCGGCATTCACAAGATTGGCGGCATGGACACGCAAAAGCCAAACGCTGCCGATGATTATTCGTTTAGCCTGCCTTCTACCGAAGGTCCGCTGGGCCTGCTTGACCCGGACTCCATGGACGAAGTCCCGGGCCTCACCCTCAGCCAGGAGTCGGTCGAGTCAAATAATTCGATAGAGGCTGACACTTTTGGCTCGAGGACACGGAAGCGGTTCTTTGCCGACGAGGAGAGTGCTGATTTCCCCGACTTTGGAGCGAGCTCGCGAAGCCTCGCGCCCGTGGACCCCAGCAATGGCAGACGACTGGCCACACCCCGGAAGACTAGACTCTCGACAAAGCTGGATGGGCCTGGACCTGTTGGTCAAGAGAATGTCATGGTTCTTGATGACTTTGAGGAGGCTTCGTTCTTGGATCCGAACGTGGAAGTCGACATGGACGACCTTTGATGTGTAGGCGCAAAAAGAAAAGTTGCAGACGGCCACAATTATTAGCTGTCGTCTGAAACGGCATGGGACGATCGTCAAAAAGAGGTTATGTATGATCAGATTGAAGAGCTGTGCCAGAGGAAGAGGCTCTTGTCATTTGCACTTGCGTTGGCGTTTCTGGAGTTGCCCTCAGACATTAGGTCTGTCCTAGGGCTGAATTTGTCTTTTTTTGGTACAGCATGTATGATTTATTGTGAGGTTATAAAATCTGCCAGTCGTTGATGCCGACAGCATCAAGTAAAATATACCGATTATTCGACTATATTTTGTGCTTTGATATTCTCTGTGCCTGTCCCATGGCGAGCACTAGAGCAAAACCTCGAGAGCGAGTTGAAGTGGATCGGCTATGCTACATAGTACAATATGACCGTTTCATTATTACACTCTGAACGTGACAAAGTATAGCAGTTACAGAGGTGCTTGGCCGGCTATTACCTTGGATTGGTGCAATTCACTGCATGATGACTTGTAATCGTACAACTTACACCCCAATCATGCGTCCAAAGGGGTCTCTAAACTCGAGCAAGTCTCTTTGCCCATAGAACTCACCAGCCACGGTAAGAATCATGTTTAGTGTAGCTCGCAAATTGGCCTCGCGCATCTCGTTCTTGCCGTCTGATCCCGATTTTGCCTCACCTGAAGTTGCGACTGGAGTGTCGGCAATGCTGCCAGTTTGGTGATCTTGTACTTGCTCTTCAAAACTACTTTCCAGCTGAGCAAGTAGTCGGGCCTTAGCCGCCTCTACGTCAGCTGTGGGTTTCTGAAGCTCTTGGGGTTCGGCAGATACTTCCCCATCTTCCTCGTCCGAGTCGATTTGCATCTCGACATCAGATTGTGGGGTTGGGATATCGACAGATGCGTCCAATTTGTCCTGTGACGGTGGGGCTGTCGAGATTGCATCAGAAGTCTGAAGAGGTGATTCTGAGGTGATCTCCTCGTTCTTGCTGTCTGTTGGATCCTCGGGAGCAGTAGAGACTGCCTCGACCTTCTCGTTCCCATCCAATCCAATATCTTCGTTTGAGACAACGTCAATTTCTTCCACATCACCATTGTCTTCATTGTCTGCGCCGCCTTCGACGCCATACTGTTCTCGAAGAACATCTGCTTCGGCCAAGCTCAGCATGAACATGACCGCCCTCTTGCCTAGCTCACGGACCCAGCCAACTTCTGTATAGTCAAGCTCGCCCCTTTCCGGCAGCCGAGCAAGGAGGGCCCAGATCCAGCGACTTGTTCTTTCACGCAACTCTTGTCCTCTTCTGAAGAAATTACCGTTTAGGATGATTCGAATCAGGCGAAGTACGCTGTCCTTATGCATTGAGGCGATCTGGACTGGAAGCGGGTCGGTATTCCGAAGCCGTGGCGCCCATTCCTTATAGGGACTCGGCGTTGTACCGAAGCCGCGCACTTGTGTAGGGTGGCTGGCTGAAAGAGTTTTGACAGCAGTGCCAGGCGGCTCCGACTGTAATATGTCGCGAAGCATTTTGTACCGCCGGGTGATGCTGATAAAGTAGGCATCGTGAATCTCTGCAGAATTGCTGTTGCGAGGACCACCTAGACTGCTTTCTTCGCTTTTGACCTCGCTTGACTCGCCGTCTTCCTTGTCGGTCGCCTCTCCTTCTTCTCCTTCTTCTCCTTCCTCTTCGTCGTTGTCATTTTGTTCTCCATTATACCCGTCTGGGTATGCCGTGTATGCGCCGTCATGATAGAAACCCCGAAAATCGCCTCTTCCATCTTCGTAGATGCTGCGATCCACTGCGCCATCTTTCGACACTGGCAACTCGGGTCCTGCCTTGCGAGCAATGAGCACGTGGGGAATACCTTCTGCCTGACTTCTGACGGATTTGAGATAGGCGAGAGCGTCGGTCTCATCCTCCCATTCCAGGTCCTCGTCTTTTGGAATGGTAGCTGCGTCGAGGTTGCCGAATGCGAATCGCTGGCCATACGTTTCGTCCACGCCTTGGCCGTGTCGCTTTGCAGAATTTGAAGAGCTATTGAATCGGTGCTTCTTGACTGGTTGGTCACTGTCGCCGTCTGCGGGGCGCTTCTCGGCCATGTTGCGACAGGCCGGCCGACACACTGTGAGAATAATGTGAAGGGTTGAAGGTGATGCCTGGAACGACAGGAATTATCGTTTGTAGCTTGTGAACTGGAGCTCCAGCTGTTGGGGCCCACTTTGGGTCCTGCGTTAGGCCTGGGTCTCGGGCCCATGCTGCCCTAAGCCTGTTTCGACGTACTATATTAATATGACGGAACAGTACTCCAGCTAGTAAGAATAGATAATGGGACCTATTAACTATACGTATTACACAAACTTCCTGGAGCTCCTGGATGCCTAGTAAGTATATGAATATTAGTTACCCTCTATGTTATTGAGACGAAATTAGATTATTTTGAATTACTTATTTATGCTTATGTACCGCGTTTATTAGGTAATATCGAATTTATAAATTACCTAGGTATATAGGCAGTTTTTAACTAGCGAGCGTAGTACACTGGCGTACTCGGCAATTAGTCTCTGGGTACGGGATTCATGATGGGGTCAAAGAACCTGCAGGACATTCAGCAAGCAATCGACGTCAGTAGACAGGCGGCTGAGGCGGTCGACCGCGATGACATGCAGAGGCGCGCGGCGTCGGCCAACGTTTGTCAAATCTACTAAATCTACTGAAGGAAAGTACGAACAAGATGGAGAGGCTGCCAACTTGGACGAGGTCATTGGTGTTCTTGGACAGGTTCTTCAAGGTAGTCTCTCAGCAACGCGTCCCGAGAGAGGAACTTTGGAAATCGGCTTGGTGGACGTGCTGCGTGAGCGATTTCGCCGCACTGGTGACGCCAGGGATTTGGAGAAGTCCAGAGAGGCCTTCCAGCGAGCATGAGCTTCTTGGAATGCTCTACTGACGATTCAAACCGATGCTGCCATTCGGGCTGCTGAGATTGCGGCAACTTGAGCTAAGGAATATCTCGAGAGTCACAATTCCCCGGATCCGTCAGTGCTACTCCGATATTGGACGGAAGTCTCAAACGGACCTCGACCATGCCGTCAGTCTCCTCCATGCTCTGAGCCCCCGAGACATGCAGAAAGTCAACAAGCAACAAAAGCTCAACCGATTCGCTGGCCTCAACAATCTGCCAAACCCATACGACATCATTTGCGAGGGAGAGAGGAAAGCAGGGCAAGAACGAGACAGTGCAGCGGATTTTCATGACGGAATGACACAAAACAGAGGCTGCCGTGACGTGCCTTGGAAAAGTGGCAAAGATCCCCCTAACCAGATAATTGATGGATGGAGCAAGAGTCACAGCGACGACAAAACCATGAATCGACAACTCTTCCAGCATGGACGAACAATCTTGATTTACGTGGCTACTACCAAGTTTCAAGCCCATATACCACAAATGGCACCAGTGCATTCGCGCGTCCAACATTCTTTTGTCCTCGTCCCGAACCAGGCCACAAAAGCAGCCTGCAGCGGTGAGCTAAGGGCCACCTTAGTGTTGATGGTCCTCATTCTCAGCAGCAGGATCCATGTTGACATCATCCCAGTCAGCATAGACTGTGTCGCCGATGCTGATGATCCCCGTGGCAATGGGTTTACCCCCTCCACTCTTCGCCTCCTCGTACGTCTTGTACACAGACGCCTTGTGGTCAAACTCCTTCGTCAGGGAGAAGCCCGGGGCATTAAGATTAAGGATATGCTTCTTTTTGTCCACTTGTTGTACTGTTGTCGGCCTGTGTGATTTTTACGCGCATCCGTTGTTAGTCATGGCCTCTCGTCTCATTTATGGGCTAGAGAAAGATGCGGTAACCAAGGGGAAGAGGCACTTACAGAGGCTGGAGGCTAGCTTCAAACACATCATCCAACACAACAACCAGTCCATTTTTGAGCTGCTCGTCAGTGAGGTGTGCAGTCAAATCCGTCTCGACCAGATCAGCGCTAATTTGCGCGTTCGGCGCCGTCTTAAGAACATGGTCCATGTGCACCTCCCTCTTGCTGCCGTAGAGGTAGAAGGGCATCTTGGTCGGGTAGTCGGCATCCAGCGCGGCAAACGCCATTGACTCATCAACCACCACCCGCACATTGCTGAGCGTGAAACCCTCCTCCACCGGCGCTAGGGGGTTCTCGACCGCGGGTATGCCCTTGTCCAGTCTGAACTTGAGCTTGGACGCTGTATCGGGTTTGAGCAGGCCCGCGAGCAGGTCGTCAAGTTTCTCCTTCTCCATGTTGGCGATGGTGTAGAATTGGCCGGGGTTCTTGCCGCGCTCCTCCTTGTACAGCGCGTATACATTCGCGGGGAGGTCGGCCGCAATGACGAGTTGCTTGCGGTGGTTGGCCTTGTTGAACATGGCGATGTGGGTGAAGTAGGTCTTTTCTAAACCCTGCACGACGAAACCGTGGAAGCCGGGGGTCCGCGTGTTGCGGATGAGGCAGCGCTCGATACCGCGCTCGGCCACCTTGCGGAAGTCCTTAACCATGGCACTCATGAAGTCGGGGCTGGTCGGCCACGGGCTCATGGTCACGTTGACCAGGAAGCGCAGGTCGCCTCGCGAGGGTTTGACGTTCCCTTCTTGGTCAGTTGTTTTGAGACCCAGGCGGAGCTTGAAGGTCTCGAGACACCTGCCGTACGGCTCCTCGCCGAACTCAGATGATGTGAGGAAGAGTGGTCGCTCGCTGACCACGTCTTTCTCGGAGGAGACGGAGAGCTTGGAAAAGATCCATTGGTTGAGGTAGTTGGCTTCGCCCTTGTTGATTACGGTCGTTCAGCGTCTGCTTGCAACATGGGAAGGTGGTTTTCTGCTTGAGGTTAAAAGAAGTTGACTCACCACATCCTGATTCACCTCGTCGCCAATTTTGAAATTGGTCGCAAAGGCGTTGATCATGAGATCGCCTCCTAGCTCACACAACAGCTTCCAGGCCTCTTTGTCCTCGAACAGTGTCTTGTTGTCGCGGCCGAGGATCTTCTTTCGGATGTAGTCTTTCTGGGCCTCAACATCCCCGCCCGCTGTTCTCTCCGAAGGGAGACGGATGAGAGGCGCAATGATGAGGGCGTCAGCGGGCACTTTGTGCTCGAGTTCATCTTTGTACCTCGGCGCCATTGTGGCCCAGTGGCAATAGAGCTATTGAATAGATACAAATATTAGCCCATGAAGGTGTACTTGTAAGTAAGGAAGCGAGGTCTGAATAAACCTTTGCGCACGAAAACATGGCCTCGCCCAGCAGCCTGCCATAGCCGTCCTTGTCAAGGCCCAGCGACCGATGGGTAAGCCAGATAGCGACGGCTGATGCGCCGGGCTTACTTCCCTCAACACCGTAGACGCCCATACTGCCCTGGTCGTCGCCGTCGTGAAACACGATGGGACTCGTCCAAGTGAGGAGATACCGCATGCGCCCGTCTTTGTAGCAGAGGCCGCCAGCAGGGTAGTTGATGTATCCCGATCTGTGATAGTTGGTGTCAAAGAAGGGGAGAGAAGATGCCAACCGCATCTAGTAGGGGAGAAGACTGACTTGTGAGGATCGATCGTGATGCTGTCCGCATGCTTCAAGGCCTGTAGCTGCGTCTTGGTGTACAGACTCAGGGGTATCGCCGGCACGTACGGGGTGTCGCCCGGACCGCCGCGATAGCGGTCCCTTAGCATCGAGGCAAAGTAGCCACCCCACGCGGCATCACAGTGGACTGCGAATGACACACCTCTATCTTTTTGGTACTCGTCGCGGATCTTGATGATATCGGCGAGAGGATCGCACGCGCCGTGCTCTGTGGAGCCCATGATGGCGACGACGCCGAATATGGGGGTCTTCGTTTCGATGCACTTGTCGAGTTTTGTCCTGAGGTCGTCCGCGTTCATCCGGGCCTCGTTGTCGACGTCGATGTCGACGAAGCTCTCGGAGCCAATGCCCGAGATGGCTTTTTGAGAGTCCGTTAGCGACATGGACGCCTGTTATCATGTTAATAAATGATGAAGAAACTCACCTCCGCCCTTGGGCCAGGAGTAATGCTTTGTCGCACATATCATGTACTTTCCATGGTTAATGTCGAACTTGCGCTCCAGGTCGTCCTTGCCCGTTGTCTGGACCAGATACGGCCTCAGCGCGTCCTGCAGGAAGCCCGAGCTGATGGAGTACCTCTCACCCAACAGGGTGGGGATTGAGAGCACCGTGGAGGGCGTCAGGTTTAAGAGCTCCTCCTTGGTGAGTTTCAGGAACTCCTTCGATCCTGCGTTGCACGTTTCAACGATGAAGGGCGGCTCGACGGTGCTGAGAAACCTGAGTGGACCTTTCTCAATGGCGAGCTTGAGGGAAAATGGGTAGAACTTGAGGTTTCGCGCTATTGAGAGGGCGTATGTGGTTAGATCTTGTCCTTTGCGTGAAGGGGAGCAAAAAGGGGACCCGTACTTGCCCAGATGGCCTCGAGATTGGCTACGGACCCATCCTGACGGCATCGAGAACGTGTTAGAAATCGTCATTGTCCGTTGACATGAAAGCCACCGGCGGGAGCCATAAGCGGATACACTCACACAGGTGATATGCCCCCAGGGGGCAGGATCTTCGTGCGGGTTATTGTATCCCAGCATCTGACAAAGCTCCTGGCCGACTTGCCTCTCGACTTCGGTTGTGTATGGGCTTGCCTCGGTGGCGACATTGTTGGGGTTGTAAATCATGGCCGACATGTCTTAAGGACACAAGCGTTAGGGACTGCGGTTCAAGTGGCTGTCTTAACATTGACTTACATCCAATGATGCTCGACAGCGTGGTATCCATGTTCATATGCGCATTGTACCGTGGCGACCAGAACGGTACGGAATGCTTGGCCAGCTTGTCCGATAGGTCCGCCGAGTCCATGCTGAGCCTCTCAATGCTTTCCTGGTAATCTTTTAATTTCATCATGTCCTCCGTAATGAAGAGGTACTTTTCCTTGTCGTCTGTGAGTTCGACCCGGGTCTGTTTGTGGCGCTCGAGGACTTTTTTGAAGACACATTGTAGGGTGTCCAGGTTCTCGGCCTGCGGGCCGAGAAACCAAGAGCTGACGAGGGCATGTTTGCGCTGGTTCTCGTCGATGGTGTCGGCTTGTACTTCGTTGGTCGGCATGTTGTAGATGAGATGCAGTTGATTTGGGGTCAGGTAGGTAGTAGGTAAGGTCTTGTATGTAATTCAAGTTCTGAGTCGGCTTGACTAGGTGTTGATGGTTGAATTGAGATTTCAAAAGACAGAAGCCTTTGTATTTGAGTTTTGAGAGGGATGAAGGGTTGAGGACGGAACTATATATACCAAGTTAGTCTGGCCAACGTAATACATAACCTGTATGCCTTCGGAGACAGCAACCAGATCATCCAACAGGCTCCATGCTTGAGACACTACCAGGGGCGTTATCAATCCCTTAAGCGACAATAGCTTGCCGTCACTCCGAAGAAGCTCCTTTCCAACTTGATCACTGTGTGTACAAACGGGTGATAACGGCATCTCACCTCGCATTCGATCATCTAAGAACGGGCCATCTCGATACAAGTCCTACCATAGCGGGTGATTGAAGGATTACACAATGATTGTTCTCCAACACAATGATTATGATGGGGCACAATAGTTGTCTGCTATACAATGATTATAGGGCCAGATTCCAGCTTAATGACTAGGAGGGTGCTTGCCATACATTCACTAGAATAACGAGTCTTCCTTCCGTGAAATCGTCAATCGTACACCGTAAATCGTGATATAATGACGTAGCTGAATAATCGTGACTTTTGTAATTCTTCTTTTGCCTTGTACCTTGGGTGCAAGTAAAGTTATTGTAGAAAATAATCATTGTTTAGAGCTATTGTTCCTCGCCACGATATCTATTTTGCCCACCTTTTATAGTCTAGGGTACATCTCTCTTGAATCACAGCTCGGCTCTCTCGCAAGACTCAGACCACTCCAAGCAGACTATAGCTGCAATACTGCAGCGCAACATGTAAGTGAATCCCACGGGACTCTATAACCCACTAGTCAGGCCCTTCAATCTAAGCTAGTAAAGAGATTACTGCTGATACACTGTGCAACTGTCAATTACCGCAGCAAAGCTGGGAATGTGATCTCTGTACTCCATGGAACAGCCCGCCGCGGTCGTCACCAGCGTCGAGACATTGGGAAGCGGGAAGCTCAAGGTAGGACTGACAGCTGGCGTGGCGCACGGCGTGCACGAGGATGATATTTTCGCCATATACCCCAGCGACGGGCCGCTTACCAGCCTTGCTGACCACAGGGTACGCGGCACTGTACAACGCGATACGTTCGACCGGTTTATCGTGCTGGCGACGTCAAGGAGCCGCCTCAATTTTCGTAGATATGTCCTTACGTACTATACTGGACTTCACTATAAACTTTGAACACCTTGTCTTCAAAGTTGGGAGTTTCTTATATCAAACCATTTTCCTTTCATATTGTCCCATTCATTGAAGAGATCAAAGAAAAAGAAAATACGCTCGATTCCAGTCAAATTTAATGATCTTGGTCATCTACCTGTAGAACCGCCTTTACGGGGACGTAAGCGAAAGCTTCCTCTTGATCTTGGTTGTCCAGACCTCCACGCCTGCTGTTGTGCCACGACGTTGCTTCCAGCTTTGGCCCTCAGAACAAACTTAGCGAAGTCTTCAGATGATAACGCAAAGGGAAAATCCGATCCGTAGTTTAGAAGCATAACTTTGACGCGATGGGTCGGTTTGCGTGCCGAGAGCCTTTCAAAGAAGCCCAAGAATGCCTCAAGCCAGGAGAATCCTTGTGGGTGGGTAAAGTCTTGATTCAATAGCTCCAAGTCAACGACAAGATATACTTGCTCACTGACATCACAAAGGATAGATTCTAAAATTTGAAATAATTGCCCCTCCGCGAGGTTGCCGTGGATCCGTGTACACGTCAGTGACATGGAACTTTCTGTTTGCAGATTCTGGGTAATCTGTAGGCCTTGTCGAATGAGATATCTGAGAATGTCGGCACAAGTCACTATGGCCTGTTGAGGATCCTGGACAGGTATCTTTATGGCCAAGAGTGCATGTATCCCAGCGTCACGAAGTTGCTTGATTATATCAAAGCAGAAATACCGTAATGGTTGACGGCTATGGAAATTGCCCTTGACTAATATCATTGCCGAAGCGTCAGATTGCGTCCATTTCCGGAGCTTTGGAGAGTTGACAAAGTGGTACGGCAGCATCAAAGCCCGAGACTGAGATGCTCGGCGCCTTGCAGCTTGAGCCTGCAGATAGTCAAGCACTTTTTCTGGCATCATGATGGAAGATTCTGGGATTGACCTCATGATCTGGGAGAATTGTAAGTCTGTGAGCTTGCTATTCATCGATACCATCGAGGCGGATTGTACTGTATATCATCAGACAACAAATCCAAGGATAGGTGTACTCCGTGGCTTACAAGTGGCAGCGGTTGCCAGCTGCTCAAGTCTTGTCTTCACTTCACCAAGCTGGTCTCTCATGGCATATATCATGCCTTGCTGGCCACAAGATGCCAAGTTCCTGATTGTCGCTGTTTTCTGGGATATGGCATCCAGAATATCGTCGTACCGAAGTTCTGAAGGCCGGGTAACGCTATGCAGAATATGTTTCCATGTTCCTTCTTGGTACCAATCGTGGGCTCGAATCAAGAACCTCAATATATAGGCATTCACTTCGGCGATGGCTGTCCTCATTCTTTCGGTGGGATAAAGCTGGGACAGGAATTCTATAGTAGGGAGTTCGTCCGCTACTTGTGATAGACCTTCGGCTAGCTTGGTGATGGTCTTGTCATGATTGACAAATGACTAGATACCTGTGAATACAATTGTCGGGCAGAAGGTTCAATCCTGGAAGAACACTATGACTTACAGTAAAGACGAGTTTCATCGCACCCCAAACGAGTGAGACGTACTCTGGGTGATGTTGAACGAACACATCCAGGATATCGCCATATATTTTGACCTTTGACGAGAATTTTCGCAGCCAGGCTTTCGCTTTGGAATGCGTTTGTGAAGAGTTGTATTTGCTCATAGCCTTCTCGGCGAGCTCGTATACCTCCTCCACGCTTCTTTTCGAGTCAACGAGCTTGGTTTTGCGCCCATCTTGGGTCAGCTCTTTCCCGAATCTAGCTTTGGCTTCGTTGAATGTTTCGGTAATTAATCTAGGACATATGTCTGTTAAATCACTACGCTAGGGAATAGAAGTGGTTGGAGATGGGATTCACTCTGGTTGGGAATTATTTAGGGTTGGACACCACTGATCAATCAATTGCTGGTCCATGGGTAGTATAGACGCAGAAAATTATTAGAGACTCTGCAGCAGAGAGCTCAATCGGGCAGTTTGGTAGACTTTTCATGAGTCAAGGACCGATCCCGCACAATCATAATCTTCAAGAAATGACGAGGATGGAGTAATCTGTTCCAAATCAAGAATTTGCTTTACTTTTGTTCCCAGACCTTTTCAAATCCCCTGAGTGCAAGTGATCAACCCTTTCGCCTAAGCGAAATGCCTAGTTCCCTGCGAATCAGCCTTCCCAACTCCTGTGTTGCCGATTGTGCATCCCCCCATGACCTGAAAGTGCGCCAATAGTCCTCGACTTCGCCACCATCTCATTGACACCTAATGCACACCGCCACTGATGATTATGCCGCGGCGGCTATTCGACGCCATTAACTAGGTTAGATACTTAGCTAGATCTTTACACAGCTTCTGTTGATGGTTATCATAAAGCCCCTGCACGATATTGCACAGCCTCCATCCCTATCATTCAGCTCCTGTCTCGTTCGTATACGGCACAGCCTCCACCCTATCGAGCCTATCCTGCAGCCTGTCGCTCGGAAAGGAGTGTTGCAGGGGATGGTTGAATGGAGGGTGACGGAAGTCATATGAGACAAACTACTGCCTAGGTTTGTTTTAAGCCCGGCCCGAAAATACTGACTTTGCCGTGCATATATCTTCTAGGCCATTTCTTGTCCGGAACGAAATAATACTCCCTCTTGGGTAAATGGAGTTATCGCGCCTAGAGGACATTGATGGATTCGATGCCATCTCCAACTTTAGCCCAAGTTTCGTTGAAGGACTGTCCGAAGCCATCACCTCGGACAATAGGGATGAAGAAATACTCGATTTACTAGACATTCAAATCGAAGTTGAATTCGACTATTTATATGATTATTACATTGAAGGATATTTCTCCGATGGTATTCTGGAAGCACCTGATCTTCTTGACGAAGCCATATTTCTGGAGGAGTACCACTCCCGATTAAAAGAGGTTTATGACGAGGTGAAGGCTCAAATCAATTTAGGTTTACTTTTTCTCGAGAGAAATCCAGGTAATGGGCTGGAGTGGAAACTCGATCAGACTTTTGGAGAATACCAAGAGCAAGAGAAGGTACACAAGCTATTTGAGCAATTCAAAGAATCGAGTGCTAGAATTGCAGCCCCGTCAACAAGATCTGGAGTTGTACTTGAAGACAATGACTCCAAGACTTCAGCGACAGAGACTCGAAATACAGACAAGGATATCATCGCAGTGTCCGCAGGTGGGCAGCGCAATCCCATTCCAAGTGACTCTGGGATAGGAACAAGAGTACGCGGGGGAGGATCAACCACCGAAATTGACTCGCTTGATTGCAATTACCACGAGAGGGACGGGCAAAGAGAGAAAAGAGTCAAGTTTAGGCGTATCTGGAACCACTCTACGATATCACGAGACGAAACATCCGCGAACGCTTTCAAGCTTCTCTATGCTATACTTTCTCCTCACATAGTTTCACAGGGAGATCAAAGACACGACCACGACCGCTTTTCATCAGTAACGGGAACAGAAGTACTGTTAGAGTACCAGCAGAGTCATACAACGCAAACAGGAGTATCGAATCCGCAGCTTGGAGAGATTCCCAGGCAAGGGACATTGTCTGATCGACAGGATTGGAACACTCTCAATGCTCAAAAGGTGCGATTGCAGCAAACTCGCCAGAAATTGCTCTCGAACACATTCCAGCAAACGTCCACCCTCAACGATAAAATCACGGGTGCTTCAGTGCCAGTAATCAACATGGCTCGGAAAGACCAAGAATCAGAGGCGCCTACAGGACAAGGAGATCAAAATGGAAACCAGGTCATCGACCACGATGCCCGGGGAATTGATCTGGATGACTCCGAGGCTGGACATCAAAATCTCAAACATCGCATCGCTTCATTAGAACGAGAAAACAAGAGGCTGAGGACAAGTCAGGCGGTTACTCCGCGTTGCCAGGTTCTATACTTCGTCAACAACAGAGCCTCAGGCCCACAACCACCAGGCAAAGCCCCGCCCAGCACGGCATACACAGACAAGCCAACGTGGTCAGTAGGTCCAAATGGCGAAATCGTGCTGACAGCGCACTTTCCAATTCCAGACGTGTCTGGGTTTTTGCGCCAGAGCCCCGATATCGCATTCGTTGTTTGTTATTACTATTCCCATACAAGTCAGGATAACGAGGTACAGAACGCAGCGAGAGCGAAACGAATGCTACCGCAGCCGAAACCTACTTCGGAGATGTTAAGACTTCATTCCCTGGACATGATAGAGGCAGTTGAAAGCTTCTTGGCGCTGCAGCCCAAGTTCTCCAATGAGTTCCCGTCCTTGAATATCCGCGGTCCACTTCATGCGCCGTACCTATTCTGGTACCATTATCGCTCTGCGACGGCGCTCGATGTGCTGAGTCCAACCCATAAAAACACCATGCAGCTGCTGACAGAGTGGATCGAGGAGCACTACGCTGAGAAGTTTGATCACGTGGATGACCAACTAAAGAGGGGTGTCATATCAGAGGACACAATGCCGTTCCTGGTGAAACCGGGAAATGTCTTGGTTTGGAAGGAGCAGCACGAGATCAATGCTGCAGTTGCTAAAAGTTGGGCATATCGGAAATCACCGATGACCGTTGTTCAAGAGAGAATAGGCAAAGAACAAGACTGGACAGGGGATGGCAGCGCATTCGAAAAACGCAAGACAACTTGGACTGTGGACAGCTGGAAGTTCAACTATGACGGCAGATTCTACCGCAAAGAACTCCCAGTCAACATCGATCTCAGCACGTACCAGCCTCAGGATGAATTGCAAATCAAGGAGCTGAAAATCCATCCTTTGGAATATGCCGAATCTCATTTCAAAGACGCCCTGGAAAACCGAGGGACTCTGTTTTGGAAATGTCGACATCAACATCTCGTATCCTACGAAAGCTTGCCCCGCGAAGATCAACGCAATGAACAAAACGTGAGTCAAACTTCTATCCTCCCAACTCTCGTCCGGAAGAATAATTTTCTGCATATTATAGAACGGGGAGCGCTTCATGGTAGACTTTGAGACGTACAGACAACTACATTCATCGTCAAGTACCTTCAAGATGTCGTATCCAAGCATTGATGACGATAAATGCCAACGCATGAACCCTGAGACCATGGCATCTGATGAACCACCGTCAGCACCCGACATCTATGTTTTTCCAAATACAATTCCCGGATACAACCTACGAAGCAAGAAATGGGGTAAGAACTCGAAGTATGCTCTATCAAATATTGATTCACAATACTGACAACCACCTAGTCGACTTGAACGTTGATATGATTCGGAACGTAACATGGAACAAGAAATCTTTTGACCATCTGGTGGTAGACGATGAAACCAAGGAGCTGGTCCAAGCTCTAGTCAAACACCAGATTGCCAGTCAGAAAAGCACCGATATCATCGACCGCAAGGGCAACGGTTTGATCATCCTGCTTCATGGAGGACCTGGCACTGGCAAGACTTTCACGGCCGAGAGTGTGGCTGAAATGGCTGAAAAGCCATTATTCAGAATAACGTGCGGTGATATCGGCACCGAGCCGGAAAAGGTCGAGAACTATCTGGATTCTGTGCTGCACCTCGGAAAGATCTGGGACTGCATCGTTCTGATCGACGAAGCCGAAGTCTTTCTTGAACAACGAAACCTCAACAATTTGGAGCGCAATGCCCTTGTCTCCGTCTTCCTACGTGTACTTGAATACTACGAAGGGATCCTTATCTTGACATCGAACCGTGTTGGCACGTTTGATGAGGCCTTCAAGTCCAGAATCCTGCTGTCTTTACACTATGAGAACCTGACCGAAGGACAGCGCACCAAGATTTGGAAGAACTTCTTCAAGAGGCTGAAGGAGATGGGCGAAGAAAATGACAGAAACGAATCCTCGCTATCTTTGTCTTCCCTGACGGAACCTGGGTCGCGCAAACGCAAATTCCAAGACGAGACCCAAGACGGGACTGAAGGTGTCGATTTCGACGACGTTGAATGCTACATCACCGAGTTGGCCAAGCACGAATTGAATGGTCGACAAATCCGCAATGTCATTACGACAGCACGGCAATTGGCCGTGTCGAGGAACGAGCTCATGAGATACAAACACTTGGAACATGTCATCAAGGTATCCAGCAAGTTTGACAAGTATCTCAAGACGGTGAGAGAGGGTTTCTCGGATGATCAAGTTGCCAGGGATGAGGGGATCAGGTAATTGGCGACGGCGGGAGCAGCCGCATCTTTGGGTCATGTTTTCGAATGATTTACGTCCTTTCTTTGGTTAATTTCCTCGGTATTGACAATCGGAGGGAGGCAAAAAACAGGCTGGATACACTTATCTTCAACAATATAACCCATAAAAAAGTTTTCTTCCAATGCTGGTACATTTCACTCGATCCTCTACATGCCTCCTAGTACATACCAGATACTTACGTATCTATATACACGACTTTCACGTGGATCATTGTGGTTCGTCGCAATACCAGTGGCAGTTGCAGTTTGGTACTCGTGCGAGATATGACCTTGGCGTATCGGACTTAAATTGTGACTGGTTTTCTCTTCAGAGGAAACAAAGAAATATAGGTAGGTTCATTACTTGATACCCGCCTGCGGATTACTGATATAAAAACCACCGTCCTGGATTTAGGGCCCGACGGGAGATCGGCGCCAGGATAGTGGGGTAACTCTCATACCGCCGGACTTAACGGCCGAGAAGAACGTGCTCAGATTTGTATAGATGTCCAAATACAGAATACATAAGTAACAGATTAGTCTTTCTTTGATCGTTAGTATAACGACGTATTCATCCTCATAGGCAACATTAGTCATAATTCTCCGAAAGAAACAAGATGGCTGTCGACGCAAGCAAGACTATTGTAGTCGTCACGGGTGGGTTAAGTAGAAGCACAATACTCGGAAGGCTGCTAATTCACAATAGGTGCAAACAGAGGTATTGGGCTTGAAATTGTGAAAGCACTCCTCAAGACAGAACCCTCGAGCTCTAGCAATGGCGGTGCTCCATACCACGTTTATCTTGGAACACGGGATCTCGAGAAGGGAAAAAAGGCAGCCGAATTCCTGACGGCTGATTATGGAAACACTGTCTCTGCTTTGCAGATCGACACCACATCAGCCCCATCCATATCCTCAGCAGTGTCAACCGTCGAGTCCGAAGTTGGTCGCATCGATATTCTCATCAACAACGTCGGCATCATATACGAGGAAAAGGACCGGATCAGCAACCTACGGACGACGTTGGAAACCAACGTGGTGGCCACATATGCCGTCAGCGAGGCTTTCAACCCACTGCTATTGGCACAACCCTCACAAGGCAAAAAGACCAAGCGCATAATCAACGTGACCAGTGACTTGGGCTCCATCACCTGGAGAAGCGACTCTAGTAACTATGCCTACTCGCTGCTCTATTCGGAATATCGAATGAGCAAAGCGGCTCTCAACATGATGACGGCTTGTCAGTCCTTCGAGTTGAAGGAGCACGATGTAAAGGTCTTTGCCTTTAACCCAGGGTACACGGTCACGGAATTGGCTGGTCCGGTGGAGCTGCGACGAGAACAAGGCGCATGGGAAGCAGATGTCCCAGGAAAGGCTTGTGCGAAAATTGTGGCGGGTGAGAGAGACCATGAAGCCGGATTGATGGTTCAGGTAGAAGGAACGGTGCCCTGGTAGTTCGGCCGTCACTTGTTTTCATGTATCGTCGTGTTATAGAGGGGATGGCGCTGGGTAGTGCCAAGGTAAAACCATCCGAGCATATAGCCACTATCATCATCAAGTATTAATGAGCAAGCAATGAGACAAATGAAGTAAATAATTCCGAGTCGCGATATCCGAAGTTCATGGGTAACTTCGGTTGCATTTTAGTGGAGTGGATATTCACCCAATGGTTAGGAAGGTAATTTTCGTGTTCATCTCAGAGTCGTCTTCCACTGCCTAAGAACATGGGAATGTGACCACTGATGATATACTGGCCTGCTAAGAAGAAGCTCTTGTTATAAACCTTTAGTCTATAGGTTTGTAAGTATACTTTTCAAGATACTGCATGTCTGCAGACAAGAAGCCAAGAAAAAGGTACTCTGCCAAACGCAGCATGGCATGGGGGGTTCCCATCTCCCCACACAAAACGTAACATGAACTGGATAGCGTCATTAATATCCGCGATTCCCCGCGCTACTGAGCCTATTACGCGACTACTAATCTCAACCAAAAAAATTTATATACCTCTCAGCATCGTCGGTCTCCCAGGAGAGTCTCTCGTCAACAACTTGTACACATTGTATTTCATTTTCTGGCCTACCAAAGAGGCTTGTTGCTTTCTTGATTTCTTTCAAGCTATCATCTTGAACCACGGCTCTCATCTCGAAATCGACAATCATGGGTCAACCGTCCTTTCAGGCATCTAATGCCATTATATACGTGACTTATGGCGCGTTCCTGTAGGCAGTCGCTCGTCCCAGAAGCTTTCTCTTTTCTTCCTGGAATCATTTGGGAGTATTTGCTGACATGATTGCAGAATCCTAGGAACGGCGCTCGCATGGAAGATGAGAAACCAGCCCAAGGCTGACTTCCTGTCTGGAAACAGAACTCAGAGCGGTTAGAAGACACAATCGTAGCCAGGAGGCCTGCGCACAAATTTATTCTTTTGGAGGGCCGCCGGTACTGTATCAAATGTTTGAGAACGGAGCTGACTCATTCTATAGCCCTTCCACTGGCCCTGAACTTTATCGCGGCTGGTGAGTCCCGGCGTGTCATTCTGCTTACTTGAAGCATGTCTCTTTTTGAGATCACGAGCGGTGGCACTTTTTTTACTACACGACTATTTCGACACATCGAAGCCCCGTGTGGCAATCATGCCATGACAAAAAGGTTTTAAAAGGCGGCGTTAGAGGCTGCGGAGTATGGTACTTGAAATCGAGGTTGCAACTGACAATAGGTTCGTAATCCATCGATCAACAGGACTCGTCTCTTGCTTGAGTTTTCTCTTCAGTCTATCTGAATGACCAACCTCTTGCGAGGGACGGGACTGCGGCTCACTACGGGCGCTGAGTCGAACCGGTTTCTGTCATGATCCAACCTCACCAGCTCCGAAAAATCGGGCTTGCGGTGAGGAGATCACGCAGAAATTACCGCGACGACGAAGCTGAGATTGTACCGTGATTACTCGATCAAGTTAATGCTTGCGTGGGAAACGTGCTGCCGCTCCGATCAACACCCCCCTCCCCCCTCTCTGTGCAGATGTACTAACTTTGACATGATGAAAATCAGCCATGGGATCTGGCATATTGTTCTCGTACCCCGAGCTAGCTACGCTGGCCGGCCTGCAGGGCGTGATCGTCTACGCGCTTGCGTCGGCCTTGCCTCTGATGATTTTCGCCATCCTGGGTCCCATTATCCGCAGAAAATGCCCCGAGGGCTTCGTCCTGACGGAATGGGTCAAGCAGCGCTACGGAATCGTCACGTCGCTCTACTTGAGCGCCTTGACTCTGCTCACGCTGTTCCTCTACATGGTCTCTGAGCTTTCTGCCATTGGACAGGTCGTTACCGCCCTGACTGGCCTCGATGGTTTGCCAGTGATCATTGTAGAGTGTGTTGTTACCACCATTTACACCTGTGAGTCCTTCCGGCAGTATACCTGATTGAAAGTGCCAAAACCGACTCGTTTTCTCTACAGCTCTTGGTGGTTTCCGCATCTCCTTCATCACGGATAACATCCAAGGCGCCATGATCGTGGCCCTCATCATCATTGCCACAATCACTGTTGGTGCCAAGACGGAGATCAAGCCCGAGCTGATCGAGTCCTCGGGTCTGCTCGACGCCAGCCTGATTGGTTGGCAGCTCGTGTACATCTTGCCCGTCGCCGTCTTGACCAACGACTTCTTCCTGTCCAACTTTTGGCTGCGCACTTTTGCCTCCAAGACGGACAAGGACCTCTGGATCGGTGTGACGGCCGCCATGATTGTGATCCTCATCACGCTGACTCTCGTGGGCTGTACGGGGTTAATCGCCGCGTGGTCGGGCGCCTACGACCCGTCCGTCGACGACGACGGCTCCGTCGCCTTTTTCCTCCTGCTCGAGCAGCTACCCAGCTGGGTCGTGGGCATTGTCCTCGTCATGACCATTGCGCTGAGCACGGCCGCCTTTGACTCGCTGCAGTCGGCCATGGTCTCGAGCATGTCTAACGACCTGTTCCGCAACCGTCTCAACATCTGGTGGATCCGCGGCGGCGTCGTGCTCATCATTGTACCGGTCATTGTGCTGGCCCTCAAGGCCCCGAGCATTCTGCAAATCTACCTCATCTCGGACCTGCTCTCGGCCGCCACCATTCCCGTGCTCATGCTCGGCCTCAGCGACCGCTTCTACTGGTGGCGCGGCTTCGAGGTCCTGGTCGGCGGCCTCGGCGGCATCTTTACCGTCTTCATCTACGGCGCCATCTACTACGACGACGCGCAGAGCGGTGGCGAGCTCATCCTGCTCGAGCAAGGTCTGTACACGGGCGACTGGGGCGCCTTTGGTGCCTTTGTCGCCGCCCCCGTCGGCGGTATCCTCTGGGGCTTTGGCGCCCTGGCCCTGCGCCTCGCCTTTCAGTTTGTCAGTGCCAAGGTTGCCGGCCGGCGTTTCGATGCCCTCGACCGCCCCTTGGTTGCCGCCCATCGCGGTGACTGGGACGACGAGACGGCACCGGTCAGTGCTGATCAAGATCACGTTGCCATCAACACCAAGATTACTGGCAAGTTCTTTTAAAGTTCATGGGCGAGCCATGAATACCTAAGGCAAGCGCTTGATGTGGGAGGAAGCCTCTTGGCTGGAATTTTCATTGCGTTTTATCGACAGGGCAGTGTTATTCCAGTCTTGCGGTGATGTGTGTGTTTGTATAGTCGGCGTACTATATGCCGGAGATATATGAGAAGCGACTTGGGTTGTTTTGAGGTCGATCAACCCATTTGATCGATGAACCTCAATACTCCCAGGAAGGGGGGAGATATGATGACTTTCAACAAGGGCTCATATGAGGTATACCATTTTCAGACAACGCAATTCAGGCAACGTTTCTGATTCCCTGTAATCAAGACCATCCGCAATCTTTCACGTGATACATTGTCGGGCTGGAAATCATCAAAACGCTCTTCCGCAAAACTTGAATAATAGATCCTACCAGGCTAACGACTGTAACTTCCACACTGAGCAAACTGTAGAACATGCCTTGGCTAGCCAACCTGCAGCCACGCTGGGTATATGACTCGGACACCAAACCCCTAAACGCCACAAACGAATCTTGAAATGCTGGCATCACAATTCATGCATCTCTCATGCACATAACCAGCCAGCTTACGTATATACAACTAATGATCCACACAGGCGGATCTTGGTTGCGAAACAGGGCCAACCTATAAACCGTCTCGTTCCCTGTTAACGCCAAGTACTGTGACCACAACCCGGCCTCCAACATCAGCCGTCCGCCTCAGCAAGGCTGCAAGGGGAACATCTGGAATTTCTCGGCTCCCCAGAGTGCCGAGGTATATGTTAATTAGTAGAGCTACCATACTGATGAAGCTCGCAATGCTGAAAATACTGATGCTCGACCTAGTCTCCTTGCGAATATTGATACGGCGCTGCGAGATATGATAGCAAGCCGTGAGTGTGGTGGCAATTCCGATCCAGGCAGGTAACAATAACACGGGTGACTGGTCGCCGCCCAGCGCGTAGGTGAGCTGCTGCGAGACTGAACCGAAGATGCAGCAGAGGGTAAAGAGACGAACAATCGTCGCATGCGGGGTATAATTTAGCAACCACCGAGACATGAGGCAATCAGCGAAGATAAAGGACAGATATGCCGAGGCACCGGACTGTGAGAGGGCAGGGCCCCGAGGTCAGCAAATTCAAAGATACGAGGCCCAGCAGGAAAGTAAAAGTGGTGACAAGCAGCTGGTTATTACAGTACTGTTTGAGTCCCGATTGACCAGCATGGCGTTATGTACGTACCCATATAATGGACAGAGCAGTCTCTGTCAGCCTAAGCCTTCTTTCTCCCAGTTCGAGGGGCAGTCTCTCTGTCGCCTTGACTCTGCCCAGCTGATCAATGCTTAAAGCCTCAAGACCATAACCATAGGCATCGCTGCGCAAGAAGTCCTCGATGAGGAAACGTAGTGCAAACCGCAGCCCCCAAGCGATCGCGGGGGCAATCGACAGCAGGCGGCATATTGACAGAGGGTAATGCCAGTGCTTGGGGACGCCGAGGACGACGGCGATTCGGGGCTGCAACAGGGACACGGCGACGACAGGCCGCCGCTGTTCTAGCTTGTCGTCGACGATAGCTTCATCGTCGGTGGTGGTATTCCCGCCGGCCATTCAACAGTCAGGCCTGTGAGGTTTCTTGGGATCGACGTCGTCTTCGTCGTCTTGTTCTTCTTTCTTCTGCTTATCTTCTACCCTTGCAATGACAAGTGTCCTATGCCCACTTCGTTTCGTGCTCAGAAGATGTTCGATCGTGGAATCGAGCGTGTGACGAATGCATGTAGACGAATTGGACTGCAATCTCTTCGGTTAAAAATTTTGGAAATCAAAGTGTCGCGTGACAACCTGGATGGGCAATGCAGGGTCTAAAGTCTGTTGGTCTCGGGGGTGTTCATGTGGTTTGATGCAAGCACAAGGTTGATAGTGAAATGGTGTAATTCATGTCCCCGACCGACCACTGTGCATCACAGAAACGGCAGCTAGCTGTGAGGTCATTGGCAAGGTGGGATTGATTGCATACATTTGGTTAGGGGTCTGATCAGCGGCCCTGTCCCTCTGAAAGTATAGCGAGCGACAGGGGAGCACGACAGCTGTAAGTGCGCTAGCCTGATTGGCCAGCCTCGCTAACGACCCCTGTTGTTCCGTCCCAATTGACCGGCGCCGGGGCTGCTGCTTTGGGGTAAATTTTTTGATCAAGCTCGAGAAGGATTTGGATGAAGCTATCGCGCATCCGGGGAGGTCAGTGCTTGCTCGCAAACTCACGCGGCAACCCCCCTTCGCAGCAAGTGAGAGCTTTGCCTCAAGGGCCTTTATCGACTCGACTGACGGAAAACCCCACGATCCGTCTACACACCTGCCACCGAGCTCGAGTCGTTGCAGCAGCAGCAGCACATCCAGCCATGGCCGGAACCCAAGCCGCCCGGCTCCTGCAGCCGTGGCTCTCGCAGTCGACATCTCTCTACACACGGCAGTCCATTTTCACGCCTAGTTCTCTAAGGACACCAGCCAATTTTGTCGCATCCGCGCCATCAAAATGCATCGCAAGGCCCTTTAGCGTCCAGACAGCACTGAACAAGAAGCCGCCAACACGACGTGCTACATCGGCAAAGAAGTCGCCCTACTCTCGCGACCAGTCGCTCCCCGTCAGTCTAGACAACATGTCGATGTTGGTGCCAATGACATTCGTGCCGCCGCCCATGTCGAAATGGCCGCGCGGCTTCAAACAATTTATGCACATGGGTTATCTGGTGGCATGGAACCGGGCGATCAACTATGTGTACATGATCATCCACAAGGTCTACTCAAAGCCAGGCTGGCGGACTCGGCCGCTGTTCAAGATGCGCAAGTCCGAAATCAAGCCTGCGGCCCGAGATCTACACACCCGCATGAACAGCGCGATCGCTTCGGGTGACAAGGCCGAGCTCAGGAAAGTCTGCTCGCAGGAGCTGTACGAGAAGCTGTCAGGAATCGTCGATGTACGGCCCAAGGGTCAGTCCATGAAGTGGGAGCTCGAGGGCGGCCGAGCCAAGCTGAGTGTTCGCGACGACAGGATCGCCATGATTCCAATGACCCCTACCGAGAACCGCACAATTCGCCAGGCCGTCGTTGCTGTCGAGAGCACGCAGCGCATTGTCACCATCGACCACAAGAAGGGTGGCGCCGAGGTTCCCGGCACGGCCAAGGCCAAGGCCATGAAAGAAAACATTGTGCTGACGAGCTATGTCGACCAAAACACTTGGCAACAAACCCCTTGGAAGATCTGGGGAACTTTGCCAGACAGCACACTCGAGGGTCATCTTGACGAGGTAGAAGCATACAAGAAAATGGCGGATGATCAGGCAAAATAGTCGCCGCAAGAACAAGGCTGCTTCTGGGTATAATATGCAGTAAATTGCCCTTGGCAAAGGTGAAAAGCGAGACATTGTATCATAGTGCACTCATGTACATCACATGTATAATCGGGGACGTACCATTTTTCCTCTTCAATGCTGAGATTCCCTGGTCTCCTCTAGGTTAGATAAATGACTAAATACCAGTCATGTTAAATACATGTATTATAACACAATTTGCAAAGAATCCCCCCAACGTTGAGAGGAACAGCCGTTAAAGCGTACATGAAATTTTCACATCACAGTTGCAGCACAAGATTACGAAGCAGATTTTCGGGAATCACGTTCCATTGCCTATCGAATGCCGTGTCTGCAGAATCGAAAAGAGAGTCATGCAAGACAAAAGCCATGTCCGACTCACAATTCCTTGCGTTAGTCAACGAATGGCAAGAAACCAAAGACTCCGTTACCAAGAGAATCCATTCCAATATCGCCAAATCCTCATCGAGGGGGTATCATGCCTATAAATCGTGCTTGTCCTTAAAACGCCTGTATCAAGATAGAACCCTTGCCGAAGAAGAAAAATTCTCGGCCAGCCAGAAATGCCCACCGCCGTCAGGCTGGAGTGGGATAAAACTGCCTTGCCACCATTCGACTGCTGATGGGCGACTATCACGTGATGCAGGCATGGACCAGAGTCACGAGGCACGCAATGGCCAGCTTAGAAACCGTGGACCTTGATGGTCTTGGGGTCAAGCTCTAGGCCCTCCTTCTTGTCGACGAGGAATTCCTGGACATCCTTGCGCTGGTCTCCCTGAAGCTGGATGACCTCGCCCATCTCGGTGTCGTTCACGATAGTGCCATTGCAGGCGAACTTCTTCTTGATGACCTTCAAGATCTTCTTCTGATCAAACTTTTTGGGAAGTCCCTGAACGGTGGTCAGGGTCTTACGTCCATTACGCTCTGTAGAAAAGGTTGTCAGCCACAAGCTTCAGATCAAAAAGGGTTGAGTGACCTGTTTTCCGCCAGTCAGGGGAAGGGTGATGAGGAGTTGGTGGCGGGAACATTTTTGCGCTGCCGCGGTGTCGGCCATCAAAATTGCTCTTTCCAAACAAGATAGATGACAGACCGGAGCAGATTCGGTGGGCGCAGAGCTGAAAACGCGCAAAGGTTGACAAGCAGAATGTCACAAGTCGCACGTGAGGCCTCACACCTCACAATCTCGGTGCAGTACAGGCGGGGGTGCGGGGACACGTTGAGGGAAAAAAGGAGAAATGCACATACGCTGAATACGAATATGGATGTAATTCGAAGCCTGCTTGGTTTCGCCGGTGTCTTCGTCGGCCTCGGCGAAGGGGTCTGGAGGAAAGATGGTACAGTCAGCATCAAGTAGCCCCAGAAGCTCGTGTGCAGGGTAGCGCCGTGTGGAGGGGCAGGGCTGAGTGGGCGCGACAGAGATCCTCCTTATCAACGATAACTGACAAAGTGCTGCCCGAGATTCCTTTTCTCTCACATGTGGATTCTCGTAGCGCACTGCGAGAAAGGAGGCGACGGGAAGAGTGGCGGGTAGCTTTACGTACCGTAGGTCTTGAGGTTTTCGATGGACATAAACTCGAGTTTTCCTGGGTAACCGGGGAAAAGGTTTGTTTGGGGGGGACTTCGGAAGGCGCGACGAACAATGAAGCTTCGCGACGAGCTGTTTGTCTGAAGAGAGTGCGTGAAGTGAAGTTTTTCACTGGGTGAGATGAAGTGGACTTGATGGAGAGAATATCTCTGGTGTTGGGTTGTGATGATGTTGAAGTAGTAGTGATTGCTGGTGGGATGTCCTTAGCAGTAAAGATTGGGGCGGGATGAATTAACATAAACGGAGTGAACGGCTAGGCGGGGGCAAAGAAAGAGGGGGGTCATATGTCAAGTGCGAGTCACCTGGCAAGTGCCGCGTCTTTAGGGGAGGGCAGGTGGCGCAGCACACCCACTTAGGTGCCGCTGCCGTTGCCGGTGCCCGACCCCAAAGCTGCACCTGGTACGTACCTGGAAAGAGTGGGGCAATAAAGGGACTCGCACACAAGCATTGAATGGATTCCCAGGACAATGTTGTAATGCCCAGCGCTCGTTGACTCACTGTTCGATTTTCAGTGCCCAACGCCTTACGAAAATCCAATTGTAGTTGCTTTGCCAGCGGTGCTAGATTCCGGCTGGCATCGGTAAGCAGTTAAGACTCACGAGAGTGTGATCTAGAGGATAAATGATTGCCATGCTTTCTTAGCTCTTGTTTGTCTTTACCGACCCCAGACACAAGCATCACCCTGTGGTTTGTCCATTTTAGACACTGCATATTTTCGCCATTTCGTCACAAAGGAGACGCCGAAAATTTAGGCCCGCCCAGATCTTTCCCCGGCATACTCCATCATATCCTGGTTCGTCACAACGACTATCTTGGTAAGACAGGATCAGAGTTTGGACCAGAATTTCAACCAACCGGCGCTGCCTGTCCCAATCAATTACTTTACTATCCTCCTTGCAAAAACATCAACTTATCGTGTTGTGCAAAGGTACAAACACCAGTCCGGTAAGCTTTGTAGTGTTCTTGCGGATGTGCATCATTTGGGATTAGGACCTGATACTTGTACAATCAAGGGAAAGGAGCTTTTTGGACGAGCTATAATCATATCATGGGCTTCCAGGCGGTGGAGTACCCAGCTGGGTCGCCTCCTGTTTTTGAAGACCTCTCTGGAAATACATGGGAGCCTCTATTTCACCATGATTGTGCCTTTGGCCGGGATAATTTCCTAGAAGTCATGATGAACATGATACGCAATCCCAATGTCAACTCATCCTGGTTATTCAGAGCCGACATTCTGTATGAGGACGGACCTGGAGGAACAGAGCCGTCTGAAAATGATGCTGTTAATCGACCCCAAATCATTAACTTCAAGGACTTTACATTGGAAAAAACTCTGGTTCGGAGGCTGATACCCAGAAACACCCAGAGAGACCAGCCCTTGGATCAGACATGCATGGTCTATCATGGCGGTCGATCAGGTGAGACGGAAATGACGTTGGTGGCATATAACCCACATTACTCTTCTGCCTCTGAGGTCCCTTTCTATCACCCCAAGGTGCAAGGCTTGGCCTTTCTTCACGAATGGGATTTTAGCACCAATCAGGGTGTCATATCTCTTCATTACCACTTCTTTGATCTTGAAGAGCGTGACCCAAAGCTGGCCAGAACCGCCTTGAGCTTGCTCACAGTGCTGTATAAGCACGGGCAAGGTAAAGTGACGGGATATGTGAAGCGTGTGCATCATGATACTATCATTCCACAGATCCCTGTGCAGACTACTTACGCCAGGCTGAAGCAGAAATACGCGAGAAAGCTTATCGAGTCCTGGGCAGAGGTGACGGATCCCGCAAAGCACGTTTTCGAAGACTTTGGCATCGCAGCATTTCTGATCGAGTTGTGGGCCGAAATGTACCGTGGAGAATCGTTTCCTGGATTCATCGATATCGGCTGTGGCAACGGTCTCTTGGTGCATATTCTTCGTCAAGAGGGTTATCAAGGTTGGGGGTTCGATGCCAGGAAACGCAAGTCATGGCAGCAGTACGGTTCTGAGACCGACGGGACTTCCGGCCTGAAGGGCCATCCTAGCTTGAGGGAGCACGTTCTGCTGCCCCATTTTGTTCAGCAAGAGCCGAATGAGACAGATCCTGAGGAAAATGATGGCAGCTTGCTTCATGATGGCAAATTTCCCGGGGGCACTTTCATCATTTCCAACCATGCAGATGAGCTGACGCCTTGGACGCCTATCCTCGCGACAGCATCCAAATGTCCATTCATCATGATACCATGTTGCAGCCACAACTTGACAGGCGCAAAATATCGAGCACCGGCACCCAAGCAGCAGAATAAGTCACAGTCAGCATACGCTTCCCTCGTCGATTGGGTATCACAAATAGCCACCGACTGCGGCTGGGAAGTCGAGACTGAGATGCTGAGAATACCAAGTACAAGAAACACCGGTCTCATTGGTAGAAGAAGGAAACAAGACTACGAGGCGATTGACCTCGATGGCGTTATGGAGAAATATGGTGGCACCCACGGCTATGTGGACAATGTGATGAAGCTAGTAAAGCAGAAACCGAGAAGCCACTGATGGACAATAGAATGCAATTCGTATGCCTCGGACTTTGACACGTCAATGAGAATGCAAGGATCTGATTCGTTGCAAGAGACTTGAAATTCAGACCACCTTGTTGTCCAGGTCAACGGGAGATGCAATCATCCAAAGTCTTCTTGGGTGGCTAATGAAATCTTGGTATCTCTGAGAGACAGCGATATCATGGACCTTGTCTGCCTTAATGCAAGCACATCCTTCAGCGAATCGCCTTTTCATCTTGAGCATCGGCTGTTCGATTTTGGCTTTTATACAAAGCGCCTATACTGGCATTTACAAGAACGAGATACAGCGTTCACCGACCCACCAACCATACATAGCTCATAGCACTCGTAAAAGGGGGTCACAACAGCTTCCCATTGGTCATCATAAGTGGGTCGAGTGGGGACCCACACCTGGGAAGTGACAGGCTGGAACCGACATTTGGACAACGTCGCGAATCGAAATTCCCCAAAGCTGTGTGTAATAGTCAAGACCACCAGCGACTCCGTCCTCCACCATACACCGTAACGAAGCAGTCGCCCACCATGAGTTACGGTAACTACGGCAAGAAAGACGAGGATGCCGACCTCGGGCTGGTCAAGGTCGACAGAGTTCAGGTCTTCCAGGAGGGTGAGTGCTTGCTGGCAATCAGTTCCCATTAAACTCCCCCACTAGGTACTGTATGGGAAGTCGGTAGCTCACTCGTTCGTGATCCAGCTCGACTGTTCAACAGCTCCCCAATCCAGCCGCGACGATGCCGCATTCTTCTGACCAAGATCGCCCTGCTCCTCTACACCGGCGAGAAGTTTCCCACCCGCGAAGCCACCGACCTCTTCTTCGGTATCTCGAAGCTATTCCAGAACAAAGATGCCAGCTTGCGACAGATGGTGCACCTTGTCATCAAGGAGATTGCCTCCTCCGCTGAGGACATTATCATGGTCACGAGCACCATCATGAAGGACACTGGTGGAAGCACAGATGCCATCTACAGACCCAATGCCATTCGTGCCCTGTGTCGGATTATAGATGTATGTTGAGCTGGTTGGGCTATGTTATCCGCCGCTCTTACCACTGCTTGTGTGCTGCCTGCTAACCACACCCCATCCTAGGCCACCACGGTCCAGTCAATCGAGCGTGTGATGAAGACGGCTATTGTTGACAAGAACCCCTCTGTATCGTCCGCCGCTCTCATATCCTCGTACCACCTTTTGCCGATCGCCAAAGACGTCGTCCGAAGATGGCAGTCCGAGACGCAAGAGGCCGCCGCCTCGACCAAGTCATCTGGTGGCTTCTCCCTTGGATTCTCGTCTTCGTCGAGCTCCCTCCCGACAAACAACTCGACCATGACACAATATCATGCCATTGGTCTTCTCTACCAGATGAGGTCGCACGACAGGATGGCCCTGGTCAAGATGGTGCAACAATTCAGCCAGCCTGGCACGATCAAGAGCCCTGCTGCTACAGTCATGCTCGTCCGACTAGCTGCGCAGCTGGCTGAGGACGACCCTTCGCTGAGAAAACCCATGATGACATTGTTGGACGGATGGTTGCGCCACAAGAGTGAGATGGTCAACTTCGAGGCTGCCAAGGCCATTTGCGATATGCGGGATGTTACCGATAGAGAGGTCGAGCAGGCTGTCCACGTTTTGCAACTGTTCCTGTCCTCTCCGCGTGCTGTCACCAAGTTCGCAGCACTCCGTATCCTCCACAACTTTGCCTCCTTCAAGCCTCAAGCTGTCAATGTTTGCAACCCCGACATCGAGCTTCTCATCTCGAATAGCAACCGTTCGATCGCCACTTTTGCTATCACAACACTTTTGAAGACTGGCAACGAAGCTTCCGTCGACCGTCTCATGAAGCAGATCAGTGGCTTCATGTCAGAGATTACAGATGAATTCAAGATTACAATCGTCGAGGCCATCCGAACGCTGTGCCTCAAGTTCCCCAGCAAGCAGGCCGGTATGCTTGCCTTCTTGAGCGGTATTCTTCGTGACGAGGGAGGTTATGAGTTCAAGCGTGCTGTGGTCGAAAGCATGTTTGACCTTATCAAGTTCGTGCCAGAATCAAAAGAAGATGCTCTCGCGCACTTGTGCGAGTTCATTGAGGACTGCGAGTTCACTAAACTCGCTGTCCGCATCCTCCATCTTCTTGGTCTCGAAGGTCCAAAGACATCGCAGCCCACCAAGTACATTCGCTATATTTACAACCGAGTGGTTCTGGAGAACGCCATTGTCAGAGCTGCTGCTGTGACTGCTCTAGCCAAGTTCGGTGTTGGACAGAAGGACCCAGAAGTCAAGCGTAGTGTCAACGTCTTGCTCACACGCTGCTTGGATGATGTTGATGACGAGGTTCGTGACCGTGCGGCCCTGAACCTGAGGTTAATGCACGATGAGGATGAAGAGGCTGCACGCTTTATCAAGAACGGCAAGTCATGCAATCTATACTAGAAGGATCTCGTGCTAACATTCCCGGCAGAAAACATGTTTTCCCTGCCGTACTTTGAGCATCAACTTGTCATGTACGTCACGTCGGACGACAAGAGTACATTCGACACGTCATTCGATATTAGCAGCATCCCAGTTGTGACGAGGGAACAGGCGGATGCAGAGGACCGTACCAAGAAACTCACCGCCACTACTCCATCTCTCAAACCACCAAAGACTGGCCCAACCAAGGCTGCCTCTACTGGCGCCGAGGCTCAAGCTACCGCCGCCGCAGCTCAACAGAAGTATTCTCAAGAACTTTTGGCCATCCCAGAGCTCAAGGAGTTTGGTGCTGTACTCAAATCCTCACCAGTCGTTGAACTCACCGAGGCCGAGACGGAATACGTCGTGAATGTTGTCAAGCATCTTTTCAAGGAGCACGTTGTTCTTCAATATGAAGTTAAGAACACGCTTCCGGCTACTGTGCTGGAAAACGTCTCGGTGGTTGCCATGCCATCAGACGAGGAGGAACTCGAGGAAGTCTTCATTCTTCAGGCCGAGAAGCTTGCAACAGACGAACCGGGCAAGGTCTACGTTGCATTCAAGAAGGTGAATGGCGAGGGATCGATGCCTACCAGCACCTTCTCGAACATACTCAAATTCACCAGCAAGGAGATTGACCCCACCACAAACGAGCCAGAGGATACTGGATATGATGACGAGTACGAGATTGGCGACTTTGATCTGTCAGGCAGCGACTACGTTGTCCCCGCGTTTGCAGGAAACTTTGCACACATCTGGGAGCAGGTTGGTGCTTCTGGAGAGGAAGCCGAGGAGACGCTGCAGTTGTCTGGCATCAACAGTATAGCGGGTAAGTATATCAGTTGGTATCCACGACTGAAGTCCACGCGTTTTTCTAACACTATGATTACAGATGCCACGGAGCAACTGGCCAAGACCCTGTCGCTCCAGCCACTGGAGGGCACCGATGTACCGGTCAACCAAACCACACACCAGCTCAAGCTGCTGGGCAAGACGGTAAATGGTGGGCGTGTGGTTGCCAACATCCGGATGGCATACTCTTCAAAGTCGGGTGTTACAACAAAGATTACCGTGCGCAGCGAGGAAGAGAACGTGGCAGCGTTGGTCATTGCGTCTGTCGCTTGATGATGATGAAGTTATTTTATGGCGTTGTTCCTGCTCAATTGAGAAAGAAGTTTGCTATGGGAAAGCGATAGGCTTCATAGATATACCAACCGAGGGCAGCACAGCACACAGCACAGCACACTCGGTTGGGAAGAGTTATCCTCTGTACAGCAATCAAAAGCCGACCAAAAGGAGGGTTATTGAAATGGAATGATGCGTATTTAGGGGGTGGCGCACGTAGAAGATCAGATATGCGGATGAAGTTATTTTTTTATACAAAAGCAGCCCCATGCAAGTATAATGATTGATTGCTCAGTTACGTCTTTATGGTTTATATTTGGTGTGATTTGCATTTTACGTCTCACAGCGCACAACGACGTTCCCCCTCCCTGCCTCACCGATACAACCTCGACTCAGGAAGGGAGGGTTATGAGCAGGGAGGGCGAGATATGCTCAAATCCTCGCATATGACTGTTAATTACAGATTTGCTTTGAATGGTTCCGCAGTAAGTTGGCATTTACATACGTGTTTTATTCGTACCTGGCATCCAATACAAGAAATTAGCGTTACACCACGTCGATCCTTGGGTGGGAGTAATGCTAGAGCCCCAAGAGGAATAGCGTCTTTATTTTAGGCTGGGAGTCTGGGAGTTCTGGACGCGACGGAACGCGCTAGAAGCCGGACAGGGGATAGTTTATGACGTGTGAACCTGCCCCAAAAGCTTGACACGCGCACAAAAAATGCCAGTCCAGTTCTTGGGAAGGCGCCGCCTGCCCGCGTGTCCGATAAGTGTTTATCTATGGTATCGACCCCAACTCGTCGTCACTATTTCTCTGGTGTTTATTGTTTAATAGCTAGTAGTTGTTTTACAATTCTACGTATGCACCAGCCGCTCAGATTAACAGCGCAACTACCACGCTGTTTTCCTTGGTGATCCTTATTTTCCTTTAACTCACCTCCGCCTCTTCTTGCTAGTCAGCGCGGAGAAATCGATAACTCAACCCGGCGAGCAAAAAAATCTCGAGAGGGAAAGAAAAAAACACTCGCCGCTGCGAGTTCACCGCCAACATGGTCTACGTACGCCAGGAATATCTGCCGAACTTGAAGAAATACAAGTATTCGGCAGTCGACCAATCACTCGTGTCCAAGTATATCCTCAAGCCATTCTACACCAATGTAGTCATCAAGTGCTTCCCCATGAGCATGGCTCCCAACTTGATCACCTTAACCGGCTTTTCCTTTGTCATCGCCAACTTCTTCACCCTCTTGTGGTACAACCCGACTCTGGACCAAAACTGCCCTCCATGGGTCTATTATTCCTGGGCTGTTGGACTGTTCTTGTACCAGACATTTGATGCTGTTGATGGTTCTCAGGCGTAAGTGCCATGTCATTATTGATTTCTTTCTCATGTCTTGCTGGTACAGATCACCAAAACTGACACAACGCGACGAGACAGGCGACGCACTCACCAGTCTGGACCGCTCGGCGAGCTCTTTGACCACGGCGTCGACGCCCTCAACACTTCGCTCGAGGTGCTCATCTTCGCCGGCTCTCAGAACATGGGGCACTCCTGGTACACGGTCGCCGTCCTATTTGCCTCGCTTTGCACCTTTTACGTTCAAACCTGGGACGAATACCACACCAAGACCTTGACGCTCGGCATAGTAAACGGTCCGGTCGAAGGCGTGCTGATCCTCGTTTTCGTCTATGCACTGACGGGCTACATGGGCGGCGCGAGCTTCTGGCAGCAGAGCATGCTGGCGACCTTTGGCGTGCCGACCTCGTGGGGCATTCCCGAGGCCATCTATGAGCTGAACTTTACTCAGTGGTACATGGTCCAGGGCACCATTGTCCTCGTGGCCAACACACTCGAGTCCGCACGAAACGTCATCAAGGCTCGCAGGGCTAGGGGCGACCGCAGCCGCGGTGCTCTGCTCGGCCTCGTTCCCTTCTTTGGTACCTGGACTCTCGTTGCGGCCTACCTCTGGCTGCAGCCCGTGATCCGCACCAAGCACCTGGTCCCCTTCGTTGTTTTTGCTGGTCTTGTCAATGCCTACTCTGTTGGTCAGATGATCACAGCGCATCTCGTCAAGTTGCCATTCCCGTACTGGAACGTGCTCACCATTCCACTTGCCTGGGGCGTCATCGACTCGGTCGGCCCGCTGCTTCAGGCTCACCTGGGCTGGGCTTCCGGCTGGCCAAGTGCTCTGGGTGATGATGTCTATCAGGTTGCCTTCATGTTCAGCATGTTGGGCATGGCTATCGGTGTGTACGGCAGCTTTGTGGTTGACGTCATTGTTACTATCTGTGACTACCTGGATATCTGGTGTCTCACGATCAAGCACCCCTATGTTGAGGGCAAGGACGACAAGGACCAGAGCCAACAGGTGCTTAACCCAGCGGCCAACGGCAAGAAGGGCAACTGAGTGCATCCACCATTTTATGGTAGGTCTAAGCACTGTCCAGAAAGGCCATTCAACATTCCATGGCAATAACTAGAGAAGCTGGCAATCTAGGGCAAGGGACATGACCTGGAAAAGATGGTCCTTTGAAAGCAAACCATGGGCGTTTTGGATTTCAAGTGATGTGAGAGTGAGATGGTGGATGTTGATTGCAGGAGCAAAGCACTTGTGAAGGAAAAGATATGAAGAGAAAAATGCATTCCCTGGTCTCGCTGGCCAAGACTATATAGATCTGTGGGGTTTAAGGCGCTTCGGGCGTCTTTGATTTTTTTTTTATGGCTCGGCACTTTATGACGGCAATAATGTGTACTCGGCTGGACGAAGGAATGAGACATAATGAGATACAACGTTTCGTTACGGAATATATGATGAGATTTGCCAAGGAAAGCAAGAAAGAAAACAAAGCTTCATGCAATAGATGTACCTGAGATGTGCCAATGCTTATGCTATCCATCTCAAGTTAAAGATTTTCTGTTTAAATAATAGGTCCATATTAGAGATGGGCCGAGGTTATTGAAATGTTCTCTGTCTAACAGTTGAGTTTGAAACCTCATGGTCTGTCTAATTCGCCACATGTCTTGCTAATTTGGCGTCAACGAAAGAATATTCATGGGAGAGCCTCGACTTACCAGTCAATCTACTCACGGCAAGACACAAGCTAGTTATGGCGTGCAAAGTCGAAGCAGGTGACTTGCAAATAGATTGCCTGAAGGTCTCGGCGCAAACTGAGCGAATCATCCAAATCGCGAATGTATTTCAAAGATCCATTTACAGCCTGCCGATCATTCTATCAAGCCGAGCTTGAGGCAGATGGGACAAGATCTACCAAGGTGAAAGCGTTGCCTCCATAGACGAATCACGCAGCTCAGGATCCCGACATCCGTCTGACAAAGGCGTTCCTTTGCCCCCGCCGGACACTGGCCAAACCCCCGGCGGGCGTGTCGGATTGGAGGACTATACAACAAATTTATCGTGAAAAGTGTGATATGGCGCTTCAGGGATTTTGCTCCGTTTCGGTCATATGTGGCTTGCATAGACGAATACGTCAGTCCTAGATTTTGGAAGGTGTTTCCGGGTCCAGGGTATTGTCTCTTGTGAACTGATCATCATCTATGCTTGCGATCTCCAAGTTTTTCGTACTTATGGACTGTTCTTGAAGGAAATTTACAAGGGCAGGTAATGAAATAATCTTTTATAGGTTGATTGTGACGATATAGACCTCTTAGACGCACCAAGGTGGTTAGCCAAATGAGAGAGGAATAGTGGAAAGCAGAAAACAAGTCTTATATCCGAACAATACAGAATCTCGGTCCCGGAGGCTCTTCCCCCCCCCCTTGCCTTGCCTCGTACAAGGGTGATATTGGTGATATGGGCTTATCGCGCCGGCCCACAACGAACATCGTCGTATAGACACACATGCCTACATCAGCACTAACATGAAATAAGAATACGCCGCTCGGGGTCAACAAGAGCGCCAGCACACTGAGCGAAAGGATTCGAGAGGGGTTTTCCGCCCCGTGGGAAATCCTTCCAAGAAGCAGATCTCCAGTCAAGACTCGGTGATGGGAAAAAGAAAAAGGCTTGTACGGACCTCCCTCACTTGCCAAAGTTACGCCCGGATCATGATGGTGATCCGCGAAGGATCAGACTTGTCACGATGACAGGTGCGCCACAGTTTGTTATCCCCCCCGCGGCTTAACCCATTGGGAAACACCAGCGAGCAAAGAACATTTGATTGACTTTCTGTTCTCCACCAGGGGTTGGCTTCTAGCGATCATCACAAGAAATGGTCCAAAAGTACCCTGATCATCTTATCAATGGAGATCGGCATGGATCATAGAGACAGTTCAAGCGAGGTTAGTTTCCAAGCCATATACGCAACTTTGTCACAAAGAGGGAAACAATATACCCAGCGGTTGTCTTGCCGATGGCGCTAAGGAGGAGCGAGTATAAAAAGGCCAAGCCTTTTTACCATTCCCTCCATTTTATTAAAAAGCAGCACGCAATATCTAGCACATCTCGCAACATTTCCTGTTCCAAAATACTCCATCTTAGAATTTATTCACACTCCACCAAAGAAAAAAGAAGTCAATAGCACCTTGAGAAAAAATGCAGTTTTCCATCTTCACCTCCGTGGTTGTCGTTGGCCTGGCCGCTTTTGTCCAGGCCAACCCCGTCGCCGTTAGCCCTCGCGATGTTGGCAATCAGCTTGTCAAGGATGCCTGTACGATTGTCCCCGAGTAAGTGTCTTTTGTTTTTTTTCTACGCCATTATTTAAACTCAATTTTTCCTGTTTGCTCAAGTCATCAAAACTCGTGTGAGAATGAGAGTGAGAGATAGAGATTTGCTGACCCTTGACCAACAGCTGCTGTGGTGATGGAACTTGCTGCGGTTGCTGGGGATGCTGCTAGGCAAATGGTGCAAACAAAGTAATCTTGGTTTCACAAAAGTCACATGGCCACCCTGGATTCCAATACACAAGTTATATCTGGCAGATAAGAGCCCCCGTTTCGGGTATGCTGTGTCGACTGGGTCAACTTGACATTCAGTTCTTGCCGGCGGTAGATATTGCCTGTAGATTTGGTTAGCCATAATTATCTTTGCAAATCACATGTATTTGCCATGTCAGCCGGAAGAACGTACTTGCATTTGTTATTCAGCCCGAGTGGGAACAGTGAAAAGGAAACGTGCAGCGTTGGAATTATTTTGGCTGCCTCGAGTCGAAATTTTCATCAGCAAGTTTTCCTGGGAACTAGAATGGACTATATTCGCACAAATTATTTGTTGTGATTCATTTTCATGTGACTTTTTATTTTTCTTAACTTGATTCGTGGAGGGAATCTCGTAAAATTCTTCTAGGCTAGTGCCCGAAAGGCCCCAAAGTCCAAAGAAAGAAGCTATGACAACGCTTCTGATATGTCCTGAAGCAGTTCACTTCTATGTACACTGCTAGATTGCTTGGTAGGAGCCGAATTTCGACCGCTCCAGGCGTCTCCTGCCTAATCCCTTGTCGGCCCGGCCTTCTGTAAAGAGCTTCAAACCTCCCATTACTTCCAAGCGAGACCGCCGAATTATTTTGAATTCCTGAGCCTATGCATGATGTCGAAATGGCCGCCCACAGTCGTGATGTAGAGGGAAAGGTGCATGTGAGTGCACCAAGAGAAAAATATGGTTCCAGTCGTGAAGAAGAAGAAGAGTATGCTGTTCCTGAAATAGGTCGTGTTCAAATGAAATCAAGATTGGCGTGGTTTGCCAAGGTAGAGGAAGTCGCGTGACTGGGGTATCCGAAACGAAAACCAAATGGTTGCATGTCGTAGAAGTGAGAATGAGAGTAAGGAACAAATGAGGTGTGAAAGTGGATTGAGAACGTGGCAATCCTCTGAATACCGAGCCCAAGCCGGCAAAGGCTTCGAGTCGAAAGTGAGATGGCGCCTTTCCCACGGTCCTTCTATGTCAAGTATATATCAATTAGGTCGCCGGGGCCATGGATTGCCACTGGTGATGGTGAATCGTCAAACAAATGCTAGAAAAATGAGAAAGGTTATAGTCCTGGGTAAGCACCATTGCCCATGCCTCCTCTTCCTCCGCCAGCTCCACGGCCGCCTGGCAATTGGAAGTCCGGATTGCTATTAAGAATATTCACTTCATTCCGATTGACCGGTCTCCGGGGAATCTGCTGACCTGGGGCGCCTGGGCCCGGCTTCCACCGAGGGTTGACACCTCTTTGCGAGACCGAGGTGAAAGTCGAGTGCTCTGAGATGGCCGGACTCCTTGCGCCTGCTGGAGTGAGCTCTTCATAGGTGTTGGGGTCCGCTCTTGGAACCGCAGCCGGTTCTGCAAAGCGAGGGTCAACATCCTCATAGTAAGCACCTCCAGCAGCAGCAGCAGCAGTGGAAGGCTGTGGTGCCCCCGTAGTTGCTGGCATGTCTGCGGGTCTTTGAGGGATGTGCAATGGTGAAGGCATTCTTGGCGAGTTTCGACCTGGGCCTTGAGCCCATGCTTGTCGAGCAGGGACGTATGCGTTCCTAGGGATTAATTAGCATGTGTCTTGCTTTGTTCCTGGGCGGGAAATACTCACTCATCTTGGCTGTACCTGCTGCTCGCGGTCATGTAAGTATCATGCCGCCGAGGGGTGTTTACCCTCGCTTGCTGTAAAGCCAGCATACCGGCCACATCGGCATCACTGTCCCTAATTTGTTGGTTTGGGAATTGGCCAAAGCCTTGTGGTGGATGAGCAGGACTGCCCGTCGTGGCGTTCATCTCGACTGCTTGTCCTACAGCAGGAGGTGCATCCGTTTCCTCCATCCCTGGCAGCGGAGGAGGGGACTCTGCTCTGGGATATTCGCTAATTCGGTTCGGGTTATATGCTTGATATGACCCTGATGTTCCCGTGGTGCCCGTTGATACGCTTGGCATGGATGGGTTCGCGTCATACGCCGCACCTTGAGGGCCAGGTGAGGCATCTCTGGCTTGGTCGTATGCACCGTACATGTTTGGCCCAGGAGGTCGACGATCATAACCACTAGCATTCCCATAACCAGGAGGCGGAGCCCGTCCGCCACGTGCACCATTCGGTCCATAAGCACCCCGCGGCGGACCGTAGCCTCCCCTTCCTCGTGGTCCAGGTCCAGGACCGTATCCACCTCGAGAACCCGGCGGCGGAGGGCCATTGTTGGGGCCGTAACCTCCGCCTCTGCTGTAGCCACCACGTCCGCGATAAGGACCTCCTCGCCCACGCGAGTTCATACGGTCTGCCGATGGGCCACGAGCAACACCATAGGCATCCTGCGGTGTCTGGATTGGGTTTCCATACTGATCCCTGCGCACTGATGGTGTGGAGTTGTTGCGGTCGACATATGTGCCTTCTGTGGAGGCAAAACCGCCATTTGGAGACCTTTGTGAAGGGGTCGTAGAAGTCAGAGGTACCCGTTCATCACTGCTGCGATCATCCTTCTTTGCCTCATAAGTTGCAAATGTTGGGAGCTTGTTATCAGCTGGTCCATTGGCGCCACTAAGAACAGGTACGGTAGGTGACATGGTTGAAGCAACATCAGCTGTGGCGTTTTGTTGACCGGTCCTGTTATAGTAGTTCTCTCCACTCATCTCGGCGTTTTCAGCAATGCGCTTCTTTCTCGCTTTTCTGCTGACAACCGTACGACGCATAGCGCAAGACACAATTCCGCTAAGGAAAGTGAGGACCATTGCAGCACAGACAATGTAAGAGCCCCAAGCCATATGAGGCACGAATAGAAGAACATCAATCAAGAAGGCAAGCAGACATACCACAACGGTAAGGATGCCAAAGATGGAGACGACAAGTAAGTATCGGGATGAGTGCGACGGGCCATGCCAATGAGCAGCCACGGCCATTCCCAGCATGATCAAACTGAAGAGACATGCAACAGGATGCACAATCAAGATGGCTGACAGAGTCGTTCTTGCTGAATTAGGAAGATCGAATGTAGCAGATTGCGTACTCGAAAATTTGGCTCCTGTGATATGTGAGTACACAAACACGGCCCCAGATTGCAAGCGGGTCGCTTGATGGGCAGCTTACCTGTATCATAACCAATTTCTATAGGACTGCAATCATCGCCTTCGCAGAATCCGAAAACTCCAAAGTCGACACCCTCATAGGTGCCTAGAGGTATAGCATGGATGATGGGCGTGGACAAGACAGACAGTAGGAGCAAGACAAAGGCCGCAAAGGACATGATCGCCAGAGGCGTCGCGGGGCGCAACATGATGGCGGCTGTCGGGTGCGCGCCGACTCCTCAGAGTCGCGTCGCTGGGAGTATTGGTAACAGCACTATCGATATCGATCCTGGTCAAGAACGACGTCCGAATTTGTCGTCTTAGTGAAGAATTTTGAGACAGCGGAGAGAGGTGAGATTGCGGATAGACAAGGGTCGCGACATGGAAATCCAGACGCTCTAGGAATGATGCACTCGTCTACTTTTCGTGCTTGCGATAAAGCTGATCGTCGATGCAGTCTTGCTTAATTCGATCGGCAGCCTGCAGTAGTTATCCCTCCTCAAGTCGTCTTGCAGTTGTCGTGAAATTCTGGTTGATGGGCGAGAAAACAATCGGCTTGTTCAATCAAAGTGTAATAACAATGCGAAGTAGTTGTGTGGGTGATCCTGCACGTCCGATTCCTGACTTTGTGTAAGTCGGCTTGTCGAGTTTCGAATTACCAGCCCGACTGTGGAATTGATGATGGGTGTTTGAATGAGTGAAGGTGCGATACGAAGTCAATCGATCGGTTTAGAGCGAGAGGTTGTGAGAGAGAACGAGGGCGAAATGGATGGGCGTGCTCGTGACGTCCCGGCAAGTCTTGTCAGTGGCGGTGCTGAGAACAAGATCGACGACGGTGGACCAGTTGAAAGTCGTCGACGGCTTTTGAGAAGAGGCGACGAGTAAGGTACGAGGTAGTCGAATAGTTGAATTCAACGCCGTTGTCGTGTCCAACGCACGCCAGAAAGGTATGGGGGAGTCTTGCACTCACTCACTCGCTGCACTACAGACTTACAGAAATGGGTGTGGGAGTCTGAAGTGCAGTACGGAGTAGTTAGTAAAAGGCAACGAGAATCAAAGAATGGGACGGCGGAGGGACGATCACTTTCGGTGCTGGGTGGATTGATGGATGGGTGGGTGTGGGCCCGCGAATTGAATGGAGGGCCCATTCGGGGGTGGGAGAAGAGCTGGCACTAGAAGGGGGGTCCCTACTTCCGTACACTAAGAGGAGCCTCTGCCAGGGGACCTGGATCGAATAGCCCAGGTACATTAAGGTAGGAAGTTCCAGAGCTCTGAGCTCCAACGCGTGGACGGTGGAGCCGCCCCCGGGTGCGCACCGCACTGCACTGCAGCAACTGTAGCACGTATCTTGTAGGTACGTACACAGTAGTTCTGCGCACTGGCGAAGCCCATTCTGGACTGGCTGTTTGGATACATAGTGTGTGTCGTGCATCACATCACCACAGTCAGCCAATCTATCTACAGATTACATGCGCGCCTTCTCTCCATGAGTCCCCTTCATGAAGCATTTCAATGAATTTGCTTTTAAATGTATGACACCCCGCAACTTTACGCACACAAGTTTCCGTCTAGCTGGGTAATGCTAAGGCACAGCCTCCCATCTTGGCAACTTCTTCTTCTTCTCAGTCATGTTGTTCTAGTGTTATTATCTACCAACCTAACCATCCCTGCCTGGTGGGTTGAAGAGAGACTCTTCTTGATCTGGGCTCTCGAACATGCGTCGCGAGTGCCCCCTGCTGGCGGCGGGTTTCGCAGCGATGGGCGGCCCACTGATAGGGATTTGAGTGCTTTCCATGAAATTGGGGTCTACTTACCCACCCTGTAAACACCAGGGTGTCAAGTCTTCTTGATATGTAAATTTTCATTAAGCGACATGAGCACTCTGCATCCCCCATTATCAAGGTCACACACACACACACACACACACCTACACACACTACGCACAACGCTTCGTTACTACCACGTCCATACATGTGGCACAGCGTAGTACTAAGTTTGGAGTGTTTACTGAGTGCTACAGCATTTCGGGTCACCATCGACCATTCAATTTCGTCTCCCATCGTCCATCGTCGGGTTGGGCGGTTACATCACCATCGCCCGCGCAGTTTGTGGCTGCAGCTGTGGCTGCTGCAATAAGGTGCCAGTCTCTCAGGTTGGCCCGAAGCTATCTGAGGTTAATTGGCTTCGTGTGCACTGGGCTTTTGTGCTAGGCTAGCATGGGGGTTGGCAGCAACCAGTGGTTGAACGAGAATGGGCAGTTCTACTACAGTATATCCCCTCCTCGAGCACTATTGTCATGCAGTTGTCGTGATGGCGTGCGCGTACATATACGAACTTGTTGGTCTATAGCTGCTGTTTTGCCAAGTTATTTCTCAGTGCACCAAACTTGATTCCCTGCCTATGTACATTGCCCTTTCTGTCTCCCTCGCTGACGACAATATGGGGCCTAAGCCTCACTGGACGCATCATGGCAGCTTGTCCACCATGCACAAAATACCCCTCGAAACTCTAATGGCGTCTACTGCCATTTACAGTCGCCTCGACAAAAGCCGTGTGCCTCGACCAGCCGTCCACAGCCCTGTGGGCGTATAGGGTTTATAGCGGGCTTCATCTAGGTTAGATGAGTTCTTATATATGAACTATCTCAGGAAGTACCCGTTGCTGAATTGCGACCAGGCCGGTTGCTGCTGTCCCTTTCAGATCTCTAGAGACAACACAGTCTGGTAGCCAGAAGGTATGCATGCGTTTGATTTGTTATCGGTAGTTTAAGCCACCTGTGGTCTGCCTTGTCCTTTCGCCAGGCTAAACAGTCTACTATTGTTATATATTTGCGCTTGTGCCGATATTTAGAGCTTTCAACTAGAAGCAACTTGTTCTTCGATACACGCCATCTCAAGCTCGACGCCGCCAAAAAGGCTGGTTTCTGTTTACACTAGCACCTAGGTTAGTATACTCGACTACCAGGCCTACACAGTACACTACATTACTCAGTTAGCCCGGTATATTGCAATCACTTGACCAGGTTCGAGGTTCGACCTGCTGGCTCTCTGTGTACCTTTGGCAGGCGTTCGTTCTTGGACTGGACAGCCCTGCTTCCCTTTTACACCAGCCAGTACCCAGTCAACGATGGACGTTGAATTTTGACAGGAATTGATGAAATCTTTCTACACACCAACCCGCCTCAATGCGCCGCAAGCTCTCAAGAGAGTAGGTCCGAGAAAAGAGGAGGGAGTAGAGCAAGGATCGGAATCAAGCTGAATGCAGTATGGTTATTAGAAGGGGACCCAGGGAAATCCGCCAATGGGGATGCCTGTGTGTCCCGGTATCGTTGCCAATTTCGGGCATCGCCAATCTTGCAACTTCTACATACAAATCATCGGGGGTGTAATTTACCCAGCGGCGAGAGTCTATCACGCGTGTGTGTACAAAGTATGTCTTGTTCCTTTTTCCCAGAAAGGTGGCGTCGGCTCGGGTCCTTGTGCGGTGTACGAAGCGATTCGGATTTCTGTCCCCATAACTTGATACTTTGTACATATTTCAGCTGTCAAAAGGTCTAGACTGGCAAATTGGCTCATAATTATTAATCGTCTACTCTGTACACCCAAGGTATCGGCCGTAGATCAACGGTGCCCTCAGGTTGCCGACACTTGAGCCATTAGCAGCAAAGTCGAGCCCGTTGAACCCAAAAAGCATTACCGCCGTCAGCCAAACGGCAGACAGACACAGACACCCAGATTTTTTTTTTTTTTTTTTTTGATTGCCCAGCCGGCTTTTTGAGGCTGTGCAATTACCTGCTGGCACTCGCGCCGTTCCATCACAGTCAGAAGCTCCCCCAAGTCCAGACACAACCAGATTGCGTTTGAGATTGACACTAGAAGAGTGGACCGTATCCAATGCTTTTTTGACGACATCAAATCGCCGGCCGGGGGGCTTTTCTGTAAAGAACGACGATGATGCCTTTCAACAAGCCCCAGCCAGCCCTATCCACCCAACCTGTCCAACCAGCTCCGGTCAAGTGCCGCCCAAGCACGGCGACCGTGGCACCCCGAGCGTTATGCGCATTTCACGTGCGACAGCGCCAGAGCTTGGTTGGGAAGCGCTTTTCGATACATTCTCCACCCCGTTTTGGTCGTCTTGGCACTTGCTGCGCATGGTGAAACAATGGGAGATGCCTATTAAGATGAGCGCGGCCTTCCCACATAATATCAAAAACTTGTGCAAATCCCTTCAAGACTAGAGAAGTTGTTGGTTTCCAATTGTTCATAATGTTCTTTCTTGTCTTTACCCCAGCCGTGAGCAAACGCCAGTCCGCCCTGCCGTGTTCGTAGTGTACAGTACGTAGTAAAAGCTATGGGCTTTTCTCACTTATAGGGGAGAATACGTCACCACGACCACGAGCCGGCCCGCGATGCACCTGGGCCGTTTATGCAAAGCAACTCATGACAATCAAGCTCACGCACAGATCTGCAAAAGAGACTCCCCTCAGATACATGAGACCAGTCAGAAAGAAAAATTGGGCAGGTCACGTTCACATTGTGTAGTTTCTCAAAGACTTCACCGCTCTTGAACGTATTCATTCCCTGGAGTCAATGTTTTAGTGTCATTACAATATGCGACTAGAACATAACCCGTTGTGAATTTCCGTACTTGTATGATCTGGCTGCATATTTTCTAGTCTGTATGTGTGTGAAGCAGTTGGACCAGTGGATCGGAGCCAGAGACTACCGCCGGACATGTGACCTGTGCAACGAGTCATCGACAGACGACTGCGATTGTTTCATGAATCTGAAACCCGCAATTATGTAAGTATACTCGTACCGAACAGAAGAGGAGAAGGAGGAGGAGGAAGAAGAAGAAAAGCGGGACAACTGACGAGTCAACTTTGCCTTGTTGTAATTTGCTCAAAGGGTTGGAAAGGCATTGACGTTGTTGTTCTTTTCTCCCGTGAAGGAGCATGGTTGATGGTACTTGGACTATACGCGGGTTACTGCCAAAGACGCTGCACAGGCATGCGGAATGGCTTCCCAACTATGTACGTTCCTACTGACTTACAAGCAGCCAGGGACGCAGGCCCGGACCTCCATCCAAGCAGCATATTACCATCCAACCAACCTGAGGTCGCGTATGAAAAGGAGGATCCTCGTCGTGAACCAGATCCTAGCAGGGTTGCACGAAGATCAAACGGTAGCTCAGCACGCCCCAAGAGCCTCAGTTTGACTCTCAATTCTCAGCTACGACAGCATGACTTTTGAAGTAGTGATGTAAATTTTTATTTCATGTTTTCTTGTGCCAATGCTGTTCCTAAATAGGTCCATCTTCGAATACATTGCCTGGTCATGATGATGATCTGTCTCTTGAAAAGCTGGTTACGCAAATTCTAAAAAGCACGACTGGTGCGCCTTGCATGAGAATCTGAACAAAGCCATTGAAAAATCGAAGCGTTGGATGTTGATGGAACATGCCACATGAACGTTGTACGCGGAATAAAAATAGATGTTGCTGAGTGAGTTCATTGCAGGCATCCGTTATTACGGGGCTTGTAGCAATGCACGGTACAAACATTTCGACATTCCCACCTTGTACCTAATTTATACCCTATCTAAATCGTGGCAGTCACTATTCTCCTTGTTGCAAGTTAGGGGACAAGAATGTGAAACTTGTATAAACTATGCCCTGGCCTATAAGTGCTCTCGTCTCCATTCCCGGGAGTAAGTACCTCGTCGATTGTAGCGATATCAAATCTTTCGAAGCCCATCACAAAATCTTTACCTCAATGTCTGTCCCTACCGACCTCAATCGATCTACAAAGTCATCTCCAAGGCACGCCGGCGTCAAGTTGCCGCCTTGATATCCACCTTCAAGCTCTCGTTTGTACAATAGACTTGCTGCCCCCTGAGCCAGCGCCGCAGCGGTCACATAGTACGGACCGCCGGGAAACCTGAACCGCGCGACTGCCTTCTTGTCATCACGGCCGTCGGCAAGGGCCACGGCCTCGAGCTCCGACACGGCCTTGCCGTGCTCTACCAGATCTGGCCCTTCGCCTTCCCTCGGCAGAAAGAGCCTCGCCAAGGGACCAAGGGACAGAAACAGGCCCAAGAAAAGCCCGCTCAGCACCTTGCCAACAGCGTGGAGGGTTGAAGATACGCTTGCATACTCGCTGTACCGAAAGTTGACACCATAGTCTTGCCCATTGTCCAAGAGGCCCCACGTTCTATGAACAATGGCACGATCCTGCCGCGCCCCATACGTAGCGGCAGAGAGGAGCCCCAGGTACGGCACCTCCCTGACGCCGAGCATGTTTGTCGTTTTGGGAATGGCCGTCCCTTGGGTTGGCGACAGGAACCAAGGATCGTCCGAGTCAGTGGGATTATTCGAGTCGACCTTGGATTTGCTGAACATTGACTCTACGGTCCCGCCGCTGGGATCCATGCTCATCTGCTTGACGGCCAATATCACTTCCTTCGTAGGCAGGTTGGCCTCGCGCTTCAGCTCACGGACGGCGAGCCAGGCAAGGAGATCATGGGGTGCGCTGTACGCACCACAAGCGTGGATGAGCTGTTTTGGTCACTTGTTAATCCCACCGGTCCAAGTTTCTGGGCAAGGACTGGTGGTTGTATCCACAAACTCACAGCAACGCCAGCAGCTTTTGCCTTTTCGTGGTACTGGGAGAACCATCGACCAAATTGCACAACACCGCCAGCCCTTTGCGTCAGTGTCAGCATGACCACGGCCCTTGATATGATCGTAAATCTAGGTATGGCCCTTGGATAGTAACTCACGTATCGACGTAATCTGTTCCATTTTCTACACAAGCTTTAACCACTTGGTCTCCCACATGACAGTATGTCACAACACTAATACAGATTTGTGCCTTTCGCACAACCTCGTCGAGCTTATCCTGCCGATCAAACAAGACCACCTCGATCTCTAGCTACCCAGTTAGTAAGGCGTTCGCAACTGCTTTTACGCTCTGTTGGGACAATCGCTTACCGGGCTGTACACGGTTCGGTTCGATCTTCTGCAGCTTGGCTGCCAAATCCTCAAGCTTCGCTCGAGATCTTCCTGCAATGGCCCAGCGTAGATTCGTGGGCAAGTGTCGTGCGATATGATCCGCAGTCAGGGCGCCAGTGTACCCTGTCGCTCCCAAGAGGATCAGCTCATATTGACGATTCTGCTGCTTAGGTGCCATGACGTTGCTATGCTTGCGTTATCATTCGTCCTTTTCGATAGTATGATTGGGTTGTATCTCTGTAGTCAACAGCGTTGATTCTCATACTGGAAATGCCACGTTTTATAGTCAAATGACGTCTTGTTCAATTTTGGGGTCCGTAGCGTTAGGTTTGACCCCCGTCGGCCCAATTGAGACCCGGCAAGAGTGCAGAAGTCTCCGAATACAATTTCTCACGATTGTGATGTTATTCGCATACCCTTTCTCAGAACACTGGACGTCATTGCCGGAGAATTATATCTTGTGGCAACTCGTCCAAGCCACTTGCAAGTATTGCAAACTGTGACATAAATCTGCGGTCTATGTTTACTTATGAGCTGCTATCTGTACAGCCGGATGTGGCGAGAAAACTGATCTTCTCTTAGCTAAAAATTTCATGGTTGAGCTCGAGTGCCACCATACTCTATAAGTTAAGACATATAACCAGAAGTTTACGGAGTGGGTAATGTTGTTTGCACGGCGAGAGACCCGGACCAGCTGATATTTTGTTGCATGCACAGAAGACGGTGGGCAATTGCAGGCCCAGACCGTTATTAGGTGCTGGAGTATGAGAAATTGTTCCTTCTCACTGTGCAACTTGCTCATGATTGAGCTTAGCACAAATATGAATTCGATCACATTATTGAGCTTCATCAGAATCGGTTTCGTCACACGCATGACACGAGGATTGTACCAGAGCGTGATGACTCACCAAAAAACGGCGATACAATACGCCAGCCTGGACTAGCGACCAAAAAGTATGCCAATAACCATTACACCGCAGTTGAGCAACTGAAAAGGGGTAATTATATATCCTCACTAGAAAAACCCTTCAAGATGATACCAATAATTACTATTCGGAGCAGAATTCGACCGTCCATTATAAAGTCTGACCAATTCCCCGAGGACCGAGACTCCGGTCATACTCGGGCTTTTGGTGGAAGTGGAACTCGAGATTCGGCCCCGGTCATTTCGGGCATTCGATAGTAGCAGGACCCTAGCTTTTGGCCCCAAAGCTTATTTGCCTATCGGGATCACTGGCGTCATTGATGTCAATTTTCTTGTCGCTCAATGCTTTGTTCCTAGCGGTCATTACCTCTTACACACTGTTTATGGTCTGGGTTCATTCTTTTTCTTTCTAGTTGGAAAGTTGCCTTCTCACTTAAAACTTTCCATGTTCTCGTGAAGCGGCGACCATGATTTCACGCATGGCAGGTCTCTGCAAGAGCCCGCTATCGCATAATTTGCCAGCGTCATCATGGCGGACCCTGTCTCGTGATGTTGCTTCTCCAGTCACTCTCCGCCGGCTTCCACCCACATGGCGAACACAACACCAGCAACACATCTCGTCGCCCCGCCGCCATGTCCAGACCTCGTCGCAGTTCCAGCCCATGCGGCCGCCGTCCCCCGAGTCTCTGGGCAAGCCCAAGGCCGCCCGCGAGTTCAAGCGCAGCCGCAAGTGGACGCGGCGACTGCTCATCCTCGCGGGCGTGGGCGGATCGCTGTACCTCGCGGACCGGCAGCTCTTCGCGTCGGGCGTCGGGCGCTCCCTGCGCACGTTTGGCAACGGCCTCTACGTCGCCCTCGACTACAAGCTCAACTTTCGCGCCGAGCCGCTGACGGGCGGCACCGTGGGCGACCTCCACCGACGCAGCGCCGAGCGCCTCTTTGAGCTCCTTCGGCACAACGGCGGTCTCTACCTCAAGATTGGCCAGGCTATCGCCATGCAAAGTGCAGTCTTACCACCTGAATTTCAGCGCATGTTTGCGCGCATGTTTGACGATGCCCCGCAGGACTCGTGGAAAGAGATTGAAAAGGTGATACGGCAGGACTTTGGCGGCAAGAGCGCAGAAGAGGTCTTTGGCGTCAGCTTTACCGGCGAGGAGGGCAAGGGTCTCATGGAGAAGAAGGCGAGGGCCAGCGCGAGCGTGGCGCAAGTTCACTGGGCGAGGCTCCCCGATGGCAGAGAAGTAGCCATCAAGATTCAAAAACCCGAGATTGCCAAACAGGTCGGCTGGGACCTGTGGGCTTTCAAAGTGGTCATGAGGGTGTACACCTGGTGGTTCGACCTCCCATTGTACTCGATTGTCCCCTTCATCACTGAGCGCTTGTTGCTCGAGACCGACTTTGAGTCCGAGGCTCGCAACTCGGAGACCATGCGGCAGCTAATCAGCTCGGAGCCTAGTCTGAAGGGCCGAGTCTATGTCCCCGTGGTCTACCCTGAATACACTACAAAGCGCATTCTGGTGACGGAATGGATTGAAGGTATACGTCTTTGGGACAAGGCTGCCATGACTGGTCGTTGGACTGGCGGATATGGCCAAGGATCGCCCGGTGTGCACGGCGCCCAGCTGAGCGCGCCCAATGTGCAGGCGATTCAAAAGCAACTACGTGAGAACCCGGAAACGGACAAGCTCAAGCCTAACCGCGAGACGTGGAGAGGCAGGAATGGAAAAGGCGGCCTTGGACTGTCACCAAAGGAAGTGATGACCACGATAGTCGATCTCTTCTCGGCACAAATTTTCAAATGGGGCGTCGTCCACTGCGATCCGCACCCAGGCAACATCTTTGTCCGACGGCTGCCCTCGGGCCGAGCAGAGGTAGTTCTCATTGATCACGGTCTCTACGTCTACATGTCACCACAGTTCAAGCACCAGTACAGTCTCTTCTGGAAATCGCTCATGACGTTTGACAACAAGACTATTGGCGAGATCTCAGAGGAGTGGGGTATTAAGGCGCCGGATATCTTTGCCAGCGCCACGCTGATGCGGCCGTATGAGGGCGGAGACAATAGCACCCGCGCCGAGATCTTGCGCGAGATGCAAGGCAAGACGCAGGCTGAGCGCAGCTTCGAGGCTCAGCAGAGGATGAAGCAGGGTATACGCGATGTCTTGGCCGACGAGGACAAGTGGCCCAAGGAGCTCGTCTTTATCGGTCGCAACATGCGCATTGTCCAGGGCAATAACCAATTCATGGGCTCGCCGGTGAATCGCATCAAGATGATGGGCAACTGGGCGTCTCGATCCTTGTACGAGGACCCCAACCTGCCGTGGGCGGAGAGGATGGCCAACGTGTGGCGGCATATGCTGTTCAAGACGGTGCTGCTAGCGACAGACGTCGCATTCTACACGTTCAAGCTTAGGCAGTGGCTGGGCTTGGGCGGCGGCATGGAGGACGAGGTTGAAGCTCGCATGAAGGACATGGCAAAGGATTTTGGCGTTGAATTACAGCATGAGGTGTTTGAAGGCTAAAGAGACATAGACGGCCCATGAAACGATTTTGCGTGCCGCCAGCATTCCTCAAACATGATATAGAGAGGACCATGTAAAGCTATACAGTATAGAGTGTAAGTGGACTGGCAGGTTAAGGGACTCGTGGTTAGCATTGTATATAGATATCCCCGCTATGCACTTTGAATGAAATCTCTTATTGATCTTGTATCCATGGACATTGTACACACTTGTGTCTTTGGTATAAGGAGGTATACTCTGCCGATCTTTGCTAGCAGCATTCTGTATCTGGCCCGCCATCTCACTTGTGTGGAGGAGTAGTAGTAAGTCCGTAGTCTATGCCAAGAAAAAAGGCAGAGAGAGGGCCCCATGTGATGGCACGCGCCATCTTTCGACATCGGCACATTGGACATTAAGCGCCGACGTTTTATCGAATTAAAAACCCACAGTCATCGAAATATAACTAGCGAGATGTGAAACATGGCGGCCGAGAGTGCCTTGTTGCTTTTTTTTCCCTTTCCTCTCTTCGTGGGTCCTGAGTAAAGGTGCTGGTCGCTTGGTGCACTGTTCTTCGTTATAGTGCCCACATTATCTTTCGAGCTCCGAATATTTCAGGGTCTCGGTTGCGGCATCCATTTATTTAGACTTGTCACTTTGAAAGTCGAGACTATCCATCTTTGGATACGATATACTTGTTTGGTCAATCCTTTCATCTGGATTCCTCCTGGCGCGAATCGGAAGAAAATACGAGGGAAAGAAAGCAAAAGAGTTTCTGGTTCCCGAGTTCGTTTATACGCGTGCGGATCTCGTTTGGACTGTGCCGAAGTATTATCAAATCAGCCCAGCGTTGTCCTTACCCAGCAGACGGCCACGGGGCTAGAACACTGTCTCTCCCTATGGACCGTGGATGGACCACACAAAGTCAAACGCCTCGTAGGGAAAGAAATGACAACAATGTCCTGAGAGGTCAGCACGATGGAAAGGTTTGCTCACGCCACACATTTTAGTAGTATGAACGACAGACAGGCTCGACAGGCCAAAAGACAGCACAGAGGAGGGCCGGCGGGCGCTTTTAGTTGACTGGCCCGCTGCTAGATGCGGCTAATGTGCCCAGGGTGCTCTAGGTGGGGAGGGCCTTGACAACCTGCAATCTTAGGGGTAAGATAATGTATGCAACCATGATTTCCAGCCGGCACCGATGGAGCCTTTAATGTTGCGTTTCTTCTCTAGACGGGACTCACGTGCCAACTAGGAAGGTATATAATAATGTATTACATATGGGAAGAGAGAGAGATTAACATGAATATCCGGGAAACTATGCATTACTGAAATGTGCAGCGTCTCTGTATGAACCATGGCGTTTGCGGCGAAAGCCAGATGCAGCCAGTCAATTCATCACCAGGGAATGTCGGGTACATTGAGGGTAGGGAAAAAAAAACGGCGCTGTTCGTTCTCGATCTCGGCGCGCAGATCACACGTGGGACTTAATTTAGTTAGCTCGGCGTGGAGATGGGGAGGGGTGTCACCAGTTTTGTCTTGCATGCGCGCCGCTTGAAGCTTCGCCCAAGTTTGGTAGCCTGTTTTGACTTCATGGGTGCTGGCTGGTAGTGAGCAATGTTGTGATGTCGATGGGAATCACAACTGTCGGGTCTATCTGTTCTTTCTGGAACACACTTGAGTAGTCGGGCAGGGACTTTTGGAGGCAAGTCTTTTTCTTGCTGCTTGATGATGCAAGGTAGTAGAGATTAACACCACTAAAAGTGAGAAGTGAAAAAGCCGAAGCCCTGGTCAGCTCGGTAATGTAGTGAGAGTGACAGTGAGCTGCTGCAAGGTAGCAATTTGTACCTGCGTGAGACCCTGGCCGTGGATCGGAACATAGAGTCCACTTCAGCACCCTGCCCTGCCCAGTCAAGCACGAATTACATGCAAACTTCCATACCCTCTACCAGATGAGCACAAGGTGACCAAACCAAGTTGGGGCATCTCTCCCCTTTTCGTTGCTTTTGGACAGGGCCATTGGCGAGAATTCCCTGGCACTGGAGTGATGGAGAACTGAGAGAGCGAGAGAGAGAGGGTAGAAAAATAAAATAAAACTTAGACCAAAAGAAAAAGTTGTTGTTCCTGTTACAACGTCGCGATTGAATCTCACGACCTTCAATTCCCCTCGTCCAGTCCACCTGTGGTGTACACTCGTTTTAAGTCTTCGCTGCCACGATCAGAGCGCGAACAAGCAAACGACCAGACTGTTCCAATCGATCCTAATCTCTATTTTCATTCTCCCATCCTCTCTAGGAAGGACCCTCACCTCTTCACTTCTTTTTTGAGTCCAACGACGACAGCGATAGACGCCAGTCTTGAGATAGGTCCCAAAATCTCGCTCGCTCAACGCGCCGCGCCCACCCTAGGTCTTACCCAATTGTGAGACAGACCTGCATTGGACGAACACCTGCAGCCACTGCAGCGCTCCCGTTTACGACATACAGAATCCTATACCGATCCTTCCCGCGATACCGCAAATCGTTTGTTTAGAGCTCTGCCTGATACCAAGGGGAAAAGGAAAAGGGATTCAACAATTTTCGAGTCAACATTGATCCTCTTTGCTCGAATTCTGGTATGTTATGAAACAATCTCCTTGGCAGATCGATTCCTTCTTCCCACATTCCCCTCCCTCTCGGCACTGGTTTCGAACAAAGCGCCGCAATATCGTTTGGGCCAGGACACACCATGCTCAGGCACCATATCCGGTACCACGAGGTCTCGGCGGCGGTCGCAGGCTTCTAGTGGATTTGCATCTCCAAACCGATACATAGCGAGGAGGAATAGGTACGAAACCATTACTCTTAGCTGCAGATCGACAAAGGCGCCAATTGGTTCGCCGCCTGACCACGGCGCTGGCGCCCATTACAGTCTGTATCCAATTCAGGCCATCCAGTCCCTTGGAGCCCCAAGGTATTGGATGAGGGAAATGCCGTCGTCGCCAGTCCTGCCGCAGCCCGTTTGGTTGGCGCCTTTTCCCTTGAAAACGAGAAAAAAGGCACCCCTTATCAAATCCTTGCATGCGCGCCCGCATCTGCAAGGGCTCTCGGGGGCGCGCTGGTCTGCTTGGTCCGGTTCTGAAAGCAATTCCCAGTCTCAGTAGTGCTGTAGTAGTCCGTGACTTTTGGGGGAGGATTATATTATGACGAAGCTCCCCTTCTCGCTGCGCGCGCTGTTTCTTGCATGAGGGGAAGCGACCAGAGGGAAACTCATTTCCAGCGTCAACACCATCGTCGCTCTCGACACACCTTTGTCGGGACGGATGGCAGTCGCTTAGATTCATCCTTCGACGATTCATGAGATCATGGCAAGAGGCTAACTGTGATTTTGTCTCTTGTGACTATTTAGATTCCGCATCTTTCATCTACAGCGCCATATTTGCCCATCGCTCGTCGACTTATTTCAATCGCCTTTACTCGCACACAATACAAGGAGGAGACTCGCTCGGCGCAACGTGTTGCTCCGATTCTCGTCACTTAGAAAGAAAAAACACGTCTTGAACATCGAAAAGGACGGGTTTTTGGACCAACAACTACAACTGCGCATACGTGCATATACAGACAACGAATCGGGCCTGCTTCCCAAGTCTCACCACAGATTCTGTTACTTACAAACGAGGGAAGCTTCTCTGATCGGTCAATCAATCAGGAATCGAGCACTACTTGTACCGTCGCCGCTGCCCTACTTGATCTTCCCATTGCCTTAGCTCGATCACGTCGAGCTACTTCTTTTTAACACTCCCTGGGAGAATCGAAATATCAATTCAAATCGGATTCAGAAGTCGCGACTCTCGAACCGCGTCTTCTTCCATTGGTTTTTTTTTCAAGAACCAATAATAGACCATCAGATCTGCGCGCTCTCTTGTCTTTATTTGCCCTATTTGTTTCGGCCCGCACCTACCGCGCATCGAATCAAAAGGCTATTCATTCATTCATTCATTTAGCAACAGCGGCGCGAACGGAAGCTGCTAGCTGAAACCGTCAGAGTTTATGCTTAACCGACTTACATAATATGAGTCAAGACCCATCGCGTCGCACAAGCTTCGGGATGTTACTTCGACGCAGCAAGTCCGGCGACCTGGGGAAGGGGGGCAGGAAGCACAGAGAACAAGAACAACGCCAGCAGGTGCCAAAGTCCCCTCCCCGCCTACCTGATATCTACAATGGACTTCCAGCTCCCGACCTGCAATCCTTTGGAGGAGACGGACGTCCCGATTCCCTAGCCATTGTCTCGGGCCAGGCACACCAGCCTCGATATCAGCCAAAGTACCCTCCTTCAGGACGCGCTTCTATGGACCCTGGCCGTCCTTCCTTTTCGTCCATGCCTCCGATGCCGCCAATGCCCGCCGAGCCGGTGGTTGACCCCTATGCTCGTACTGAGAGCATGACGCACCGTGGAAGATATAGCTATGCCAGTACTGCTGCCACCAGCATCAACAGCCCGAGGCGAGTCCGCCGGCGCAAGGACCCAACTCCGTTCAAGTAAGCACATGCCACTGCATCAAAACGGCAGAAACTCTCGTTTGCCCTCAATCGTGTTTTGTTCTTCGTCCTCGGGGCTCCGTCTTACTAACTTGCAATCAATTAGTATCTTGATCATGGGTACTCGCGGTTCTGGCAAGACCTCTTTCCTCGAGTTTTTGAAGCAGGCCTTCGCATTGCCGGAGAAGAAGCGTTCGCAGCGCGCCAACGAGATCGGCGAGGAGGTCACCATGAAAGCCACTGCGTCTGGCAATTTCATTCCCCATTACCTGGAGAGCGACATTGATGGTGAACGTGTTGGCCTGACTTTGTGGGACTCGGAGGGCTTTGAAAAGAACATTGTCGATCTCCAGCTGCGCGAAATGTCGGCCTTTTTGGAGAGCAAGTTCGAGGAGACTTTTGCCGAAGAAATGAAGGTGATAAGATCACCAGGCGTACAGGATACGCACATTCACGCGGTATTCCTCATCCTCGACCCAGCTCGTCTTGATCGCAACATATCCGCTTCCAAGTCCCTGAGCAAAGACCCTTCTCTGTCACCTACCGTGGGCGTCCTTGACGAGGACCTTGATTTACAGGTGCTGCGCACCCTGCAAGGAAAGACAACAGTCATCCCCATCATCTCCAAAGCCGATACAATCACCTCTAAGCACATGGCCATCCTGAAGAAGAATGTATGGGCAAGTCTCAAAAAGGCAAACTTTGACCCGCTTGAAGCACTCGGCTTGGACGAAGACGACTCGGATTCTAGCAGAATCGACGAAGCTGACGAGGATGCCGAGGAAGATGCCCCCGAGGACGACCAAGGCTCGCCGGATGAAGCCGAGCACAGTGAAGAAAGTACTGGCAGCGACGCATTCCCCATCCAAGGCCAAACAACACCTGGCCACAAGAGACAACCAAGCTCAGCGTATAAGAACAAGCAGTCCGCTGAAGAGGACACTAACGAGGTTCCGCTGCTCCCCATGTCCATCATCAGCCCCGATCTGTATGAGCCAGAGGTCATTGGACGCAAGTTCCCGTGGGGATTCGCCAATCCATACGATGAGGAGCACTGCGACTTTACTAAGCTCAAAGATGCAGTCTTCAGCGACTGGCGAGGCGACCTCCGAGAGGCCAGCCGGGAGCAGTGGTACGAAGGCTGGAGAACCAGTCGCCTGAAGCACCGAGAGCCATCCGTTCGACGCCGATAGAGACGTGTCAGGAACGTTTGAATGTTCCTGCAAATTTGGAACTCGCTCATCCCAGCTGCTGATTCTGTACGGGCAGCATGGCTGAGACGCCACCTTCGCATGACTAGCGATTTCCTTTCGTCATTGTTTCACGTCTATGCAGCATACCCCAACTGTTTTTCTATTTCAACGTTCTATGTATTCTCTCGGCACTCCAAAAAAAAAAATTGCAGGCTGGTTTGACCCTACGGCGCAAACTTAGGATTTCCTCGAATGTTAGATAATTTACATTCTCATGGCATGGCTATGCACAACCGTGGACGCGCAGTTGTAGCTACAACTTGGTTGTCAACCCGGTAACCTCCTGCCGCGCTCCCTGTGACCTCTGGTCAACACCCGTCACCATTGTTTTTGTTTGGGCCATGATTCTGAATGGGTCGTGATTCTGTATTCTTGGAAGAGACCTCTTGAGGTAGCAATGCAGGCTTAGTTGCACTCATGCATTTGGAGCGAAGGGCCACGGCAGTACTCAGCCATGAGCAATGATATCCCACCTTTGTAGTGTACTTACTTTTTCTTGATCTTTGGAATTTAATTCCTATTTCACTTCGCACTGGTCGCTCCCTCCTTTGAAGCCCATACATATCGGTATAAGTGATTTTCTGCATTGCCATGAAGTGAAAGAATTGACCCAGCTGGGACTAAGCCATTGTATGTCGTACTGTTGCAGACCGACAGTGAAACAACGAGGACACGCTTGACAGACAAGACACGGAACTTGGTGGACTTCTGTTTGCTTGTTGTAAAATCGTCAAAGTATGCTTCTTCTTTTTTTATCGTGAGTGAAACATAAAGGCTCTGCCACCTATAATGGTCGAGATCACCCTCCATTTCTAGCTAAAATTGATGATTATGCTCATCTAGGGGCATTATGGCACCCAAAAAGTCCAGATGAGCATAGATACTCGCTGGGCCGAGGGAGATAGGGAAACAGTGCAATTCTCTTTTGCAGGGTTCAACACTTGGTTCGGAAAACTTGCCCTATCGTTGACGATGAGTTGGGGTTGCGTAGACGCAGTCCATCTGGGATCGAATGAGTCAGGCATAAATCCTAGGATCTCGGAGCATTGCTCGCTTGTTAACAGCGAATAAGAAAAAAGAAAAGGCAAAGGACTGCCGTCATGTCGGGTGGAGGATAGTGGCGACAGGTACACTACTCAAGCCCATATGATCGTTTGACGGAAGCATGGAACCATAACTTCGATCTCAAAGCCCCCGCATAGATTCAGCGAGTTAGCCAGTATTTCTCACATCAAAATCATCAATAGTTATAGCATCTGAAGTGTTCATGAGGCTCGGAATTATTCTGTTGACTTGATGTGAATGAACACTCTGCACTTTACCATGGAAGATGGGTAGATAATTCTCCGTTGGTACCTCGGCAGTCTTATCAAAGTATCCCAAGACGTCATGAACGGGCGTCCGCTCAGAAACACGTGTATATATCAGCGAATTATGCCACTATGCTGTCATATAACTGCTAGATGGTTGTTCATTACCGCTTCGATGGCCGAGGAATGAAGCAAAACAACAAGACTGAACATGAGATTCAAACAAGGCATAGAAAAATGCATGCCCTATGAAATATTGAGAACCCGGCAAGAATCCGGCCTGGAATCCCAGTCGCCTGGTCAACAGAGGTCCTTTGTCACCGCATACTCGAGACTCTTGCAAACGAGCGCCACCCCCCTTCTCCGTTTGTAGAGTTCTTGGGATCCGATAATTTGTAGAAACTCCAACCAGCTCCCATCTTCTGGCAAGATGGTGTAGTGGTCTGTTGATTAGCTTTCCTTCCTTCAATGGTAAAGCCTCTGTTGCTCACTGGCACGCTTGGTATGCGAAATCTGTGGCCTTGCAAGATATGGGTTCAAATCCCTAAGCTGGCACCCTTTTTTTTTTCCTACTCTCCCAATTCTTTCAACTTTCTTTTTCACATACTCCTTCTGTCATCTCTCCCTCTATTTATGTTAATTTTCAATTATTAGAGTCCCCCTTTATTACTTAGTTTTAGTTCTTGGACATGAAATGTCTTGCTGGCAGGAATCTTGGACGAATATGGACGACATGTCGTTGTCTTCAACAAGCTGGGCCAGGCAACTGCTCATGAAGACGTGCACGTTGTGATCATTCAGCTGCTTATTAAATTCAAAGCTTGCGGGAATGGCCTAGTCTGCTACATATGCATTTCCTTGTCAATTTGATGATCTCTCAGATTGACCTCGCTTTTCCTCTTCCGCCCCTCCTCCGTTTGCCGGAATGGTAATTTTCAGACGACCGACCCTCTTCGATATTTTGTCCAGCACTCAAAGAATATACCAAAAGCAGATTCTTAGCAACCATTCATAAATCGTGTATTGGAGGAGAAGGGTGGTAGGTAAAAGAGCATACACGTCAAATGGCCATGGCGAGAATAGGTGGCTTCGTGACCATCATTGGCCAAGAGCTGGGCCAAATCTCTCCAAGATATGTGGTCTGGCAACAGTCTCGAAACCAAGCCATGATCATGTGGTGATTTTGAAAATCTTGTCGATTGTTGTATGCTCGCAATCGTCCCTAGAATGTAGCAGTTTTAGGCGTGGTATGGTCCGCTTAAATGCTTTGTCTGATACCTGGTCGCAGATGGCTTGATATCTGAATTATGGCATTGCGCTTTACTAATAAAGATGCTTGCGTTACGAATTACTCAAGTAAGCGGGGGGAAGAAGTAAAAAGGCGTGCTTCTGTCCAGTTGACCGCCAGGCTCAGCGTTGATACATCTACACATATTCACCATTCCATAGGACGTTGCTTTGGGAAGACCCGCTAGAAGTAGTTTGAATCCACATCCTCCTTGAACGACATATAGATAAATAGATAGATAGATAGGTTGACACTTGCCAGTAGCTTGCCTATATTGAGGATCGAACCAAGACCTAGGTGAACATGGTCGACTTGATCCAAGAAACTCACCAGTCGTTTAGTACAAACAATGCGCAAGTCGCAGAACATGCCGCTTATGAGCAACAATTACACAACATATTAATTTGGGCAGCAGTTTGGCGACTCAGGATGTTGCGTTTCATTCAAATGACATCACCACGACCCTTTCAAATGCTGAGATCCATTTTGTCACATTCATCGCTTTCTGGGCATTAGTCTTGACCTGTACATCCTATCGTCATTCGTCAAGGGCCCTGTAGAGAGAAAGCCTTGCGTTTCGCCAAAGTAGATTGCCATGCCCTGGCTCGTTGCCTCACGAGCACCCCAAATTTTTCGCAACGGAACATCGTAGTCTTGTAATATTGTTTGGCATCACAATCATATTTTGATGATCCTATCAGCATCGGCTATTTTTTCCATGCCTTGCCATGCTCATAAGAGGATTTCAGTCCTGACCAGACCACACATGAACCCCATGCAATGATGTAAAGCAACCGAGACCCAGAGAAACAACGCACAAACACCGACCAATCCTCCTCGCTTAGATAGTTGTCTCGTAGGCGATCGGAACGACGGTCTCGGGCTTGTTGTCCTTGGCGGACACGGTGTGGGCCTCACGGGGTTGAGTGGCCATTCTCTTGACCTGGACGGTGGTACCGTCGGACTTGGCCTGCTTCTTCAGCTCGGCGTTCTTCTTGACGCGCTTGATGAAGTCCTCTCGCGATCTCGACAGGCTGATGTGCTCAATGCGGAGGTTGATGCGCTTCTCGATGTATCGGTGCTTGACCTTCTTGTAGATGATCACACCGACGGCGCTCTTGGTGACGTTGTAGATGACACCAGTCTTGCCGTGGTAGACCTTGTGAGGCATACTGTTTGACCCGTCAGTCTAGCTCTTGGCAGTTCTTTTCCCCGCCATCATGCCCCAAAAGCCCCCCCAGATGGCCATCGTCGTCGGCGTAGTCGAATTGGCACGAGGGGGCCAGAGAGGACAAGAGAGAGGGAGAGAGATACTGGAGAGGGAGCTCTTACCCCTTCTGAACAGCACCATTGGCCTTGATGTCCACAATGTCACCGACCCTGCAATACTTGTCAGATTCACCATGTTCGCTGGTTCGTTCGGTCTGGTTGCGACATACTTGTACTGGCGGAGGTAGGTGGACAGGGCAATGGAACCCTTCTGGCGGAAGTTCCTCGAGAAGGCGTACTAGAAAATCGCAAAAAGTCGCACGTTAGCTTCCTGGCACCTTTGCGATTTCGGGGTCTTTTTTTGGCGGATGGTTGACATACTCTCGTACCAGCGCGGAGACCTGCAGCGTGACCCATCTTGACGGTGTTGTGGTGGTCGGTACTGAAGGGGTGGAAAGTTGAGTGGTCGTTGGTCGGGTTTAAGATGTGATTTTTTTCGATTCCCTCACCAAGGTGGAATTTCGCCTAGGACCCGAAAATGTGTGGGAGGACTAGGACCGGCTTTGATTGGCGCACGGGCCCACAGCCAGGGAAGGGGGGCAGCTGGCGCCGTTTCTCAGCGTGCTCGCAGTTGCCCTGTCTTGCAGTCAATGGGCCAAAAATTTGTGCCTGCCTCAGGCTCCAATCTTTTACCCTAAAGCCCCACTTTTCCCGAACTTTCGCAGCCCACCAATTCTGTGGCAGCAAAGGCGCATCGTCTGGGTCTTGAGATTTTCGTGATTCTTTTTTTCCCTCCCATCGCCCAATTCTCAACCGCCCGGAACACCAAACGAGCAAGACGAGATCTTTGAGTCGCAACAATGGCTCCTCTCTCTTACTCCAAGACCGCCAAGGTCCCCCGTCGCCCCTTCGAGGCTGCCCGACTGTCAGTATTCACCGGCCAATGAGCACGAGCTTGTTCTCTGCTTAAGTCGTTTGTGATCGAAAACTGACATGCGACATTCTATTATAGTGACTCCGAGTTGAAGCTCGTCGGAGAGTACGGTCTGCGCAACAAGCGTGAGGTCTGGCGTGTCCAGCTCACCCTGTCCAAGATTCGTCGTGCTGCCCGGTATGTTTGCAACCCATCGATATTCTAACTCCTCCGGGACCACACGAGATTGATAATCTTTTTGCGGGTCCCCAACTCTATCGGCATAGAACATGTGCTAATTACAGTCCTCCACAACAGTCAGCTGCTTACCCTCGACGAGAAGGACCCCAAGCGTCTCTTCGAAGGTAACGCCCTGATTCGCCGTCTCGTGCGTGTCGGTGTCCTCGACGAGTCCCGCATGAAGCTCGATTACGTCCTGGCCCTGAAGGTTGAGGATTTCTTGGAGCGCCGCCTCCAGACCTGTGTCTACAAGCTCGGTCTCGCCAAGTCCATCCACCACGCCCGTGTCCTGATCCGCCAGCGCCACATCCGCGTCGGCAAGCAGATTGTCAACGTCCCCTCTTTCATCGTCCGTCTCGACTCCCAGAAGCACATTGACTTCGCCCTGACCTCGCCCTTCGGTGGTGGCCGCCCTGGCCGTGTCCGAAGAAAGAAGGCCAAGGCCGCCGAGAAGGGTGGCGACGAGGAGGAAGAGGAGGAGGAGTAAATTCTTCCCTCAACTGTATGACGGCATGACCATGGAGTGGATCGTGACAAGAATCCACTGGTTGAGAAATCTGGTTTCATTATGGGCACAAGGACTCAAAAAGCCCTTTATAGCTCACGGCGTTAGGCCAGGGATCAGGAATGCATGAAAAGAATTGCGTCGCCAACATGATTTATTGATTTTCTTCCATCTTGAGACTGCTGCAATGTGTCTCATCCGTGCCATGTGGTAGCTACGTATTTCCAGGTGCATGTTTTCCAAGCTTGATGCAATTTTGTTTTCCTATTTAAAGTATACTTGGACCGCTATGAGACCAACTCGTCCTTGCCAAGCAACTTGGCCATTGGGTCATCGGCTGCAGTACGTTTTCTCCTATATTCCTCGAGTTCCTCTTCCATCATTTCCTCTGCTGTCCGTTTCTTGATTGCCGGCCTGACCGGCTCAGTATCTGGTACCGGCGGTGCGCGAACCTCTTCCTCAGCATCTACGACCAGATTCGCTCCGGTCCTCTGCTTTTCAGCCTCTTTCCAAGCTTGTTTGCCCTCTTCACCGGTGCAGTAGCTGTTTTTTATGAACGAGTGACAACATGCGTAGCCCCATTTGAAGTTTGACCACCAGCTGCCCCATACCGATGTGTGATTGTTGACGAATACGTCTTCGGCATACTTGGATTTTGCGATCGCCCTCGGCGCTCCCTTGATCAGACCGGCCTCGTCATATTCCACAAAGGCTTCGGATTCCGTTACAGCAATGTCCCTCAGAGCGGCGGGCATGGCATGCTGGTTTCCTCCATACTTGTCTTGCAGAGCCTTGATTCGCTCTGCCTTCTTCTTCTCGGCGTCCTCCTTCTCCTTCTTGCGGTAAAATTCACCCGCCGTTGGGTTCGCTTGCAGATGCTGACTTGTGTCACCTGATTTTTCTTGCTTCTCCCAGGCGTATTTTGTGGCCTTTTCGAACTCGGCAGCGTCTCCAGATCCTCGCAAGAAGCCCTCTTCGGCGTATAGCTGTGCTGCCTTGTCTGCGGTTGCACCAGCATCCACCATTGTTCTCGTCTTGGGATCGTATTTGGCAGACTCAAGATCCAGGTTGAGCAAGTATTTGGCAGTATCCTCTCGTATTCTCAGTTGTCGAGTCGCGGTGCTCTGATGCTTGCCCATGTCGATCTCCTCGGCGTACTTTTCGCCGTCATCCTTTCCATCTTCTTCGCCATCCTCCTTCTTGGCGCCAGACATCTGATTTCTCAAGTCCTCCATCTGATTGTAGCGTTCCACCACGTGCTTGTACTCCCTGGAATCGTACCCGTTCCAGCGGTCCCGCTTGGCGTCCCAGCCCATCTGTACGTCTTGAATAACTTCGTCGGCCTGAATATCCTTGCCCGTATACTTTGCGCCCTTGGCTCGGGGTCGCTGGAGGCAGTCTTTGGCCTTGTGCGTCATGGCGCCGCAGTTCTCGCAGGCGCCCTTGCGGTACTTGGTGGCGGCGGGGCCAGCCTTCCTGCCGCGATCGTACCATTTCGACGAAGCAATGTCATCCTTCTTTTGCTGGGTTAAACGCTGATGCTCCAGATAGTCGTTGGAGGACTCGTCGCCCTCGCCGGCGTAAAATGGTCGCTTCGAGATGAAGGACGGAATGTAGACGTTTTCCTCCTTGGAAGCTGCGCCGGCCGCGCCGCCGCCCTTGGAAGGGTCATTCCTCCGCGATGGAGGGGCGGGGGGAGGCATGGTGAGTATTTGGAGAGGTTGATAGATTCAACGACCAAATTAGAGGTCAGAATGTATATAACCAGGCAAAAGAGTGACGCGAGTTGCACGGATGCCGTCGAGGTTTGGATTGTGGAAGTGACGAAAAGTACAGGCGTAGCTGCGATAAGATAAGTGGCTAGTGTTTGGCTTTGTTGGAATTCAGCGCTGATCAAGGGTGTGGCGCGCACCTGCATAACTCGTCTTCATTAATAAGTTCTGCCCCTAGGTTGCAACCTAATGTAAGCAAGCACCTGATCGCGCGCCAAATCACCTCAGCCGACCAGGGCCATAACAAGCAAATCAACTCTGGATCGCGTTTCGCTGCCTGGGAATTCACTATTGTTACGCGACTTATTTTCCCCCAAAGGACGACATCTGCTATTATTCTTGAATTTAGATCCTGCTACGCTTCAAAACGGGGTACAAATCTCGTTGCTTTTTTCTTCTTCTCCCTCCTGCTGTTTTCCAAATGCCGTCCATTCAGATACGCGCTTGCAAGTGACATACCCATGTCATGATGCATGGATGCATACAAAGTACCGCCCAGCTAGCAGAAGTCCACTATGGATCTCTTCCGCGTACGGTTGAATTGCATCGACCATTATCAAGCCGTGCACACAAAATACGACCCTCAACTACGGAATGACTTTCGTCCCTCGCAAGCAAGCAAGGGACCAAAAGTCCCCGTGATTCGAGTGTTTGGGTCAACGGAAACAGGCCAAAAGGTGTGCGCCCACATACATGGCGCATTTCCGTATTTGTACGTCGAATACAATGGTAGCTTGGAGCCCGACAAAGGTGAGTAAAATATGGAAGAAAAAAAAAACCGCCTCTTCTTGATGCTGCCTTCAGCCGGCTGACAAGTTCAAAGTCGGCGCCTATATATACCAGCTCCATTTATCCATTGATCATGCCCTGACGGTGAGCTACCGGCGCAATGCATACGCCGAGAACCCCAAGTTTGTAGCGAGGATCACCCTCTGCAAGGGTGTCCCGTTCTATGGATATCATGTCGGGTATCGCTTCTATCTCAAGATCTACATGCTCAATCCATTGGTCATGACTAGGCTGGCAGAACTTCTTCAGCAAGGTGTCATAATGAAGTGCAAATTTCAACCGTATGAAGCGCATTTGCAGTATCTACTGCAATTTATGACCGACTACAATCTTTATGGATGCGATTATATCTCGGTGCGGAAAGTCCGCTTTCGAGCGCCAGTCCCTGAACATGATGAGGATGGGGGGAGCTCCCATCTGTGGCATAGCCAGTCTGTGTCAGCTGCTCATATCACTGAGGACTTTGATCTACCTCGTGTGAGCCACTGTCCCATTGAGGTGGATATATGCGTGCAGGATATACTCAATCGCCATGAGATCAAAGAACGACAGCTTCATCAAGACTTTGCTGAGATGCGCAACCAACCCCCTGCAAGTCAAAAGCTCGTTGCTAGCATGGCTGGACTCTGGAAAGATGAGACAAAGCGCAGGAAACGGCGCATGGTCAACCCAGCATCCGGGAGCAGTCCCTTTCCTGCCGAGGTCTTGGTGTCCATGTCTGCAGACCCGCGCGACTCCCAGGCCCCGGGCTGGATACACGAGAAAGAATACAGGGAGCAGATTCATGAGCTCATCGAAGGAGAGTGCCGGAAAGCTGCCGGGCCTCATCTGGACTTTGACAATTTTGTGAAGCCAGTTCCTTTAGAGGAAACAGTAAATACTCTGCTTCAATCTGTGGAAGATTTGTACCCTAAGAATCTGGCGTCGGCACTCGGTTTATCTGGAATCGTGCCTAAGGATGACGAGCCGCCAGAAAGTAGTGTCGTGGTGGACGAAGAAAGGATTCTCGATTTCGGGGGAGCTGACGATGGAATGTTCCCCGATGATTCCGACGAAGAAGCGGCTCGACTGTCGAAAGCAGTTGATCCACCACAAGTATCTGCTCAAATATCATTGCCGGAAGCTCATGCGCCCCAAAGAGAACGCCGTGTCAATGAGCGTACAAAGGCAAAGACAACAAATGAATCGACTATTGGATCTACCTCGACTTCTTCACGGTCTTCAGCTAACGAGTCAACTGGATACTTACCGCCAATGCTATCTGCAGATGGAATCTATGTAAGCTCTCTCAAGACTGGCAAGATTGCTAGCGTTCCCATCACAAACATTCTTGCGGCTGCCGCTATGCAGAATGGATTGGTCAGCAAGGACAGTCAAGCTTTTTCTGAGCCCGAGGCACCAAGTTGCAGCGCAAAACGGCCTAGAACATCCGAGGACGTGGATCAGAATGTCAAACGTCGCCGTGTTGAATTCGCTTTTGACGCTTTCGATGCCAGTCAACATGGGCCCCGTAAAAGCCAACCAGGGTTGGGCGCCCCTCCTGACGATCAGCAATCTACACAACGCGCAGACGAAACCAGCTCTCAAATATCCAAAATCAAATCGCATTCAGGTATTTCCAAGGTCCCAGGCAACCAGACGTTGAAATTTCCAGTCGTCAAGAACCCAAATGATCCAAGCACGCAGTTACGATTGAGCCAACAGAGCCAACATACTAGTTCACAGCCCAGCCAAGAAGAAAACCAACTTAAGAAGCAGGTTTCTTTTGGTCCCATTACGCCAACAGATGACAGCCCGACGAAGTCTGATTTTGGATCATCGAAAAGAGGAGCTCTCAGCTCAAGTGGAAACACTATCAAAGCAGATATTGACAGAAATCCTATTCGCCTCGGCCTGGCTCCAAGACCAAATACTCAATTCTTCGTTCTTGCTGCCACTCCTCCTTCAGTGAGCGAAGTAAACTCTACAATTCACTCTGGAGGACGCCCGGACGTCATTTACCAGGATGCATACTACAGCAACGAAAAAGACGTTCCACTGCGGATGCGCGAATATGCCGGTCAAGAATATCGATTGTTGAGCAACACACTTCCTTATTTGCCAGATTTTGATGAGACGGGTTCTTCACCTGCAACTTTCGGAGTCAAAGCGGAGAACTCGGGACCAAGAGCTTCGGACGAACAAGTGTACAGCAAAAGCCGACGCGAATGTAGCCTCAGAAGTTGGGAATTTGCCGAGCCCCCACCATCATATACAGAAATCAAGAAATGGGGGATTGCAAATCAGCAAAATTTGGCTCGCTTTCCAGAAATTGGCATAGACATTCAGGATCCTGAGATGAGGCCATATCTTTCGCAAATTGAAGGAGCCACTCCCAAAAAGTTCAAATACTCCCAGAAGAAGACGTCAACCAGCGTTCAGTTTGAGGCTCAGTACATGAGTACAATGAGTTTGGAAATTCATGTCAACACTCGAGGCAGCCTAGTGCCGAATCCAGAAGAGGACGAAGTCCAATGTATCTTCTGGTGTTCAAAGTCGGACGAGAATTTTGCCACTAGTGATCATGCATCCTCGGATATTCAATCTGGCATCATTGTCTGTTCCGCAGACGGGGTCTTGACTCGAAAACTCCGGCGACAGACACAAATCGAGGTTACCGAGGAAAATTCCGAGCTAGACCTTATGGTACGAATGGTTGAGATTGTTCGATCCCACGATCCTGATATCTTGACTGGCTACGAGGTCCATGGCAGTTCCTGGGGCTACTTGATTGAACGAGCAAGGCACAAATACGACTATAACTTGTGTGATGAGTTCTCGCGCATGAAGTCGCAATCTTTTGGGAGGTTCGGCAAGGAAGCCGATAAATGGGGCTTCAACACGACCTCAACCATTCGGGTAACTGGACGCCATATGATCAACGTGTGGAGGGCTATGCGGGGAGAGCTGAACCTGCTGCAGTATACAATGGAGAATGTGACTTGGCATGTTTTGCATAGGCGGGTTCCGCACTATTCTTGGCGGACGCTGAGCGACTGGTACTTGAGCGGCAAATCACGAGATTTGAGCAAGTTGTTGCGGTACTATCTCACGCGTACCAAGCTGGATATCGACATTCTGGAAGCGAACGAGCTTATACCTCGTACGAGCGAACAGGCTCGTCTGCTCGGAGTAGACTTCTTTTCTGTCTTCTCCCGCGGTTCTCAGTTCAAGGTCGAGTCCATCATGTTTCGTATAGCGAAGCCAGAGAATTTCATGCTGGCCTCGCCGGACCGGAAACAGGTCGGAGGTCAGAATGCACTCGAGTGTCTACCGCTTGTGATGGAGCCACAAAGTGCGTTTTACAACAGTCCTTTGTTGGTACTGGACTTTCAGAGTCTCTATCCCAGTGTAATGATTGCTTACAATTATTGCTACTCCACCTTCTTGGGACGCATTGTCAACTGGCGTGGTGCCAACAAGATGGGCTTTACCGATTATAAACGTCAAGAGAGACTCCTGGAACTCCTTAAGGACTATATCAACATTGCCCCCAATGGCATCATGTACTGCAAAACAGAAGTGCGCAAATCGCTACTGGCGAAAATGCTCACCGAGATCCTGGAGACAAGAGTCATGGTAAAAAGCGGCATGAAGCAAGACAAGCAGGACAAGACGCTTCAGCAGCTGTTGAATAACAGACAGCTAGCGCTAAAATTGCTTGCCAATGTCACGTACGGCTACACTTCTGCCTCATTTTCGGGTCGTATGCCTTGCTCGGAGATTGCCGACAGTATCGTACAGACTGGCCGGGAAACACTGGAGCGTGCAATAGCACTAATTCATTCAGTCGACAAGTGGAAAGCAGAGGTGGTGTATGGCGATACCGACAGTCTCTTTGTCTATCTTCCTGGTCGAACTAAAGATCAAGCATTCGATATTGGCAATGAGATTGCAAAGACTATCACGGATATGAATCCACGTCCTGTCAAGCTCAAGTTTGAAAAGGTCTATCATCCATGTGTGTTGCTTGCCAAAAAGCGCTACGTTGGTTACAAGTATGAATCTCGCGACCAGGTCAAGCCCGACTTTGACGCGAAAGGTATCGAGACAGTCCGGCGAGATGGCACACCTGCCGAGCAAATGATTGAGGAAAAGGCACTCAAGATTCTATTTGAAACGGCCGACCTGAGCCAGGTCAAGAGTTACTTTCAAAAGCAATGTGAAAAGATCATGCGAGGCGCAGTCTCAATCCAGGATTTTTGTTTTGCGAGAGAGGTCAAACTGGGCACATACAGCGATAAGGGACCGCCACCGCCAGGCGCACTGATTAGCACCAAGAGAATGCTCGAGGACGCGAGAGCAGAGCCGCAGTATGGCGAACGAGTGCCGTACGTGGTGGCTACTGGTGCTCCTGGCGTAAGACTCATTGATCGGTGCGTGGCGCCTGAGGATCTCCTGACCAACTCGCATCTTCAACTAGATGCCGAGTATTACATTTCGAAGAACCTGATCCCACCACTCGAACGAATCTTCAATCTAGTTGGCGCTAATGTGAGGAATTGGTACGACGAGATGCCCAAGGTTCAGCGAATCCACCGTATCGAGCAAGGTGGAGCGTTGATGAAGAAGACGCTCGAATCTTACATGAAGGCCGCTGCCTGTCTAGTATGCAATAGCAAGACCAAGGACGAAAAGGCGATTTGTGAAGCTTGTCTCACCAACGCTCCCGCTAGTCTACTGAAGCTACAGAGTCAGCTGGGAACTGAGGAGCAGAAATATCTCAATGTTCTAAGCATCTGTCGGACCTGTGCAGGACTTTCTCCGCTGGACGACGTCCCTTGCGACTCAAAAGACTGCCCGGTGTTTTACACACGAATGAAGCAGGCGGCGAGGTATAGGACGGAACGAGGCTTGGTGGAGCCAGCGATGAAGCTATTGATAGAGGAGGTGGAGAGACAGGACCTCGAATGGTAACAATGGCAGCGACAAGATTTCAAGAGTTTATTCCACTGGACTCGACGGGCCATGAATAATGACACATGAAGAAAGTAGATACCTTGGACTATGAAAATGACATGACGAGGCGTTTTGGAAAGGGACATGATTCAATGAGCAAACCATCCATGGAAGAAGGTTCAGGGATACAGGGTATAAAATAGCTTGGCGGGGTTTATATTCCGTAGATCGGCCGCCTTTGGATCTGTTATTGCATACACAGTAGTACACAGTCGTGGTCGTCGTGGTCGTCGTGGTGCCGTTGGCATCGCTTATTGGAACGGCCACATCATGGAATGGTTGCAATGGATAGTTGTCACTTTGATAAATAATAGAGATCACCTCTTGACGAGCGACTCTTGGTACAAAATTAAACTTTTCAGAACAATTGCACTTGTCTCTGATCGTGTAGCACATGATACCGGTAGCAGGGGTAGTAGGTACGGGTCCATTCCACGGCTCCATAGTTGTCTACTTTGCACGGGTAAGTGACTGAATTGACGCAGTATGTTTTCTTACTTAGTTAACAATGGATAACCACCGCGCTCAATAGTATTTTCTGTCTAGTAGATGAGATGCAAGATTGTATATAAAGAAGTTGCATGACATTTATTAATCGGCACACGTCAGGCTTGTGTGTAACGACCTTGGAGGTATTGAATGGACCTGCCAGAGATAGATGGGTGCTACAGACACTTGACCCATTCCGTGCCCCACAGCGCCTACTGGTAGAAGAGCGCCCCCAATAGGTGTCATCCCTGCATCCAGTGACGTGGGACGATCTCAGGCTCTGGAGCGCAGCTGTCTCCAGAACCTACAGCGCACCAAGATGGACCTAGACATGATGCTTACCTGAGGTTGCATACGCGCTACACTTGATGCCAACTTTCTCAACATATTATTAGCCGAAACACACCAAAGTGGCCCAAAGTCAAACAATAACTCCCCAAACTGCCTGCTTTTTTCTCTTGTGCTTTCCATGAGAGAAAGACGCTCGGCACAGGAAGAAGGTCATGTAACCCACGCTCTCTAGAGAACGCCCGAAACAATTTATCCGCCAAATCCATCCCCAAAGCCGAAACGACTCCCCGACCATCCATGATCGCCAGAACTATAGACTTCTCTTCTCCCTCCAGTCCAGCAGACGTGCTTCCTGCTAGGTAGCTGTCCCATTCTCGGAGCCATGGGCAGCTGGACGGCGTTTCTCTTGACCTACCTTTTGGGTGGTGTCACATTCATACCCGTGGTGCTGGCCGTAGCTTGGTTCGCACTACCGCAGGTACTCAGCGAGCCCCTCGAAGAGCAGCGCAGCAAGGACAGCCATGCCGACGATATCGTACAACCTGGCGACATCACCAAAGATCTGGACGAAGTCCGCAAGGCAGACAAGGGCGGCGACTCGAAACCCCGCTATGCAGACACCACCGACGTGGCCGCCGGCTACTTTGCCGTGTGTCGAGAGTACACGCCCATGGGTATTAACGCGAAGCCCATCGAGCGGGCGACCCCCGTCGGCTCGGCCACCGTAGCCGCTCCGAGCCAGAGCGTGTACCAGGCCATGTACCGCAGCATCTTTGATCGGAAGCAGGGCGCCAATCCCTTGGAGAACAGCAACGGCGTCAGCGTGCGGCCTAAGCGGGCGGGCAATGTGTTCTATGTCGTTCTCCGGTTCGTGACAGAAACCCTATGGCCCTCAGTCTTGTTGGAGTATTTTGCTAACATTCATAATACTATCAGCCATGGGCATCTCATGCTCTTCGACGACGACGAACAACTCGAAGTCCGGCATGTGATTTCCCTCGCGCATCATAACGTCAGTATATACTCTGGAGGTGATAAAACACCAGAGGGAGAATTATTTATAAAAAGGAATGCGCTATGTTTATCGAGAAAGACGGACGGGATCGAAGCGCCAGATACCCAACTGTCGAAACCCTTCTACCTCTTTTGCGAAAACTGCTCGGCAAAAGAAGACTTTTACTTTGCATTATTGAAAAATCAAGAGCAGGTTTTTGGCGCAACAAAAAAGGCTCCCGAGCCCCTACAGTTTGATGTCAAGAATATCATGTCGCTGGTACAGAGGCTGTACTCGACCGAGGATCACATGCAGACGAGATGGCTCAATGCTCTCATTGGCCGTATCTTTTTGGGTATTCACAAGACCAAAGACATCGAGAACTTTATTCGCGAGAAAATCACAAAGAAGATCTCAAGGGTCAAGCGTCCCAGCATCCTCTCCCGTATAGCAATACAGAAAATCGACACGGGAGACTCGGCCCCTTTTATCACGAACCCGCGCCTTAAGGACCTCACCGTCGAGGGCGAGTGGGGTATGGAGGCCGACGTGAAATATACTGGCAACTTTCGCTTGGAAGTGGCGGCGACGGTCAAGATTGATCTCGGATCTCGCTTCAAGACCAGAGAGGTTAACCTCGTTCTGGCTGTGGTATTGAAAAGGCTCGAGGGCCACGTCTTCTTCAAGATCAAACCTCCACCCAGCAATCGCCTCTGGTTTTCGTTCCAGACAATGCCAAAGATGGAGATGACGATTGAACCTATTGTGAGCTCACGACAAATCACATACACGGTAATTCTACGTCAGATAGAAAATCGTATCAAGGAAGTCGTTGCCGAGACTCTAGTCTTGCCCATGTGGGACGACACACCGTTCTTCAAGACGGAACATAAGCATTGGCGCGGCGGTATTTTCGAGGGCGACGATGCTGTTGAGCACTCGGAGGACTACGAGGAGATTGCCGCCATGCTGGGCGATGTCGAAGAGGTTTCACAGATTGAGGAGACGGGCATGCCATCATCCCCTGGTATTGGGGATTTCCCACCGATTGAGAAGAGTCACAGCGTCCCAGCTTTGGAAACAACCCAGCCAGCTGGTTTCTGGAATCGCAAGGCCAGCGTAAAGAAGTCTGCTCTGGCGCATGCGAGTGCTACTTCGTCTTCAACCACGGCACTCGATAGCGCAACTGGGTCACCAGCAGCTGAGGTACCACCTCGCCCTATCCGGAGCGGCTCGTTTTCTGTTCCCAGTCCGACCATCAGCACTTATCCTACTCATGCCGATGCTCTCATACCGTCTTCCACGCCCCCCGATCGAGATGATGCGGCTAGCATCATGGCCAATCTTGCTGCCCGAGCTCAGACGACAACACCCTCGACACAAACTCCACTAGGTACACCGACGAAGACAGCCTCAGCCAAGCAGTCACTAAATGATTTGTCCTCAAACGAGGCATCAGAGGCTGAACAATCTACTGAGCAGACGCCCACTGTCCCTCCACGTCGCGGTACAACATCATCTGTGGAAAGTAACAGTAGCGAAACGAGCTTCACAAACTCACCAATTCCGTCGGTAAAAGGCTCAGTCAGAAGCAACACGGGCTCCATTGGCAAGAATTTCTTCGGACGTAGAGACACAACGCTATCGACCGATTCTGGTAATACAAATAACGAGCAAAAGCGCAACACCTTGGCGGCCGTGTCCAAAGCAGCAGCTACGGCGAAGCAGTGGGGATGGAATGCCATTCAAAAACGTAATGAACAGACGGCAAACGGACGCAAGCTCTCAGATACGCCAGCAGTAGACCTGAACCAGCCGATGGGACGTGGTCAACCACTCCCTCCGCCAGGCATGCCGCTTCCAGGCCCAGACAGGAGGTCCAAGGTCACGCCTATTGCCCCGAAGCGCAAGCCAATCCCTCCTCCAGAATTACCTTCTAGGAATGGATCAGCAACCACTGCCGAGCCGGGATCCGAACGCCGCCCAGTGCCTGTTCCACCTTTGCCACGACGGAGGAGGGTATCACAAGTGCACGGCGATGACGGTCTAGAGGAACATGTCCTGGTCGTAGAAGCGCCAGCAGACTCGGAGCCTAGCACGCCATTACAGGAAGAGCATGAACAGGGACACGAGACGACACCGTCTTATATGCAGCCATGGATCGAAGATGAGGGGGAGCAAGACAGCTCTGGTAGCCAATCAGCGCCCAGTGAAGGACTCGCTACCGAGACTGGGTCGCAAGAGCAATTTGCTGCTAGCAACTCAACATCAAAAGAGGTTCCCCGCAGTGATGCTGCAGACAGTAGCACGGCGGAGGATGAAGACGACTATTCGAACTGGCTGGATAATAAACCCGATTATGCGGCGGAACGGCAGGATGCAGCAATCACAGCAGGTCAAACACATTGAGGATATACTCTTAATTGACACAAACGCGGCATGAATGGCGTACGTGGGAGATTTTTCATGAAGTGGGATAGAAATACCCTTCCTTGCATTGGTTCCGTATAAAGACGGAGTTTTGGTCGACTGCTTTTGGGGGCCACTTGAGGGGTCGGTGGTTTTTGGTTTTCATACATGGAATGGCGTATAACTTGGTAGAAGAGAAATGAAATACCATCGACACAAGAACAATAAAAACAATGGCCAGTCTGCTCTCTTGTGAGCTGCGTAAGCTTTCCTCCGTTCGCTTGGTAAGAAATTAGGCACAGAGCCACAAATGAATCGTGTTTGTTTTATGATGTTTAAATTTGATGTCTGGAACAAAGGGAAGGTATTTACAGTTCACATGGACCGTAGTCGTCTCATCACCGTATGAGCTCTCTAAACCACACAAATTGCCATGGGGCAACCCAACACTCTATTTCGAATTGATCTTGGTTTTTTGCTGTCACACTCTTTTGCTTTATCGACTCATGGCGCTAGGTTTCTCTTTGAAAAATCCCAGGCCGGAAGGAAGACACCAAAATTTCGCATAGTATCTCTTGAAGCGTTTCCCAAGCGAGGAATAAAGAAGTGTATATGCCTAAGGGTTGATTTGGGCGTTTAGGTGGCCTTGTCCTTGTTGTGGTAGTTGACGCTGTCGTTCCAGAACAGGGTCTTGTCGCCGTTACCCCAGGGGTAGTTCTTGGTGCGAATGTTCTGGTAGGGGTACTCGACGCGGTCCTCCAGCGGGGGCATGTGCGACCAGTGCTCCCAGTGCTCCGACCAGAGGTTGTAGGCGTTGGCGCCGGCGAGGATCAGGGCAGGGACGACGGCACTGTTTTGGTGGCAATGAACGCTCTGGTTAGCCCATGTGCTTTTCTCTTGCGGTCTCTCTCTGTCTGTCTCTCTCCCCATGCTCGAGCGATTCCTTTATCATGATGACTGTCGTTTCCGAGCTCGGGTCCACTCAATTGAACGTGTGCCAACCTCCGCATGATAAATTCGATTTAGATATAGAGTATTCAATTGATGAGTCGTCGGCAGATTTGTGGTGTAGATATGTCGTCGTGCATTTTCGCGGAATGTTGAAATCGCTCAAACAGGGATCCATCGGGTACAAAAGGAAACTCTAGAGACATATTTAGAAAGGCTTACTAGATGGAGATCTTGCGCCAGAGCTCTGCAAAAGATAAAAAAAGTTAGCAATTGACTTCACAAAAAAACGTGGCGGCCGGAAGCCAATCGAGTTGGGTCTTCGGTGACTGGGAAACAGAGATTCTACGCACCAGTGGTGGCGGCAGCGTGCTCCTTGACGGCCTCGCGCTCCTTGATGAACTGGTTCTCGGTCGAGGCAAAGCGGCGCTGGACGACGGGGCTGCGCATCAGCCGGGGGACGGCGCGGAAGATCTGGCGTTGAGGAAACATTGTTGTTGATTGGTTTTGTCGTCAATTGACAAAGATGGAGAGGAAGAGCGGAGGTTTGGTTTCTGACAAGCTTCGGGGTTGGAAAGTGGTGCGATCGGTCGAATCGGATGAGGTCAGTTTGAGAGCACCCAGCAAAGCTCGGTTAGTGGCATGAAAGCTACTTTTTCTTGGGTGCCTGAGGCAAGCAGAAATGCACTTATGCTGTATTCTTTCTTTTGGGGAGCTTTAGTGGCTTGGAGGGGGTTTCTCAGAACCGAGTCACCTGCTTTCGTGCTATTGCCGTGTTGAGAAAAGTGGGCCCAGTCGGTTACTCAGTTGACTTGAATGGCGTCAAGACAAGTGATGGTGAAGGAAGGTGCTTTTTGGACTTCAACACAAGCCTTGGGGTGTGCAGTTCATTTTTTGTCCTCAAGGAAGAGAGAGGATTGAACCCCCTAGTCAAAAGCAACCTTCACGGTCTCCATGTGTCGCTTTCGATTACCTTCAATTCAACATTAAACGCGTGGATATGAAGCAACCAAGGTTCATCTCATGCCATATCAGCGTCAATCACAAGTAATTGGCAGTACTCTCACTTGACTGTGCGCTGCATGCGTCACAATTTTGACTCGACCGCTCATCTCTTCTCTTCATTCTTTTGGTACAATCACTTCCCTTCCGTGGCAGTAAATGAGTATAAAGTCTAGCTCCTCATGATCAATTCCACAAGCTTGAGCGTTCGCCAAAATGGTCGTCCGAATCACGTCATGGAATGTCAATGGCATCCGAAACCCGTTCAGTTATCAGCCATGGAGGGAGAGGCGCACATTTACCTCCATGTTCGACATCTTGGAGGCTGACATAGTGGTCATGCAAGAGACAAAGATTCAGCGCAAGGATCTTCAAGATGACATGGTGCTGGTTCCTGGCTGGGACGTCTATTTCAGCTTGCCCAAGCACAAGAAGGGTTATTCTGGCGTGGCCATATACACTCGCAATTCTGTGTGTGCACCGATACGCGCCGAGGAGGGTATCACTGGCATCCTCACAGGGCCAAACTCTACGACGAGCTTCCGGGATCTTCCCCAAGACCAGCAAATTGGTGGATATCCGAAACTAGGCCAGTTGTCAAGTGTTGTAGACGAAGTCACGCTCGACTCTGAAGGACGATGTGTGATCTTGGAGTTTCCTGCTTTTGTGCTCATTGGCACGTACAGCCCAGCTACTCGTGACGAAACCCGAGACGACTTCAAGCAATGTTATTTGGACGCTCTAGATGTGCGCATTCGCAATTTGGTCGCAATGGGGAAACGTGTGGTGCTGACTGGGGATCTGAATATTATCCGAGCCGGCATAGACACGGCAAATATTGGAGAACGACTACGAAAAGAGTCCCTGACTATGCAGGACTTTTTCTCATCCCCCGGGCGCAGGCTCTTCAACCAGCTAGTCTACGAGGGAGAAGTATATGGCGCCAGAGATGACGGCCGTGAAGAGCCAGTCCTGTGGGATCTGGGTCGCTTGTTCAACCCTTCGAGGGAAGGCATGTTCACCTGCTGGGAGACCAAGAAGAATGCTCGACCGGGAAACTTTGGCAGCCGTATTGACTATATTCTTTGCAGCGACAACATGAAAGATTGGTTCATTGATTCCAACATACAGGAGGGTCTTCACGGCTCAGATCATTGCCCCGTTTTCGGGACGCTCAGCGATAAAGTTCAAGTGAGTGGAAAAGAAGTTCACTTGCGAGATATAATCAACCCCGCGGGCATGTTCAAGAACGGAGAACGATCGAGGGAGTGGACCACAAAGGATCTACTTCCATTATCTGCAAAGCTGATCCCGGAATTCGACCGGAGGAGAAATATCAAGGACATGTTTTTCAAGAAACCAAGTACCAATACTCCAAAGGCAGCTTCCCCCTTAGCGAGTGAGCCTGCGTCCAGCTCTCAGACTCCACTACCAGAGGAGCAGGACCTGGCAACACTTTCACAATCACAGCCAAGGTCGGAATCAAGTGCCCCATCACCATCAAAGTCGGCACCGACGGGTCTAAAACGGACACCGTCCAAACCACTTTCAAACAGGCCACAAAAGAAGACAAAAAACACACTTGGAAAGGAACCATCGCTATCGAAAGGACAAAGTAGTCTCATGGGATTTTTCAAACCAAAGTCTACTGGGAATCTGAGTAAAAGCCCTAACGAAGAGACTGGCCAGAAGTCCGACAGTCTAGATGGCGCCTGTGACTTCGAAAACGGAAATGCCCAAGTCAAGGAGGATATTAATGGCAAACAAAAACCGGCCCCTGCAGCTGCTGAACAATCTGAAAAGGTCTTTGATCCGATTGAGTCCAAGGAGTCGTGGTCCAAGATCCTTGGAAAACGAGTTGTACCAAAGTGTGAGCATGGGGAGGATTGCATCAGCCTGCTGACCAAGAAACCAGGCATCAACTGTGGTAAGTGGCAAAACAAACCTTTCAGTTTGATAGCTCAGACGATCATTTACTCAAGCTTGACATAGGGCGGTCATTTTACATGTGTTCGCGGCCACTCGGTCCTTCTGGCGACAAGGAAAAGAACACACAGTGGCGATGTCGAACCTTTATATGGAGTAGTGACTGGAACCAGTCACAATCACAGGCAGGTTGAGTAAATTGAAACTCGAAACCTTTGAGTGAAATATCTTCTACCATTCGAGTCCCGATGGATAGCTGAACAAAGCCATCTAAGGGGCCAATTGCACTGGACACGCAACAAACCACTGGACCTGTGCGAAGGTCATCAGTGGCCAGATGGTACTGTTGGTGCTCTCAATAGCCTCCAATGCCGAAAACCTCGTGTGCCATGCTTGGGATGCGTCCCTAGGGTAAAGAGATGATAGTTGCCGCTCTTGCAATGATAGCCAATGGCAACATCTATAGCTTGAATCCCGTTGCAGAATCAACGGCTCCTATATTATAATGGAATATGCGCTCGTATCTTGAAAAAAGAAAGGACATGACAAAGCCAATACCACATTATTGCAACCCAGAATTCTAATGAAAATTGATGCACCCTCCTCCACGATATTCGACTTCGATGGATACACCTCACACCACCTTTTTGTTTGCTGATGAATCCCACCAGGCGCTCTGTGCTCAACATGCCATAGATCTTACTTACAGATCATTATCAATATCAATCTCCTTCTCCCATTCCCAAAGAGTCTTGCCCTTTGGCAAGTCCTCCCAGCCTTTTGCCACGACCCCGAGGTTGCGCGCACCACATGCGAAGATGCGGCGAAACTCACGTATCTTATCATCAAAGTCTCTTCTACCTGCAAGGACCACAGGGCCACGAGTAGGGTCACAGCACCACGCAGTCTCCGGTTCCAGGTTCCTGGCACGGTACATGCATAGGGCGAAAAGATTCTGCTGTACTAGTATCGTAACATCAGTATCCATTAGCAGCGTGTCGAGCTTGTCCTTCGCCTCTTCGTCATACGGCGCGCAGGCCGCGAAATCCAGGTGCGGCCAATTCGTGGATTTCCAGTACTCTTTAGGGCCCACATACTCGCGCAGCACGTGTTGCAGGCCCTCGGCACCCCAGAGTAAACATCGTATTTCGTAACCAATGGTGGCTGCCGCCGCCTCGACAGACTCGTCGTACAGTTGGCCCATGTGCAGACCGGAAGGGTAGTGTTTTATCGACGCCTGTTGACCAGGCGCCATGTGATCCAACGTGGCCCAGTAGCCTAGGCGATAGGCCGGCGGCTGCTGGATGAGCATGCGCCGCCAGCTGGCCGAGGGGGAGTGCAGAAATTGTTCCGTGGCGGCGGCAAATGGCTGCGATGAGTAAGAGGTCCAGATTGGGAGACGAGATACTGAAGACAAGGTGGCCAACTCGTTCTCTCCATCCCCGGGCCGAGGGCGGCGACCATTACGACGATGAGGCGACGGTCCCTTGTATTGGTAGTCTTGAAACCAAGCCGGAAAGACGGAAGCTAGCAAGGGATTCTTGCGAACGCCTTGACACGCGACATTCCTGCTCTCCAACTTTCCAGTGTTGTCGGCCTGGTCCCTTCCATCTTGCCCGTCGAATCCTGCCGGTCCATCTTGGGGTTTAAAAAAGAGCGCCTCCTGGAGCGCCGGCGACGTGCTAATGAGCTCCCGCCAAGTCCGACATGTGCGCTGGGCCGAGACGAGGAGCGTCTGCATGTCCAGCTGCAGGAAAATACACTCGAGCAGCTCGGGCATATAGAGAACCTGGGATACGCCCGGGTTCTGTGTTGCCGAGCATGCTGGTAGGATGCCCGACTCCTGCCCCTTAAAGCCCCGGGGCGGCTGCTCATGTAGACGTTGTCGTTTCTTGGGGCGAGGGATCTCCTCGACAGGTTTCCGCTTACAATGCATCTTGTGTCGAGTGTCTCGGATGTATTTACGCCTGATCTGACTGAATAAAGTCTTATAGCGAGAGCCTAGTCGCTTCAATTGCTGGCTGCCTGGAGGTTTAATTTCCCATACTATTCTTATTAACTAGTGGCTAATTACGTAACCTTGGATTTTGGACTGTCGACTTGTTCAAATATCAGATGTACCAGCATTTCGAGCGCAAATATATGGGTTGTGTTAACCTATATGAATGCTACCTGATGGGATTATACCCTATGCAATACCATCTCTCGGCACAGTTTCATGGGTACCTTACCAAATGAGGCCAATTGCTAGTACCTGATGTATAATACAGCCAACTAGGCGTGGTATCAATGTCCAATGCCACCATTATCTCAGCCATGAGTCAGAATAGTCATCATCTCCATCATTGTTTGGTGCCTCGTTGGATGAACTATCGGATGCCTAATCCGCCATGTGATCCGCCGTGGCCCGGTATCGGATGCGATGCTCCTCCAGATCCATCTCTGGATCCCAGATGGTGTTGATCGGCCTCGAGTAGTCGTCAAGGTCGCTCTCTAATCGAAACGGGTTCTTGCCCAGAGCTTGCACGGCGTCAATCTCCTTCTTCCCCAGGACAACGCCGTCGAAGCCGCGGGGCAGTGGAGCATCTGCCTTTAAGAAGTCGACCTTGAGGTTGCGCGCCTTGTCACGGATTTGCTGCTGCGAACGAGGCACTGAGAAGAGATTCTGCTTCTCCATATCGCTCCAGCCACATGCAAATTCGGGAATGGCGTTGATGAGCGCCGCCGAGTCCACGGCGTCCCACTTCTGGCGTCTCTGGGCCGGTCTGCGTTCGCGATGCATCCGGGTGGCTGCTCGAGCCTTCTGTGTCAAGATTGGTATATCCTCTGGACCAAATTCCATTTCTCCTTCATCGTTGGCAATGAATGACTGTGACATGGAAGGCTCTCTATATCTGATGGACTGTGAGACAGAAGCCTCCCTATATCCACTGACGCTAGGGGCGTATTGAGAGTTCGAGAGGCGTGATCGTTTTGGAGGACTCTGTCCGTCTCGTCGCGAATGGTCAAAGAAAGGCTCGCCTTCATCTTCCTCTCCATAAATAGACACTTCCTCTCTTGGTCTTTTCTGCGAGCTGGTTTGTGAACCAGACATGCCCTGCGAAGCCAAAAAGGCTTGGAATTGATCAAGAATCGTGTCCGCATCTACATTTGCAAGCGGATTTTTGTGGCCCATCTGGTTCGAGGGGGGCGTGGCTCGATGTTGTCTGATAATCTCGCGAGCGCGCCTATTTAAATACGCGCTGCCGTCAAGATAACTGCCGCTGTTTGTTTGACATGTAAGTATTTTCTCGGGACAAATGGCTGGACGCTTGATTGGACATGCTATGGTAACTAGGACTTACCTTGGTGCACCCGTTCTAACGATGGACTGATCGAGTTCATCACCCTCTGAATCGGACTCGTCTTCGGGAACGGATCGGCGGTTACCTTGACTGCCATTTGCTGCGCCGGATTGCGTCTGACTTGCCGGAGCCATGGTACGCGTCTCGTTCCTGGCCGATGCCCGGAATGGTATTTGAGAAGATGCAGCAGAGGCTGCTGCGGGTTTCGGCCGAGACCCCTGGGAGGCTTGTGCAATATATACAGGAGCTTTGCCTTTTTTCTTCTCTGGGCTTTCACGACTTCTCTGGTAAACCTCGCCGGCCCACTCAGAAAGGTCTTTCCAGAGATCCATCGGGGGATAAGCGTTCTCCAAGGCCCGCACATTTTCAGCGCGGCTCTTTTGCGACAGCTTGGTGCAGAGAAATGCCATATTCTCGGCGTGCTTCTGCTTCAGCTCGTGCATATTCGCTGGGGATGTACTGCCGATCTCCTGGTATGGACCATTCTGCAGTAGTTCTCTGGCTGTCTGGACATGTCGCTGAGCGTCCTTAATCTCATCGACTGCGTCTGGATCGCAGAAAAGTTGTGCGGCAAGAAGAGTCGGACTCGTCTTGGTTTTGGTTGTGATGTCATGTGCCAGGACGAGGCATCTGATGCGAAATGCCTTGTCGTAGTCGGACAAGGAGTCATCCGCAGTTACCTGACGCCTAAAGATTCCCGGGAAAAAGTCATCCAGCTCTTCCAGCACTAGTTGGGGTTCTAGTTTGCCATTGATGATTTCCAGTGAAAGTTTGCGCAGAAGGGCCGTGTTGGCCAAGGCCATGGCTACAGCTGACCGCTCAAAATGCTCGGTCCCTGCCAGCTTTTTGACAGAGTTGTGGACCTCATTTTGGCTGATGAAGTACTTTTCTGATGAAGTAATCTTCTGACGCTGCTCATCGAATGACTCCTGTATTTTTGCCAACCGGGCCCACGATATCTCATTGGGCGAGACAGCTTCTACCTTTTGAAGGAACTGGTGGAGCGCATTTGATCGGGAAGCAAGATCGTGTATGGTGAAGTCGATGAGATCTTGAACCTGGTCTTCTTCACTTTCCTGGCTGGCTTCATTGGCAGCAGCAGCCGCGGCCGTAGCTGCGGCCGTAGCGGCCAGGCTTGAAGCAGCTAGATGGAGATGAGAAATTAGTCATGTTGAAATAAGATGGAAACTCTGAAGAGAGTCGAACCCTTTGCCTGTGACTGTGTGCCTCCTTCGACCTGAGAGCTCATGTCAGGCATCATGACGCTCTCAGGACTTCCTTCGCGGGCACGTGCAGGTGCATTCCGTCTGGGGAGCGTGGATGGCTGATAGTCGCCCTGGATCTTTTCCTTTCTTTGTGACGCGCTCGGGGCAGACTGCTGCGCGTCTGTCCGAGAGCGCGTCTGCCTCCTCGTCGTTGGTGGAGAAGATGGAGGCTCTTCGCTGGGCGCCGTGGTCTTCTTTCTCGGCATTTCGAGATGAGAAGGGAAAAAGAAGAAGAAGAAAACAAGGCTTGTGTCTGCGCAAGGGCTGATGCAGCGATCCGTGTCTCGGGTCACGCGGTACCAACAAATTGGTTGAATGCAAATTTTGGTGAAGAAGTCAATCCCCAGGGTTAGGGTTAGAATACAGCGAAGACCTCTTTGTTTACAACGTTTCTTGCTGTACCTCACGCGCTGAGGCCACCCAACAGAGTTGGGGGCGGGGCACACAGACTTTTGGTGTAATTAACAGGCCAAGAAAAGGAAAGTTGGTTCCAACTCCTCGTGGTGGAGCTTCATGGCCGACTAGAGGGAAAGTAAAAAGTACGAACTACGTTGGACGTGGATTTGATGCGCCTTGATAGTCAAGTATTGAGACAATAAGTTTTAAAATTATACGTATGCTAAGTGCGGTATTTGCAGTATCCCAGCCTTGGGTCGTTGCCATATGCAGATCCTCGGTGTCATAATGATTTTGGATTCACGTCAAAAGGGAGATATATAATATGACCCAAGATAGGTTTCGATGAAAAAGACAACATCGCCCAAGAAATCAACAGTGAATTGACTTTGGTGAATTTACGAGGTTTCAACCAGACTCAAGCAGGAAACAAAAGCCCAAGCGGGTAACATAAGCAAAGTCCAATATAACAAGACCACTTCAACCTACAACACGAAGCATCTGATCATGATTGACTAGTCAGTCACATGCCAAGATATTAAATACACGTTTAATTTACAGAGGAAACTCGTATAGTGAGTGATTGACGAATTGAACAACTTTGTCAGTGCATGCATGTCTTTCGACTTTGGGACGTGCTTTCATGAGGCCAGTACATACAAACACAGACCAACACTCACTGATTTGGAATGCCATCAGATTCTCATTGCTCACAGTTGTTCATATATTGGTAGGTGGATTATCTCCATTCAAGGTACAAAGAAAGATGTTCTAGAATGGCCAGATAGTACATTTTAAGAAAAAATTGTTAACTCCTTTGGGGGACAAGAAAAAAAGGGTGTAGCTATTTGGGCGATCGCTGACGCGCCAAACCCACTTGGAACAGATGCGACAGGGGCTGGAATAAATGAGTTTGCCGCGTCTTGACAGCCTCCATGTTCTCGTCCAGTGTCAAACTGCGACCTTTACATTCTAGAAACGGTCTAGTGTCGTCTGCTCTAGAGGGTGGCAGTCTCCTATATTGCGCATTCATTGATTCACATTTTCATGCATCCTTTGAAAGGCAACTTGTTGAGGGGGTGTTGTATTCCAACCAGTAATCAAGGTACAAAAGTAAAAGATGGCACATATTGGAAAAGGAACGTCCAGTGGCGGCCACCTAGCCTTGGGTGGTGTAGGTAATGTACCTGCTTACCCATTTGGCTCTTTCAGCATTCATCCCACTTGAGTGTGCACCGACCCCCTATTGCCACTGCAGTACCTATGGTGTAGGAAAAAAGGTCAATTAGCGCTGGGCGGGACAGATGATAAAATGTATGTACACCTTAATACTGTACCTCGTACATACATACGTAAAGCTCCCCAAGGTTTTAGCTAGTGCACAGCGACAACGACACGTCTGCATCCAACTTTTTCTCTTCCTTCAATCGTTATCATCAAGTCAATTCCCAAGACTCGGTGTTACCCCCTGAAGTGGGTGCTCACCATTCTGTACCATCTTTCTCTTCTTCCTTTCCTTCCTTTTCCTGTATTCAAAGTATTCTAGCGGGCAGCGATACGACACCGGCTTACTTTACACCACTTGCCAAACTCAATCCGCAGGTCACTTGGGCGACACAAGGCCACTTCTTTCACTTTGTACCGATTAATCGCTGGTCAGAGCCCTCTTACTACAGTATAGAGCCTCGAGCCTCTCTCGCTCGACCATCAATTCACAATGAGGATACGACAACGACAAGCGCAGCTCCTCCTTCTCCTTCTTCCGGCAACAGCCCTTGCCCTCTCTTCCTCGACCTCGGACTCGACCTCGGACCTCGTGGATGATTCGCTCAGCGGATCAGCAAAGGCCAAATATGACATTGGAACCAAGGATGCTCCCGTTGATGGCAAGGACGGCAAGCCCCACGAGGGCCCCTTTGTCGACACGAAGCTGACCGAGTCATCGGGCTCAAAGAAGGAGCTTCCTGTGGTGGAGGATATCAAGCTCGATAGATCGGCCTCAAAGAGCAAGGACTCGACCGATCCCGATAGCGTCATGGACGATCCCCTACACACGCCTCCCAAGAAGGGCACAACAGGCACAGAGGGAGGTGTCACCGAAAAGGACAAGGCCAGGATTGCAGAGGAAAGAATCACTGGAGAAAAGGCCGAGAAGATCCCTGAAACGCCAAAGGAAGCCCCTCCTCTGCCACACAGCGAGCATGAGAAGATCGTCAGCGGCAAGGAGAGCAGCAAGGACGTGACTTTGGACAAGTCCAAGGGATCAAAGATTGATGCTCACCTCGATCACTATGACGTTTCTGGATTGGAAAAGCCCGAGGACCTGCCCGACAAGCTTCGTGACAGTCCCAACCCCGTACCGCACTCTGCTGACAAGGACCACCTCGATGTCACGAAGCCGTCCAAGTCGACTCCCAAGAAGGACTGGAAGATGGACGATGATGGAAATGAGGGTCTGATCCAACCTTTCCACTCTTTTGTTCTATCTCTGGCCATGATTCTGGTCTCCGAGATTGGTGACAAGACCTTTTTGGTGGCTGCGCTCATGGCTATGAAGCACGACCGGATGCTGGTCTTCTCGGCAGCCTACGGTGCTTTGGTGGTCATGACGGTTCTCTCCGCTGTTCTCGGACACGCAGTTCCCACGCTTATTCCCAAAAAGTTTACGTCTTTCCTTGCCGCTGGACTCTTCCTTGTCTTTGGAGTGCGTCTTCTTCGTGAGGGCATGGCCATGGACCCCAACGAGGGTGTTTCTGCCGAGATGCAGGAGGTTGAGCAGGAGCTGCAAGAGAAGGAGCACCTAGCTATGAAGCAGGGCCGACGCCGATCTTCCATCAGTGCCTACGCTGTGGAGGGTGGTTACGGGCGCAAGTCTAGATCGCAGTCCCGTTTCACTCCTCCCCGTAGTCCCTCGACATCCCCGGCTAGGAGCCCCTCTCCTCGTGGAGGAGTATTGGGTAATGTTGGTGGTGGACTCTCGAACCTCTTCTCCCTGCTGCTCAGCCCGGCCTGGGTTCAGACTTTTGTCATGACCTTTTTGGGAGAGTGGGGCGATCGAAGCCAGATTGCGACCATTGCCATGGCTGCCGGCCAGGACTACTGGTGGGTGACTTTGGGAGCTATGGTCGGACACGCTTGCTGCACAGGTGTAGCTGTTCTCGGCGGAAAGGCAATCGCAGGCAAAGTCAGCTTGAAGATTGGTAAGTCAAGAATCTCGGCCCCAAGGCTCTGTATGTTTGCATCTACTAACATTTTGTCTCAGTCACTGTCGGAGGCGCTGTCGCGTTCTTGGTGTTTGCATTTATCTATTTCATTGAAGCCTTCTACGCGTAGAGTGTTTCTAGAGTGGATTGACTCTCAGTGTGCTGATCGCGGACGTGGCATGTCTGGAACACATGTGTACTATAGAGCTGAATGATGGGTCAGTGGGGACAAATCAGTTGTGGCGACAATATGACTATGTGATGCATGGGCGGCGTTTTGTGGAAGATTTATATTGCCTATTGACGCGCGTTGTACCTTAATTTTGTGCTGGGCTATACATCAGATAATTGGAAAAGGGGCAAAACTTTGGCGAGGCCAGAGAGCCAATATGGCACGGGCAGCAGCATACAGCAAAATGACCATGTTTTTAGGAATTTGAATGCTCATGTGACATCAACCTTGGAAACGCAAGACTACCAGTTCCGAATGCTGATTTGGGGAGACTATTTCGTGAAACATAATTTTGAAAAACATGGAAAGTGCCAGCGGGCACTGTGCAATAGCTGGCAAAGCTCGTTGTCAACGGTCCAGACTCATGCACTAACTACAATATATCTAGAGAACCCTGGCTGGTCGATCGTGAGAGGGTCATGTGATCTTTATAAGATTTTTATAAATGGCCACAATCAAGGCGGATTTTGGTTGGTCTTTTCCAGACAGCCCTTTGGACGGTCTAAACTTTCTGGGGGGGTGAATGAATATACTCGTTCGAGAGGCAGAGAACAGGGAGAAATGAGGTTCAAAATCGCCGTATAGAAGTTAAACCCTCTATTCCGCCGATTAATTTTTTGCTGCTCGACCATGAAAAGGAGGATAGAAAAGGGAAGAAGAAGAAGAAGTTACTCTGTAATCGGACTTGAAAACTACTCCGGAGACCGGACAAGAAGCAAGGGCTTGATGTGCGGCATGTCCGTCCATTATAGTAGTGCACCTACTCTGTATAAGTGGGGGATTTGCGCGCATAACGCTTTGCGTGCGACCTTGAGGTGACACTGGACACACACCCAAGTAGCACAACTTCTCCGCATTAAGAAATGTCAAACATCTTTGCGGCTTTGCTGACTGCATGCAACGATGCAGTCATCATTGAAATTGAAATACATGGAAAAAATCGATAACCCTAGAAGAATAACCAGGAAGAAAAAAAGAGAGCCACACCGCCAGAGGGGAGGAGGGGGGAAAAAGGATTCATTGTCGGTGATTATATAATTACCTACTCTCTCTATTTGGCCCCCAACCCCGCACCCTTCCGCTGTCGCGAGTGAAATACCCCGAGCAATCCCACCTGTTACCTACCCATCATCCTCAGCCAACTCCGTAGACCGAAGCATCTACACACTACACCAGGCGGTAAATTGGCATAACGGTACTTCGTATTTGCTACAAAACGGATTGAGACCTGCGGATACTCAGGCAAAAAGGAACCCAAATTTCTTGCATCTCCGCTAGATTTCATCCGAATTGCCTTGGCATCTATTTGACGATAATATCTTGGTTATAAGTCGACTATTCTACCTCCTATATATACATCATGTCGCAGCTCTGGCAACCCACCTCCCCCACCACTGAGAACGCGCCCGCGAGTCCTCCGCGGGCCGCTTCGCCCAAGGACTCGACCAAGCAGCGCAACCCCGGCCGGCGCATCGCGCAGATTGTCAAGCTCCGCCCCGAGTACCTGGCCGAGTACAAGAAGTGCCACGCCGCCGTCTGGCCCGAGGTGTTGAAGCAAATCAAGGAGTGCAACATTGTCGACTGTAGGTGCCTGCTTTCCAGCCGTCCTCCCCCAGGAATACTCAATCAAACATAATCCCCGCGTTGATGATCAAGGAGAGCCGGCCTTTCAACTGTAAATGGTGTACTGATCCTGATTCCCGTGTGCAGACAGCATCTCTTGGGACGATGCCAGCAGCATATTGTTCGCAAACTTCAAATATGTCGGCTACGACTACGCGGGCGACATGGAGAAGATGCGCGAAAACCCCAAGGTTCGGGAATGGTGGGCCATGACGGACAAGATGCAAGAGGTAAGTTGCTCTCACAGGTCGTGACGAAGACAAAGCTGACACATGGCCTTTCCCATTTTCCAGAGTCTTGTGCCTGGTGCAAAGAGCAGCGAGTCTGGTGAGCCGTCGTGGTGGAAAGGTCTGGAGGAGGTGTTTTACTGCCCATAGAACTGCTGGAGCCGGCGTTCTGAGCATCCGATTGCAAAGTCCTCAGGCATAGCGAAGCATTGAATGCATATTCTTTTCCCTTTCATAGTCTTTGATCCCCGCTTCCGCTAGTAATTTTCCAGTATTGCGAGCTCGGATGAGAATCTGCCCGGGTGGTTTTTATTTTAGGCTGCCGAACAAACCTCCAAAAATACTACCACTTCCGCCGCCACCACCTCGACCACCGTGGCGCCGAGCCTCATTTCTAATCCACTCCTCGAGCCAGGCGCGGTCGCCGAGCTTGCGAGCGTCGGCCGTCTTGGTCTCGGTCTGGGGCTCGCCGGCATCGATGCTGAGCAGCGTCGGGATGCCATTGATCATGTAGGTCATGCCGAGCCCGCCGCTCATAATGTCCGGGCAGTCGTACTCGACGGTGGCGTAGTGGACGCCGCCCTCGGCCTCGCCCACCCCGGACTCGATCAGCTCGCGCAGCAGCGGCGAGACGACTTTGCAGGTCGCGCACCAGTTGGTCGTCCACAGCGTGATGAGCGGCGCCCGGGCCGATGAGGAAAGTAGGATATATGAGTGTAGGTCGTCGGGCCGGCGGACACTGAAAGGGAAGAGAGAGGGTCAGTTTTGGAGAGCAAATCGACCCGGCAATTCTGCAGGTATAGTCTTTTTCTGTAGAGGCCACTAACGAATTGTGTATTAAATTTGCTCCATTCAACTGTCGTGACGCGGAGAAGGCTCGTCGAGAGACAGAGCCGGCGCTTCTCGTGACAGAGGCGGGCTGGAAAGCTGTCTTGAGTAATACCGGGCGCATTGCGACAAGTGAAACGTAGGATTGCTAAAAATAGTTCGCTTTAAATATTTGAGATCAATGCCGTCGTAGGTAATGTAGCCTTATCAAACTGTTGGTGCGATCAATCTTGCTGTCTGGCGGTGCTGTGATTAGGTATCTAGCAGAAGAAAGCAAGGGCAAAGTTGAAGCTTGTGCTTGAAAGTCTGGGGAAAATGCAATTGAATGACGTCGCAAAAAGCTGCCCGTCCCGGCGGGCTCCACTCGGTACCTAGATGGTACTCTGTACACCTCAACGCCCAGAATACATGTGAGTAGCCTCCAAAGTCCTACATAGTGTATTCTCATATAACATCACGCCTTTCTCTCATTTGGGTGTCTCTAAAAACCCCCCTGAGTGTGTATTCAATTGACTGTACACTTGCATTGAAATTCTGCTCAAAAGATCAAGGCATACAATGATAGTACGGATACAATGGCCCTGGAGCGCCGTCTTGTGTATTGTGTCATAAGATGAGAGTGAAGACCTGAAAAGGCTTCATGCTGCTATCAAATCGCTATAGTATGCAAGAAACAATTCCCGTGAGAATCAATAGTGCGATGCCCAAATATTCCGTCATGCTGTCGAAGCTGGTTCTAATCTTCTCAAAGATGAAGATGCAATGTCTGAATCATGATGTGTAAAAGATGATGCCGTCAACTCGTGAACCTTTATATCCCAAACCGTTTATTCCGTTCCGTATATCGTCGTATTTATGTCATTCCCTAGAATTTTTCCATCAAATTTCGTCTTACTGTCCACATTCTCGCTCTCTTGCCGTAGATGTACATTGGGATGCTCGAAAAGACAAATATCAGCTGTATAATGCCGATCCACATGAAGACGGACTTTGAGCCATCAGTCTCGAGCCAGCCAGTGACAAAGAGACTAAAGACCAGGCCGTGGAAGATGTTTTTGCTAAAGTTGAGCGTGACCAGCGCCTCACCGGCATACTGTCGATAGCTGTCAACGCAAAACGTAATGGACGTTGTGGATCCCAGCGAACAGCCAAACGACACGACTCCGAAAAACACCGTTGGTACGATCCAGTGGTCATGAACCTCGGCCGACCACCCGAAACCCATGAGGCCAATGACGGTTGTGACGGCGATTGGTGCCGCCATGACCAAACGGAACTCGGGCTCGTATAGTCCACCGTTGCGGCGTGCCATGGCCTTGACGATTACATCGCTGATGCGACCTGCAACAGCTGTACCGAGAATACCGCCGATGAATGGCGAAATATAGACCAGACCCGTGGCAAGGGCACCAAACTTGTAACTGCCCTCGCGATAAATGATTGCAACCGACTCGGAGATGACAATGAGCCATCCAATGGAGCACGAATAGATGGCCGCTGACCACAGCACGGCCGGATATGCGTACAAGACAAAGGGACGGAGAGCCACTTTCCACCATTTGTCGTTGTTGAGTCTACCGTGGTGAATTTGAAGCTGCTGGCGGAACGATTTGGCGGGCGCCGCGCGCAGATTATGAGTGTAGACTTGTCCTCGAGTAGCAACGTGTCTCAGTGATAAACTCTCGCTCGCTGTGTCCGGGGTCGCAACTCCTGCCTCAGCGCGGGAGATGTCGTCATGTCGTGAATAGCCAGCCGGATGAAGATGCCCTTGGAGCTTTTCATCTTGCGGCGACTGGGGGTTTGGAGTGATTGCGTCTTCTGGGCGCAGAGTGTCCGATGTTTTATGGTCGGCCTCCGATATGTGAGCCACATCGCCGTCGCGTTGAATTTCCTCAGATGGCGCCCTAGTACTAGGAGCAAATCCTACGTGCATATCCTTGTGGCGATGAAGGTGAGATGGCGTTGGTGAAGGGAGAGCTTCAATCCCGTCGTGAGCGGGTTCTGATAGCACCTTCTCAGCGTCCGTCGGGTGGCTGTCCTCATGATGGGCCCGGTGTGGTACTACGTTGCGAGAAGATCTCCTGCTGAAGAAGCTTGGCCTTTTCTTGGGCTGCCGGTCCTTTGGAACTGGAGACCTGTCCCAAAAGGTCTCGGGAACCAGTAGATATAGGAGAATACCCGAAAATCCAACAACTATGGCGACAATCCAAAAGACCCATCGCCATCCAAGACTCTGGATGATGACGGCGCTGATCAATGGGATCAAGTTCTTTCCTCCTAGCAGCAGCAAGGTGTATATTCCAATACGGAAAGCTCGCTCATGCAGGAAGAAGATTTCAGCAATCGTGGCAGACGGCAAGCACTCAACTGGGCTGACAGCGATGCCCTGGACAATTCTGGCCAGGATAAGAGATATGAAGTTTGGCGACAAAGCGCACCATACAGTGGACAGGATCCATAGAATGGCACTAAAGAGGTAAACCGGACGTTTTCCGTAGAGAATGGCGGTCGGCGAGGCTATCACGGAGCCAATGCCCAAACCCATCATGTAGAGACCCGTGGTTAGTGACACTCGGCTCACTGCAACATCAAGATCTGGACGGATGAATTAGTTTAATATTACAAGTCGGAATGACCAAGAGGGTGCGTGCATACCTTCAGCCACGTTGGTGAAGCCTGCCGCGATCAAAGGCGTGATACCACCGCCTATCATGCAGTAAAGCCCAAGCGAGAGCAAGGCAGAATCTCTCCTCCACACAGCCCAGTTCAGGGGATCATTGTGCGAGTCATCCGGTTGGGGATCCAGGATGATCTGGCCATCTTGCGTTGTCTTCTTCTCGTCGGCAGCTGGATGTGGAGGCTCTGGTACAGGAACGCCGGTGGGCAGCGATGAATGCGAGGTTCTTGCTGGCGCGTTCCTTAATCCCAACGGCTCATTGCGGCCCTGGGCAAGTAGCAGGACAGATCCTAGGTATGTTTGTTAGCATTCGTATTCCGTGGCACCGAGTTGGTTACTTACCGGGAACTTCAATGGTTTCCTTGTCATTCAACATTCCCATATTCCATACTGGCCGCGGTTGCTTCTCCTCCTCGCCCGAGCTTGGGGAACCATGCCCTGCTGGCTTCTTGGAAAATATCCCTTGCCATGGGCGCCGAGCTTGTTTTGCATCTTGAGCCATCTTGCTAGCAAAGCGCCGGTGTCAACCGGAATGCTGCAATTTGATCGTTTTGGGCGGCTAGGTGTAAGGCCCTTGACAACCTGGCTAATATCCAACAATATAGCAAACAAGGCGCTTAGCAATACATATATTTGCTGGTGAAATTTCGGTTCATCCAGGAAATCCCGAGCTCATGCAAGCCGAACTCTGGAATACTGGCGTAGATTAGCAAGTGCTGACAGACGAGTCCCGTGGGCTAGGCTCCGAGTCGAAAGCTGTCACACGCCCGGGTCTCTGAATCTGATCCGCCGAGTACCTCGACGTAGGAATGCGCAGGTATGAAATCCCTGGAAAGCGAATTCCAAAGGAGAACGGTTTTCAGATAATGTTGCGAAAGATGTTGAGCGTATTCAAACAATGCATAGAATGGCAACAAAACGGCAGGGATAGTCCATATAAATATATAGGTGGCCCAGAGTTTGAGTTGCACGCTACTTATTGTCTGCTCTGATACAAACAATAAAAAACGCCGCCGGCCGTGAAATGGCCTCGTCAAAGCAAAGCTGCGAAGTGATCTACGAGAGAGAGAAAAGAAAACAAACGTCTCTCACCGACACGCGTAGGGGTCCTGGGGGAATGGAGATATATATCTATACCTATCCTCTATCAAGATCGGCGGCGTGGGGTTTGGAAACGATGGTTACCTTGAATATCAATCCAAGCAAGGTATGTATCCAAAAGAACGAGGCGATCTCAGGCTAGTCATGTCCAACCAGGATGGTGCTTTGTTGGTACAAATCTCCACAATGGGACCTGACCGACTCTGTGAGAGGTTGCCCGCTAAAAAAGCACGTTAGCAACTAACCCTTGGTTAAAGGGCCCCCCGGTTCAAGTTTGGCTGGCAACTGGACTCGACTGGGGCATGCCACTTCGAAACGGTGGAGGAAAAGAAACAGAGCCGCCCGCTCAGATACGATCTTTGTCCAATGGGCTATTCCTGCCGCACGGGAAATGGGTGTAGCGCAATGTAGATGGAGGAGAGCATGGACTGCACGAGGTGGTCAGGTGGTGATGGGCGCCTGCTAGCTGATGTCAGTCAGATGTGCTCAAAGTGGGTATCTTCGTTAAGACAAAAATGAGCGCTTGAGGCGGCCATCCTGTGGGAAGCATCCCAACTATCCTCCAAGCTGGAGCTTGAACCTCGAAGCCATCGCGATCTTGGGCCATGTGTCCCTAATGCGCATCCAGGAATTTGGGATCAACTGCGGTCAAAAATGGAACAATCCTCTCCCAACTTGGAGGGGGTCTAAAATCCTAGGTTAGCTGGTTAGTTCATGGACAACAAGGGACCCAAACTCTGCATGTTGTACATACCTAGTATAAAAATTCACATACAATGTATACATACATACATGTATGCTACCAAATGCTCAGTAAAACCACAAAATCAAAGAGATACATAGAATCAATCCTTTGATAGTCTGAGCTTTCCGCCGTCCTTGCATAGAGAACCAGAGAATAAACAAGTACTTATGCTACGTTACAAATAAGCATCTTACTCGAATGTCTCAAGTCTTCTTTCCCCAGATAAGAAGAACCCTTGAAGAGATCCATGTTGCAGTGAGTGGGTGGGCAGACCTAAAAGGTATGACGCCAGAGGCGCCGTTCACAGGCCGGCCGCTCCACTAAAAGATGATGTGCAAAATGTTTAGCTGAGTTGGCAGGCAGGCAAAGAAGCCCATTTTAGCAGCGTGCTGCCAGTCTCGACCTTCTGATTCGTTGACGGGATTTTGGCTTGGCCCGATATTGCAGCGCAAACATCAAATTTCTTTTGTTGCCAGAAACATATCGTGCTATTACCTGTGAGCATGAGTTGACCAATACTGAAATTGTCACTTTTTGCACACATAAAACTCTTTCAAATCGTTATTGTACGTACTGTTTTATATATTTCAAAATTGATCACAAATTCAGATTGAACCTAATCATGTATCGCAGTAATAACTTGCAAGGAACTGGTTGGGCAAAAATTAGCCCACCTACTGTCAGGTCTGAAACCCTCAGTTGGGATATCGGGCGTGTTCTTGACTCGGTGTACAGTCGTACGCACCCCTTGCCTATCCACCAATTGAGTCGCAAGCATTGGGGCGCAACACTATTGGCAGGGCCTTTTGTTATACAAACAAATCATGGCAACCAAGATCCCACCTCTGTTAGAGCCATATCTCGGTCTCCCGCCAGAGGCGTCCCTCATCGTACTTTCGGGGGTCCTGGGTGCCAGTACAAACTGGCTCGTTCAGCGCTACTTGTGTTCTCTCCTAGGCAACTCAACTGGCAGAGTGCCGGCCATTGACGGCAACAATGGTGAGAATGGGGACACTTGTGTCGTGCTCGTCAGTTTCATGAGAGATTATGCTTTCTGGAAGGAGGGCGCTGGCAGGCTGGGCCTCGACCTGGACGCCCTCTCCAAAAGGAGCATGTTCAAATTTGTGGATGGCTTGAGTGGGCTATTCTCTGGTGCCTCTGGTGCCATTACCACAAAAGCGCCGGTTGCAGGTCCACCTGGGCAACATGTCTTGCGCAAAGCGACACTCGAGGAATTGCAACAAGTGGTACAGTCTGCTCAGCAGACTTGTGCAAGTTCAAATATTGTCCTGGTGCTTGACAATCCGGATCTTCTTATTGCGGCGGCTGGAAATACCATATCAGGAGAGGGTTTACGGCAGACCCTTCTTCACTTGAGAGAGGTTAGTACAAATGATGAATATCTGGGCTGTTCCCGCAAAGTCTTTACAATCACAATTGTCACGATTTACTAATCAATTAATCTCAGAGCGTCTCCTCGACAGTCATAACACTGTCTGCAGATGAACCCTTGATCTCTGCGCAAACCACATCACTTGAGAAGAATCATGCCTCTTTCGCTTTATCGATGGCTCATGAGGCAGAGATGCTGGTCACATTGAGGCTGCTGGACACAGGAACAGCAAAGGACGTGAGTGGAGTACTGAGAGTAACTCCCGGAGGCGATGCCACTGGGTTTGTATCGGAGCAAAGAGAACTCTTGTATTTCGTCGGTTCTGATGGTGGCGTGCGAGTCTTCGAGAGGGGGCAATAATTCGAAATCAAGTACAACTCGGAACACGGATTCCTCTGGCAGGTAGAAACCATCTTCGATAATGACTATCACAGCCGTTGCGGCTGCTGAGGACGAAATGCGCTCGAGGCACAACACGCGGGCTCTCATCTCATCTGCTCTCCCACATGTTCCAAATGCCACTGAACGTTGCGCAGGCCGGGGGGGGAAAAAAGAGTCTTTGTCATGCGTCAGAAAAAGCAACCCTGTTCGTATTGCTATAACATGCTCGTAAACGGCCGAGATGTCGTATGATTCCGTGAACCAGTGCCGAATAATGCAACCCATTTCACGCCGAACCGCCATTCATTTTCCATGCCTTATCGTTTCGCGAGATGCCACCACCCTTCATCATTCAACCCTTTATGCCTTCAGGGAGCCAGGGCCTTTCGAGCCAGCGGGAACACCGGTCTGGAATCCGTTCTTGAAGCGGCGGGAGACATCCTTGAGGTATCGCATGCGGCCAGTACCGACGGTCTTTCTGCGCTTGGCCTTCTCGCTCCAGTTGTCTATTTGCCTGTAGTCAGCATCATATTCCAACTCGTAATGAACCAAACCCATGTCCTCCCCATTTTCGATATCCCATTTCCAAACAGTCTCCAAGGGTTGAGGGCTAGGTGAACGTACACTTGCGGGTCTTAGCAGCGGGGTAGCCGCAGGAAGCGCAGGTGTGCTTCTGGACGTGCAGAGAGCGGCGACCTGTAATTCGAGTCCATGTCAGTCCATCCGTCGCTTGTCGCCAATATTTCCACCGCTTCCTTTCGTCAAGATCGGGCAATCGCTACTGACCACATCGACGGCACAGAGTGTGCGTCTTGTTGTGACGCTTTCCGAAGCTGGAAGTTCCCTTGGCTATTCCATAATGTCAGTACAAGAACTAGTAGTTGGCTGGCGTCGATTTGAATATTTCGTTCGTTCGTTGTCGGCGGGAAGGAAGGTACGCACTCATCTTGACTCTGGAGCTGGGGTTAGTAACTTGTCGAAGAAAGGAACGGAGGAACGCGAAATGTCGTGTCCTTGGGCGAAAAGGGTTGTCGTACCTTTAATCGGGGAATCGGCGCTGGGTGACTGATTTGGTGATGTTGAGAATTGGGCGTACGGCTTCACCTGTCAATCGTGTCGAATCTCAATTTTCCTCCCACAAGAAACTTTCCGGGTCAATTGGGGCTCGTGGATCAGCTGATGAGTGGGGCGCCGAAGCTTTGCCGTCTGCCAGGATCTAGGTGAGATTTTATGCTAGGCTGTTCTTGGTTGGAGCTGACCTTTTTGGAGATGTGCACAAAGTTATGCAGAGATATGGAATAATCACGATCGGACATAAGATAAGAAGAAGTCACAGTATGAACAAAACTTGAGTAACTCAGCTGCTTCTCGTGGTCATTCGGCCATTTTGACCCCTGTTTGCCCACCAAGAGTTCACAGTGCTCAACACTGCTGCTCCCCCCCCTCCCTGCCTTCAGTCAGGCAAGAGCTGCCCCGCCATCGCCCATCACCTGGCGGTGCTTGTCTAGGAGTTGCCTCACCCATGTGACGAAACTCGTTGACTGGGCGCCTAGAGTAATAATAAAGCAACGGGTGAGTTGGGATAACTCATATCATCTGTCCATTACATCAGGCATCATTCTGTATTTCTCTTCATCCATCTTGCCGTGCTTTATAAGTGACACTACAACTGCAGCAACTACTACTACACCACATAGCGGGGTACTTATCACTGCTCCCTTTGTACTTACACTGCAACCGAAGCACTCTGGATAGCTTGATATTGGACGAACGTAAGCGAACCCAGCAATCTCCGACAACTCTTTGTTCTCTCCAAATCTGCGCGCGGAATCGACCACAAGCCTACTACTCGTCACCGAGATACACCAAAAAACGAACAACTGCAGATTAGATTAGCAACAAATACAAGGCACGATGAACTACCTGTACTCGACCGTCAACCAGATACGGGACAAGTACACTCCCGTGTCTCACACCTCGACCTTTCGCAAGACGGGCCAAATCACCCCAGAGGAATTCGTCGCTGCCGGCGATTATCTAGTCTTCAAGTTCCCGACCTGGCAATGGGCCGCCGCCGACAACGAGTCCAAGCGCGCCTCTCACTTGCCCGCTGACAAGCAATACCTCGTCACGCGAAATGTGCCGTGCCACCGGAGACTCGACGATGACTTTGCCGGTGATGCAGGCCACGAGGAGGCCGTGGTGGGCGATGGCGACGACTTCAAGCTGAAGGGCCAGGGCGACGATGACGATGGCTGGCTACGCACCGGTGGACTCAGCAGCTCCCAGCCTCTAAAGGCCAAGGATGTGCGCACAGTTGATGACGCGGGCAACGTTGGCATCATCGAGGACGAGGATGAAATACCCGATATGGAAGATGAGGATGACGACGACGAGGCGATCATCAGGGATAGCGATGCCCAGAAGAAGACTGCGTAAGTAGGGCCTTTGTGGCCGATTACGCGCAGAAGCTGATATGCTAACTCGATTCCAGCTCGCGGCGCACATATAACCTCTACATCATGTACTCACCGTACTACCGGACGCCCCGACTATATCTCTCGGGCTACACGGGTGGCCAACCTCTGGCTCCTCAGGCCATGATGGAGGATATCGTTGGAGATTACAAGGACAAGACTGTCACTCTCGAGGACTTCCCGTTCTTTGCCAACGCAGTCAAAATGGCCAGCGTACATCCGTGCAAGCACGCCTCGGTCATGAAAACGCTACTGGACCGCGCAGATGCAGCACTGAAGATCAGGCGCGACAAGCTCAAGGCAGGCAAGAATGTTGGTCATGATGCAGGCATGGAAGGCTTGGTGGATGAGATCAACAAGCTTGATGTCAAGAGCGCAGAAGCTGCCGCCGCTGAGTCTGGTAGCAACGACGAGTGGGAAGAAGTCGAAGCTGAGGAGCAGGATGTTGCGATTCGCGTCGACCAATACCTGGTCGTATTTCTCAAGGTAAGTCGTGCTTCAAACTGCCTATTTGAAAACTCACGTATCATTTACTAACGATTCCATCTCTAGTTCATGGCCAGTGTCACACCTGGCATCGAGCATGACTTTACCATGGGCGTCTAAGCGCCAGTTTGCGTTAATAGCGTCCTTCTTTTTCCATGCTTAAAGACTTTTTTTCAGGCAAGAATATGGTGTTTCGGCGTCTTGGTTGATAAGCTAGGTATAGATGGCAGCATTAAGGAGTTTTTCCCCTTTCTTTATTTCAGATTCCATCAAGACGGACTTTCAGCATCTTCGCTCTCATGTTGTATTGCCTTACTCGATGGTCGGACTGGGACTCAACTTTCACGCTGTAAAGACTCACGCTCTAGAGGCGCTAATTAAAGAGCCTTGGAGGAACGCAATAGTCAAGAATCGTGAAGACAAATCCCTTGAGTAGACTCTTTTGGCGTGTCGTAACAGTCCTGGAAAGAGCCGAGGCATGTGTAGTTGTAGCGCTGTTTGTCGACTTGAGCCGCCCGGCGACGGCCGCCTCCGTGTACCTGAGCTCGTCGGGTTAGGTAAACGTCACGTAACAACAACGCCTTTTGCTGTGCATCTTGACGGGCGAGACTCCAGCATGGCTAGAATATAGTGTCAATGTGATCCTGTTGCCTCTACGAAATTATAGTAATGATCCGTGAAATTACTGGAAAGGCTCATTCATTAGAATGTGGTGGAAAATTTTTATTATTGTACTGGTGGGAAATTTTTGACATCTCCTTTCTTTTCTTCTACTGGGTATCTTCTTTCTCTCAACATTTCCCGCCCATTACCTGCTCGTTTCACATATATACAGCATTCCCTACTTTCATCAACATGTCATCGAAACGAGCCTCACTCGCTTTACATTTCAACCGGCTACCAACAACAGGGACTCATTCATGAAACGCAGAAGAGACTAAGAACAAAACAGGAGCAAAATAAACATGTTCGGAGACGCTCTACAAAGTCGTTCCCTGAGCGCCCTTCTCATGAAGGCCCAGCTCCTCAGTGGTGGTGTTCTTGGCAGAGCCATCGGCGGTCTTGGGCTTGGTCTCGGTCTCAGCAGTCTCGTGGCTGGGGCGGTGCGAGGCAGCTTCAGCGACGGGAATGGGGTCCTCACGCCAGAAATCCTTCTTGCCGCTGCTGAGGCGGCGGAGCCAAGGCGGGAAGAAGCCGCCAGGGATGCGGTAGGTCCAGGGCTCCTTGAGGGCCTTGTCGGCGGGTACGAGGCGGCCGCCGGACGCCTTCTCAATCAGCCAGACGGTGGTGTTGATCACAATGTACGTGCACACACCGGCGATCAGACCGTCAGCAATGGAGTAGGTAAAGGGCATGAGGGCAATGGTCAAGAAGGCCGGAATGGCGTCACCCAGGTAGCGCCAGTTGATTTCGGTAACGGCCTTCATCATCATAGCACCGACCAGGATCAGCACGCAGCCAGTGGCCCACGGCGGGATCGAGGCAAAGATGGGGGCAAAGAAGATGGAGATGAAGAAGCAGATACCGGTCACCATGGAGGTGAGACCAGTCTTGCCACCCTCAGAGATTCCAGCACCGGACTCGACAAAGGCTGTAACCGGCGGGGTGCCCAGCAGAGCGCCAATGGAGATGCTGATGGCGTCAACCATGTAGGCGATCGAGGAGCCCTCAAAGTCCTGAGTGACTGGGTCGATCAGGTCGGCAAATTGGGCCATGGAGTACAAGGTACCTGTGCAGTCGAGGATATCGACGTAGAGGAAGGTAATGAGAGCGAGACCAAACTGTCCGCCGTAGCTGCCAATAGCCCATTCCTGCACACTCAGGGTCCTGGTGATCTGGTGGAAGTCCACAACCTTCTTGAAAAAGTCAAAGGCGTCGTCGCCAACCTCGGTGTAAGGGAAGTAGGTCACGTCGGTGGTACGAGGCCACGAAATGATGCTGACCAGGATGATACCGGCAATGATGGCACCCTTGAAGCGGTACATCATCAGGATAACGGTAAGGATACCACCACAGAAGATACCAATCCACATGGCGGGGTTGCGCATCTTGGTGCTGCTCGGGCAAAGACCATCCTCGTCCTGCAAGCTCTCGATACATCCGGCAAGCTCTAGGGGTGTGTCGGTGGCGCCCACAATGAGACCCAAACCCTCGCTGTAAGTCAAACCGATCAGGGTAAGGAACAGACCGATACCGACACTCGTAGCAAGCTTGATCGACTTGGGGATCGCACGAGCCAACCACTGTCGCATACCAAAGAGGGCCAGGGCAAAGAAGATCCAGCCCTCAACGAAGATGGCCGTGAGAGCAACCGAGTACGGAACCGTGCCGGTGCCGTGATAACCAACGACGGTGTAGGCAAAGTAGGCGTTCAGACCCATTCCAGGGGCCAAAGAGACGGGCCTACATACACACATGTTAGCTACGGAAGCTTTCCCCTGATGGTTGGGTGCATGGCGCGATCCCAGCTTAGTTGACCTACAGGTTCGCAAACAATCCCATACAGAAAGAAGCCAAGGCCGAGATGGCGGCAGTCGCGGTGACCAGATCTCGCTTGATCTCGGCAGAACAGAGGGCATAGTCGGTATCAGTGGCACAGATGGGATCAGCCTCGCCGCCATTACAGACGCAAGTACCGCCAGTGTCGGCAACGATGGAAGCATTGACGGCGATGATGTAGGCCATGGCGAAGAAGGCAGCAATACCACCACGGACCTCAGTAAAGAAGCGGGAGCCCTTGCGTTCCTTGGGCTACCATTCGGGAAAACACGGTTAGCTGCTGAACAACTCAAGCAAGGTTGTCTCGGGCGTTGTGTTCAGACTTGAGCTGGGATGGCTCATGTCTGGATCATGGCACTTACATGTCCAGAGCCATCCAGTCGGAACCATTTTCCGACGGCGCTTTTGGCGACCTTCTCGTCGACGTTCTGCACCCAACCCATGGTGTCTTATATTTTGTCCTGTTCGAGGGTCCGTCCTCTTGTTCAGGTCCTTGTTGTTGTGTAAGCTGAAGGACTGTTGAATGGAGTTTCGAGGTCGAGGTTGCGCCAGGTGAGTTGGATGTCACAGACTAGGTGACTCTCACACAGAGTAATTGGCGCGAAAGAAACAGTTGAAACAGGCGACGACCCAAGAGCACACGACCATCCTCATAAAAAAACGCGAGACTGGCAAGCGGGTCGAGGCAAATATTTAAATATCTGCAAGGGCTGAAATGGAGCAGCCAAGCAGCTGGGCAAAAGAGTCCTGGCGAAAGAGAGGCAGTAGCCACAAAATCCCAGGGTCTATGGGCAAGGCCGGGGCCCGCCCCTAGCCAAAAAGGTGCAGGAGGTCTAGAGTAAGATACATGCCCATTCATGAATTGCTATTACTGGTGAGTATAATGGTACATGGTGGAGGGAAAGAAGCTGTGCAGGCAAGGTACTTGAGCGTGGCAGCATATGCAAGAGCAATGCAACAGTACCACGGAGTATTCGGGTCGCTTGTACCTACATGGGCGCTTTCCTCTCTTCCTCATGCCTCGGGATTGATTGTGTGGGCAACAAATCAAATGGGATAATAAAAGACAGGGTCTTTCCTTATCAATTGGATTTCTTGGCTTCTTGGCATGTCGAAATGCAGGTAGAAGCTCCGCTGCCCGCATGCATCCTACTTGGAGGGTGGGTGGCATGAGGCGCCGCCGCAATGGTGCATCGGTGGTTAATAGTACGAGCTTTGTCTTTCTCTGCCTCGTGTAGCCCAAGTATGTAGGTACTATGTCTGCTGCTGCTCGCCGCCTCTCGTCAGCATTCCGTGTCCTGTTAGACAAATGTCAAACTAAATCGAGATTTGACTGTAATGAATCAAACCCTCCAAGAACCTCCTGAACTAGACATCGACTCAGGACGCTGGGAAAAGGGTGTATGCGCGTCTCACCCTCTGGAGAGTAAATTTTTCTCTGCTAGGTCCCGTACCAGCGGCTTGGCGATGGGGAGAGGCTCTCGTCCCAGACCACGGCCGCGTCGCCAAGCGATACATAATTTGGCCGAAAGGCCGTTGTACGGTGCCGGGTGGCTTTCTTCTAGAACTGCCATCGATGCAGTTTTGTCAATGGACTGCATCCCATAGGAAGGCTTGATTAGTCTTGGCCAGCCCGTCGCCGCCGGCATCGTTGGGGAAAGACCAATGACAGGGACGCGTCCCAAGAAGATGTCGTCTGCCTTTTTCGATCGGGTTGGCTTGAGATTCCAGATGCTAGCCCCGTACCGAGATCATGGCCTGGAGCATCCGGTAGCTCAATGCAATGCCTAAAAAAGATTGCTCCAGCTTTGATTTCTACTAGTAGTAGCAGCAACCATCACAAGCGGGATAATGTGCTGACAATACTGGAATTCCTCAATCCAATTCGTGCGAGTCCTTTAATGTAGCGCCCTTCCTTTCCCCTCCAGTTGCCTGCACAACTCTCCACTAATATCGCTTGCACTCCCCGTACGCAGCGAATAGCGTAAACTATCAGGCATTTTTTGACTTTGATTAACTGTAGGTAACCTTACCAGGCTTACCTAACAACAAATCATACGCGAGATCTCTACTTTCACTGCTCAGATTATTACTTTATTCATGATGACGCTTTTCTATGTGTCTTGGTTGTCAATCTGACGCCCTAGTCAAGCCACTGGACATGCCGTCCAAATGGTGCCGTATTTACCAACTCGCTAGAGCAGAAGTGGTATGTTCGCCTATCTCGCCAAGAGAAGTTGAGCCGTTTCTGGTCCAATCCTAAACTACCAACGGTGATTGCCACAGGCCTGAGGCACAGTCGCCACGGTTGCTCCCGCCGAAGACCGACGACCGTATCAAGCCGATGGATGAATGCTGTCTGTCGGCAGGGCCAGAAGCTCGCAATTGCTCTGATCACGCTGACCTGGGTGTAAACGACTATCCTTTTCAGCTGAAGTCCCAATGTCTCGACTGCAACGCAAGCTGCATCAGCTAAAGATGGAATTTTAGGGCCCTGGGGAGAGAGCCTGGAGCCTGGAGCACAGCTGATCCCCAAACTGTGGACCCCGGGGGGAAAGTCTCATGTCTCCCCACGCCGCTGCTGGATACCGTGCCACAGGCCAACTCTTAATAGCTAAGGTTACTCATTTCCTCTTGGATCCGCCTTATTACGTGTTGTATCGATGATGACTTCGCCCAACCTCAAAAGCAACATGTCATTGACCACCAGACAATGTGGAATGCCGAAGGCGCACGGCAGTGTCTTCTCCTGCCTCGCCTGCTGTCCTGTCCACTGTTCGTATTCAAGTTCTGCGAGTAGCCGATTTGTGAAGCGACATATTCATTCGACAATAAACCCCATATGAGCAACGATATCCTCTTAAGAACGGGGCGGTCAATTGTTGCGCTGTTGGTATCACCCGCCTCCATATCGGATCGACCAAATACGGAGAAGATCCGTTACCTCCGTACGCCATACGAGTATTGTAGGCATATTCTCTGTCATGCATGCTTGCTTGTCTTAGTAGTGTACCTCTGCGCTGGTCTTCTCTGCAAAACCAAAAAACGTCATACGGCCTCAAGTATTGAGAGCGCACCGTGACTATCGACGCCTGATAGCTTTGGCTGCCCCACGAACAGATTAAAGCACACGTACACGAGGCACGGCAGGGTCGGACATGTCATGCCAACACATCGCTGCTACCAGCGGTAGGTTGAAGGTCGTGGCTTGTTCTTCCTTCATCACGAGCTCGCAATTGGTACCTATGCATGCTGCCATAAGTCCTGGAAGTCGTTGAGTCGTTCGTCCAAGTTTTACCGATCTGTCGAAGCGAAAAGGCTGAGCGAGAGAGACTTCAAATCTTGATCTCATGCTGGACTTGGGTCTCCCCCATGACTCGATCACTGCTCTTGGTGGTCTCGTCGATGCCTGCCTTGATGCCAGCATAGTCGAATATCTATCTGTGAGATCAGAGGGCCTCGAACAGGTAAGCCTTCCATGCTGCTGAGTTTGTTAGTAGAGTGTATATATGTCTGAGTGAATGGCCAAGAATTCCCCGTTGGCTTCTGGCAAATCAATCAACCTCCTACACAGATAGTCTTTGTATGAATCCAGCTATCTTGCTTTGCGAGCATATAACACTTTCTCAGATAGAGGGATGAAGTCTTTCTTGCTTTTGGCGGCGCAGCGTGTAGTGCAGATCAGGGACAGATCCGGGACACGTAGGCACAGCGTTATGCTTGCATAAGCACCTACTGTTCGACTGTCATCTGCACCCTCAGTCCAGCGCCACACCGCATCCCTTCGCAAAAGTGGCGGCATAGAAAGGATATTTGAAGAGGGAAGAAAAAAACCCATGTGAGTCGGCAGATAATTTGAATCCGATACACGTGCATTCCATTACCAGTGGCTGGTAACATCTGCATTTGTTGAATATACCTTTCTCACATCCCGGACGGGTTTTAATGCAACCCTGACCTCCCTGTGAGTGGACGGACGCTCGCCAACGCCAAGGGCAAATGCGGAGGTTGTGCAGACAGATTTCTCTTGATGATAAGCGTACCTCGTTTGACACCTCGTTCTCTTAGATAGTGATTCGTTCCACGATTTAGGATTGATGCAAATTCTTTGAGTAGACACGTACTTCTTTCTTGTTGCCGCTGTCTCAAGATCAGGTATTCAGAAGTCTCCTAGCTAAGATCTGTCGCCGCGAATCAAGCAATGGCAGAGAAAACCACCACGACTGCAGAGATACGGGCAGAAGGGCTCGATGCCGGCCAGCTAGCTAGAGATGGACTGACTGCCACAGACAGGTAAGCTTGCTATACTATTTGAATGATGATGATGTGTTGAAGTTAAACTGTTACAGACATGGATCAGCTTTAATGACCTTTGACGCCAAAGCCGAAGCTCGCTTGCGACTGAAAATTGATTTATTGGTTGTTCCCGTTGTCGCACTCATCTTCCTCTTCTCCTTCATAGACCGGGCCAATATAGGTATTGCACCCCATCATAGCACCAGTTGCCATGGTCAATCAATCATGACCCCGGAATGTCTTTTACTCATGACGATTACAGGGAACGCCCGCTTGGCCGGCCTGGAGAAGGAGCTCGGATTGAAGGGCAATGACTTCAATGCTATCAATAGCATTTTCTTCGTCGCTTATATCCTCTTTGTGACGCCGTTGAACCTGGTTTGTAAAATGGTTGGCCCAGGATGGTATCTCCCAGTCGTGACATTGGCGTTTGGGTTCACATCCATCGGAACCGCCTATGTCCACAACTTCTCCCAGTTGGCTGGTGTCAGATTCTTGTTGGGTGTTTTTGAGGCTGGAATCATGCCAGGAACAGCATATTATGTGGTAAGCCTGGCTGGTACTCTCGATGTGAATAGTCAATTTGGCGTCAAACAAGCTGACCCAACATCTAGGGTCATATTCTTTCATGTACCAAGGGCAGGCATATGTAAAATGATGCCATTGCTGGGTTTCGATTGTTTAGAGAATCTGCTAACTCTGCCAAGCTCTCACGATGGTACAGACGCGCTGAACTAACATTTCGTATATCAATGTGTAAGCACGTCTCCATAACAGTATTAAACACACTAAGAAGAACCGTCAGATGGCTGTACTCGGTGGATCTTGGCGACAAGTAAAGATTCTTGCTGATTGCAATGTTACCAGATGTCGTAATGGCCCCCCTTGCCGGAGCCTTTGGTGGGCTTTTGGCATCTGGTATCTTAAATGTAAAAGGTTTTGGTGGCATACCCGACGGTTCGTGGCGACTCATCTTCATTATCGAAGGAGTAATCACTGTTTCAATCGGGTTTATCTCTCTATTTGTCCTCACAGATCGACCAGAGACGGCTCGGTGGCTATCTCAAGAGGAAAAGGACCTTGCAGTGGCCCGGGTCAAATCCGAGCGCATCGCCGTCACGCAGACGCTTGATACGCCGGACGCCAAGAAGCTTTGGAGCGGTCTTTCCAACCCCGTCACTCTCATCACGGGCCTGATCTTTCTTCTCGAGACCATTACAGTACAAGGCCTCGCGTTCTTCGCGCCCACGATTATCAAGTCGATATACCCGCACGCCACCGTCACACAGCAGCAGTTGTATACGGTACCACCGTACGCCGCCGGCGCCGTCTGTCTTGTTGCTGTGTGCCTCCTTAGCTGGAGAGTGGACAAGCGGCACATATTTCTTATCGTGTGTGCGCCTCCAGTCATGATTGGCTATATCATGTTCCTGGCGACTGGTGACGCGACGACCCGCTATGCCGCCCTCTTCATTATTGCGTCGACTGCATTTACGCCCGGTGCCTTGACGCACGCGCAGGTGAGTGCGAATGTCGTGAGCGATTCTGCGCGGAGCATGTCTGTCGCGACGAATATGTTATTTGCCAACTTTGGAAGCTTGATTGCAACGGTATGTTCAAGGTTTCCTCCG